ATTTGATTTTTTTTTAAGTTTTAATTTATTTGGAAGGCAGAGAGAGAGAGAGTGATAGAGGGAAAAAGTGACAAGAGAGATCATTGCTTTTTTGTTTCATGTTCCAGATGAGTGCAAAACTACGGCCAGGTCAGGCTGAAGCCAGGAGCTGGGAATTCATCCTGGAACTCCTGTGTGTGTTGCAAAAACTCAAGCCATCATGTACTGTCTCCTGGTACATGCCTTCTCTGAAGCTGGAGGCAAGAGCCAGAACTGTGGCTCAACCCAGCTACTCTGCCAATGGATGTGTACCTCCCGTGTGGTGTCTTTTAGCTCTGTGCTGAGTGCTCATCCCCCATATGATTTGTTTTCATAAATAAGCTCATTTAAAAAAAATCTAGCAATGATATCCTTTTCTGCTTTATTGTTTACATAACTTCAGCTCTTGGTGGCATTTACTGAGTTTGTGCATTTGCTTTTATTTCTGTGTTCTAGATTATTTATGATCATTTTTGATCCAACATTTAACCTTTTAGGCTATTTCTTTAAATGCCCATCAGTACTGACCTATTTGTGACTTTCCAGTAGTGCATACTCATGCAAGATGTTGGTTGTTAATTACTCAGAACCATACTGGGTCCACTGTGATACACAGGCTGTACCTGTTGCCTGCTTTCATCCTGTGGATCTGTTCAGTGCAGAGAGCCCTGCACCAACATTTTTCACCTGTCTTTCACCTTTTTCTTTTTGGATTTGAAGAATAGAAACCACTGTCCAGTCGTGGGACTGATGTTACTCTTTCTTTGCTGGAAGAGTTTTATCCATCTGCACTTAGCTATCGTTCTCCCTTCTCCCTTCACAAATACGTGTCCTTCCTTCACTTTTTTTTAAAGATTTATTAATTTTTATTGCAAAGTCAGATATACAGAGAGGAGGAGAGACAGAGAGGAAGATCTTCCATCCGATGATTTACTCCCCAAGTGACTGCAATGGTGATTGCTGTGCCCATCCGAAGCCAGGAGTGAAGAACTTCTTCCAGGTCCCCCACAAGGGTGCAAGGTCCCAAGACTTTGGGCCATCCTCGACTGCTTTGTCAGGCCACAGGCAGGGAGCTGGGTGGGAAGCGGGACAGCCGGGATACAAACCAGCACCCATATGGGATCCCGGTGCGTTCAAGGTGAGGATTTTAGCTGTTAGGCCATCGCGCCTGGCCCTTTCCTTCACTTTTCTAGAATCTTGCTATACTTTTGTGCATCAGCTCTGGTAGTGTGGTTACAGTGGTTATAACTTGCTCATATGTGAACTTGCTGTGTTACTCTCCTTGATACAAAAAAGGAAATTAAACCTTTTTCTTCAATATGTAAATATAAAATGATTAATTTTGAGCGGAAATATATTTAAATATATTTAAATTTAGTTTGTAAATTATTTTTATGCGTATGGAGTTCCTGGCATGCATAGACAATATGATGAGACTACTGTATGTGGCTCTGTTAGGAGAGTGTGCAGTTTAGTGGAGAGCGCTGGTTAGTCTGGTGCCTTTCCTAGGTAAGGTGTTAGTCCTCTGGTTGAGTGAATGAATGCACTTTTACCTTTTGATGCCAGTTTTAATCTGGAATTTTCTGTTATTCTTTCCTTCTCCATGTGTTAGGACTAATGTCTCCTCCTTCAGTACAAATAATTTATGGAATTACACTGTTACTAGATAACAGTGTAACACTATTTGCTAGATAACATTCACATATTTTCAGAGAGGAAGTTTGCGTTTGTTTGTTAAACTCTGGATAGCAGGCATAGATTTTTTTGTTTGTTTTATGGGTCTATAGGTAAAGTAGATATTAGGGGAAGAAGATATCACATTGATATTAGAATTTGTTTTTGTTTTATTTCTCCATTTTTTATTATAATTTGTATAATAATTTCACATAAAAGCTGTATCTGATTATTATATACTATAGAAAGTACTAAACACATTAATGAAAAAGCCACCCTTAATCTTACCACCCAGTACAAATTCCTATAATGTCTGCTGGCCTTTCTGAATATACTTTTTAAAATTGTTTTCAGTGTTTCATCTTTTTAAAAAAAGATTTATTTTTTAATTGGAAAGTCAGATTTGCAGAGAGAAGGAAGAAAGAGAGGGAGAGGTGTGTGGGGAGAGGCAAAGGGCAGATAGTGGGGAAGGGATCTTGAATCCGCTGGCTCACTCCCCATGTGGCTGCATCAGCCAGCAGTGAGTGGAGCTGAAGCCAGGAGCCTGGAGCTTCTTTTGATCTCCCACATGGCTGCAGGATCCCGAGGCTTTGGGCTGTCCTCTGTTGCTTTCCCAGGCCACAAGCAGGGAGCTGGAAGGGAAGTGGAGCAGCCAGGTCACAAACCGGCACCCAGATGGGATCCCGGTGGATGCAAGGCGAGGACCATAGCCACTAGGCTATCGTGCCAGACCCAGTATTTCATGTCTTAAATGTCACCTTGAAGAACCACAGTTGTACTGCAATAGAATCAGTTTTTTTTTAAAATAGTAAGGTTTTTAAATTTGCACAGATTATTTTAGTACTTTAGCAGAAGTCAGAAAAACTTCATCTCTAGTGCAAACAGCTTGAACTGTCAGTAACACTTGACCTATGAATGGAGTCCCTGAGTAGGACCATCAAGCAGGTTTTGAGGGACTCTGGTGAAGCTAGGATCTTGTTTAACTCATTTGTATGGCTTCAGATTTGCTTTGGGGCTTGCTGTAACCATCATTCCTCATGTGAGAAAATGAAATCCAGCAGTGTTTCTCTATTTGGGCTTAAGGTTCCCAAACCCCCACCCCGTGGTTTGCCAGACATCCCAGCCTTCCTTGACTATCCTGTTATACCTACGTTTGGGCAGTGCTGGCATCTTGTTGCTTCTGATTCCGAGATAACTTTCTCTGTAATTCCCACCTCTTTCACTCTCAAATTACAGGTTATGTTTTAGGTTTCATTTTTTCTTCAGGAAGTTACAGAAGTTGCCTGGTTACCTGTGTTCTTTCAGTTTCTTTCCATTGTAGTTTTGCAGTGTTTTCTTCCCATCTGTGAGGTTGCTTAGCTTCTCCATCTGTTTATTGCAGTTTCTAGCAGTTTACAAAATTTGAAAACTACTTATTCAAGGAAAATTAACTTTTTGATCTGCAAATGAGTATTGTGATGTCCCGTCATAGTTTTTTATGTTTGTGTATGTATATATGTGTATTTTTTATGTTATCTCAGTCTGGGCATTCTTTCACCTTTTAAGATGACTTAACATCCTGTAGACATTTTCCCATGCCTTTGTGCAGTTTTTTGGGGCCACAGTTTGCATATGCTATGACTTAGGCCTTCTCAGTGGACAGTTCTATCTTCGGGTCTCTACTTCCTTGTCCTTCCCTTTCATTCTTCCTTAAAGTCAGCGTGGCAATATCCAGGTAACTGAATGCCTGTTGCATAGTATAGTGATGGTTCCAGAATGTTGTCATCTCTTTTGTGTTTCCTGTTTCTGTTGTGTCCAGTTTGAACTTTATCTGGCTCTGCCTGCCCTCTCACTTTATCTCCTGTCCTGTGTTCACACCCTCCAGGTACACCAACCCTCCTGTGTTTTCTTAAATGTGGCTTACTCATGTGTTTGCCCTTGTTTCCCACCCATCCAACAAATATGTATTCAGCTTTCCAGTCTAGACCTGCGTGTGGTCTCAATTTCCCTTGCAAGAATTAGGCCAGTCCTCCCTGCATTTTGTGCGCTCTTTCTATTGGAATGCCAATAGAAAGTTTGTAAAATTCTCCGAGTTCCGTCTCTGTGGGTAGGCCTTGAGCACTTCGCTAAAGGGATATTGTTCTAGTAATAATTTCCTTTATAGCACGTCACACTTAGTAGGCCTTTTCTGGGGCCTACCTTTTACAAATCTTTGGATAGTTTAATTTTTCGTGTTAATGTGATATTACTGCAAAGATAATAAGCTCATTATAGTTCATGATACTATTCGAAGAATATGATATACCCCTCTACCTTTCCTCTCTCATCTCTCATCTCTCCCGCTCTGTCTCTCATTTTTAGTTTTTGAGATAATCTTTTAAATTTACATTATAATCAAGGTCTTAATGCTGCACAAGGTAGAGTACGAGACCCTAGTTTAGTGGGAATACAGACAAAGTGTGCTGATTAAAGACTCTTAGAACCAAAAGCAGTAATCAGGGGGAGGGTAGGAAGTTTAGGACCATAAAAGATTAACACTGTATTCATTGGAAGAAATGGTCATTGATGCCATAATTCGGGAAAGAATCCAAAGTTACTGTCCTCATGTTTGTCTCTCTGTGTCCTTCTGAGATTTTGCCTCGTTTGTCAAATTTTAGTGTTAAAAGTAACAGTCCAATAGGGCTCCCATTTCTTCATTATTCTATCTCTAAATATTAGCTTGTTTAAATATTTTCAAATTGCTTTCTTTTTCTTTCCTTTTTTAAAATTTTTTTTGGTAAGATTTACTTTGAAAGGCACAGTTATAGAGAGAGTGAAGGAGAGGCAGAGGGAAAGAGCTTCCATTCACTGGTTCACTGCCCTTATGGCCACAACAGCCAAGAGCTGGGCAGGCGAACGGCAGGAGTCAGGAGCTTCTTCCAGGTTTTTAAGTGGGTGCAGGGACTCAAGCATTTGAATCATCCTCTGCTGCTTTCCCAGGCACATTAACAGGGAACTGAATCGGAAGTGGAACAGGCAGGACTTGAACAACGGGCCATATGGAATGCCAGCATACCACAGCACTGGTCCCTGGAAATCTCTTTTACATTGAGCTAACCCAAAGATACTATAGCTTTTCAAATAAAAATGAAATCTTAAAAAAAAATCATTCTTGCTCATGTGTATCAGCTGTCTTGTGCCGGTAGCCTCTACAATTCCTTCAGTGTGCTTTGTCCCCCATTCTGTTCTTAGTGGGTAACATGATATCTTTGTGAGTGGTTTCTGCATGACAGATGAGACTCATATTTGGTGTATTAATGTTATATTTCCCCTCTTTCTCTTTTGTAAAGGAAATGTGGCTTTAGATAATCTACAGATAAAAGAAAATGCTCTGGTAAGTCAACTCTGTAATAACCCAGTTAATTTGGTAAGCTCCTAGAAACATTTGGTTACTCAGCATTTGGTACCAGGTACCAGATAAACTGATTGAGTCATTCCCAAAAGGATTGCTTTTGTAATCCAAATATTTAAATTTCCTTCCCCTTTGTATAGGATATTCCAACTTTAAAATTTTTATCCACATATTTGATTATTTATTTAATTTCTTTAATGAAAAATTTGAAATACAGAGTTAGAGAGAGGGAAAAACAGAATGTGGTCTTCTGTTGGCTCACTTTGCAACTGTCAAATGACTGCAGTGGCTGGGGCTGGCCCGGGAGGATGGCAAGAGCCAAGGACTCTCTCCAGGTCTCCTGTGTTGGGAGCAAGGGCCCAGTGACTTGTGCCGTCTTCTGTCTTCCCCTGTGCTTAGCAGGGAGCTGGATCAGAGGCAGAGCAGCTTGGACTGGAAATGGCACTCATCTGAGGCTTAATCATTATACCTCCAGCCCCATCCACTTACTTAGAAATTGTGATTGTGCTGATGGAGATCGAACTAAAGTCTGTTTTTCACTATTTATGAAAGTATTTTATGAGAAAATAAGTGTCAGCAGCATTGCAGTGAAAGGCTATATGGCAACATAGAAGACAAATTGTTTGAACTTGTGTTAGTCATATGAATTTTGATATAACTAAATACTAGAACATATTTCATTATTTGTATTTTTTATTAATTCATGCTAGTCTTCTTTCCCCTTTAAGATTGGTAAGATTTTACTTTGAAACAGGTTCTTTACACTTATTTGGTATGAAAATCATTTTTGAAGGATTCAAATGAGTATAGAATTGCTCATTTTCCAGTTTTTATCCTATATAATGTGAATTTGTTTGGTTTTTTTTTTAGTACCAGTGTAGATTTTTTCTATTTTTGGTCTAAAATGGCTTTTCACATATATTGGAAGAGATACTCCACCTGCTGCTTGTTTGCTTCCCAAATTCCCAAAACAGCTGGGACTGAGACAGGCTGATGCCTGAAATTCAATCCAGGTCTTCCACATAGATGACAGGGACCCAGACATTGGGGCTATCACCCCCAGCACCCCAGTGTGCCCCATAGCAGGAAGCTGGTTTCAAACACAGAGCTGCACTTCTACCCAGGCTGCCTTATATTGGATACAGGTATCCCAGGTGTGACTGTAACTATTATGGCAGTCGCCTGTGCCTAAGTCGACTTTTTTTGTAGGTCAAAAGCAGTTAGTATTTTACTCATTTTGGTTCAACAGGAATGTCCAAATAGTCAGATGATCTGAGAAGTTGATTGCTAAAATTTTTATTTGCAATGTTATATTTTAGTAGCCTCGCTTCCTTGGAATTCGTATACGTTCAGATATACCCATCAGAAAGTGTGTACTTTCTGGCTTAATTTTTAATCATTGTGAAGATTTATGTGATCATTATGAATTTCAGTTGTTTGGTACTCTATGAATAAATACTTATGTGAACTTTCTGATGCTTTGGGGATCTGGAAAAGTGAATATTTATTATTAATACTTACCTGTAAAGTTACTTAAAGGAAGTGCTAATTTAATGAATAGTATATTTGGAATATGTTCTTTTATAAAATTAATTTATTCATTTAGTAAATATTTGAGAGAAAGTTATCAGTTGGTGTTTTCAACTAATTTTTAAGAAAATATTCCTTTTCCTATTTCAGTATTTCAGTTAGTGTGCATCTGTTTAACTTCACTGAATTTTGATTTTATTTGATTTACTAAAATAGTTTGTCCACACTTTTTCTTTTTCCTTGTTATAATTTTGCTTCTGATATGATTTCTGTTAACATTTGTTAATAAAGGCTCTTTTATTTAAGTCTATAAAACATGATTTAAGAGTTAGCCCAATATAGAAAATTTAGTTTTTGATATCCCTTGGAGATGAGTATATTTTAATGATGAAATAAAAGTGATCTTTTGGGGTAGTTAGTAATATTTTCTTTTAAATTGTTTTCTTCCTTCTTAAGAGTGAATTGGATGTTCCTTTTAAAGTCAAGGCTGGCCAGATTGGTGAGTATTTTGGTTTTTCTTAACCCTCTTAGTTTTATATTTTGCTGGGTCATTTTAGAATAAGAAGAGCTGCTTTAGGCTGGCTGGAAGTATGAAATATTTTTGACTCTTACATTTATTAGCTCTCGTGGAGTTCTGAGCCTAATGTGTATTATGTACGATATATGAGTACTTCAGGTTTTTGTTTGACAAAAAAGTAGAAAGTCTCTCTAAAGCTGAATGGTAATGAACTGCAATTATGCCCTTCAGGCTTTGATTCTACAGCATAAATATATATCTTCAATTTAAAAACAGATAGGCTAATTTTGTATGACTTTATTTACGTGTGAAAGCAGTGTAATTTGCAAACTCTAGTGCATAAAATTTAAAATGTAGCTTATTTCCCTCATGTTTTGTTCAACCATTTTTACCTGCCAAACTATGCAGCAGTGTGGTGTGGACGATATGTTTCGGTAAGTACGAAGTCTCTTTTTTTTTTTGCAGCTAGATAAGCTCTTGTACTAAGACTATCCATACCAAGCATCTATCTTCGTTGAAGAAGTTGTGGAATGGGAAGTTTAATCCACAGGGTCCTTATGGCTGATTAGCTAGTCCATGCTGTGATTCTTACTTTTTTGTTGTTGGTTAAGTTGTAACTCTACATGGCTTGCACTTCTGTGAGGAGTTTTCACGTGTGCGCATGCTTCCTGTCACTTCTTGACAGCTACTTCACCATGTCACTTGTCTCCGTCTGCTGTTTTGTGTTCCAGCGGGGCTCTGGTTTCATCACGATTACACGCCTGATCTGCACTGCATTTGACATCACATGCTCATCTGCGTGTTCATATTGTTGTCCTTTGAAACAGAAGACATTTCCTCAAATTGAAATTAGCTCTGGGCTGTGATCTATCTTTTTTGTTTGTTGAGTAGTTGTAAATGTGTTGGTTAGGTTTAATGGTGCTGTGGAAGTACTGTTTTGGTTTTCTTTTACCTGATTAGTTGAAATCCTAGAGTGTAGGAATTGCTCATTCTTTTACTTTTGTAGTATTTACACATGTATGTGCAAGACTATGTAAGTTGCTGTGGGAATGGTGGGAATGATATGGTATTCTTGTCTATAGAGATCTAAAATTAGGATTAAATTGACATTGTATTTCCAGGATATTGGATGAATTACATTGATTAAAGGAAATTTTCATCATTCATTATATTTTTGCGGCTTGGTTTTTATTTGGGAGGAAGTTTTCCAATGGTTTAGAATTTTTTTTTCACTTTTAAAGTATCATAACCTTCTAGTGTTATTAGACTGATCATATGTGTGGATGCAAGGCATTTTAAAAAAATGTTTATCTATCTTTGGTTTATGGAGAATTTATATTGGTTATTAAATTCTACCTCATTTGAAATGAAGTCTGCTTAAGTGCAAGGACAATTTGAGTTTTTAAGAGCCAGATACTTTCATGGATGCATATGGCTTTCCTTTACTTAAAATTTTAGACAGTTTTTAATCAGTAAAAGGAGATAATAATATTGCTGACTAAACTCTAATACCTATTGTTGATTGGGTGGGTGGGTGGTTGCAAGAGTTAGCAAATTAGGATAAATGGAGGGAAGAAGAAAAGGTTTAGACAACAGAGAATACGTTGTGTGTGTCCCTCAGGGGCATTTCCCCTTTTTTTTTTTTAAAATCTGTATTAGGTCCATCAAGAAAGTTGTGAATGAGGTTTTGTTGTCTGATAATGTGAAAGTTATGAATAGTATTCATTATAAATATAGATGATACAATAAAATTTTTAGACATGTAAGTGGTCCAGAAGTTTAGTGATTTTATCTCTGTGCCCTTTATCTGGGAGTCATTTAAGAAATTCAGGGTGTTTACATGCAGTGAGCAGTGAAATTTTGAATAGAGAAGTTGCCTGGGGAATAATATAGACTCCCTGGTAAAACATGCTTCCGTGGCCATTCAGGTGATCAGAGTTATTCTTCCTTACGTAACATTGTCCTGTTTCTGCTTCAGCTTTTATATATGTTTAGTAGTTCTTCGAACTTTGGATCTTTTAAAAATTTCATTGTTTCTGGGAGATATCAGAGACTTATTCACATACTAGCATGACTTAGTTGAATCATATTCTTTCTCAATAGTTTTGATCAGCAATACTGAGCGAATTGAGGTTTTTTTTTTATAGAGTTACTGTTTTTAAATGATGGTGAAGGAGAACTCTAGGGGTGGGGAAGTTTGAATAGAATTACAAAACTGTTGAGGTAAGCTGGGGGCATTAGCTCCTAGGCAATTTAGAACTAGGGAATACCAGAGGCAAGGAAAAGGGTAAGGAAAAAATATGAGAAAACATTAAGGATGATCTTGTCCATTTCAAAATTTCACTGTGTTCTTTCGTTGATCTAACAATCTTTCCTTTTAAAACCCTAAACTCAGCTTAGTAATATTAATGCCGTAGTTCATCTGATTTATGAGTAAAAGTTTTTGTGTTTTCATTTCAGAATGACCTAATATTAATGCCATTGTTTCTATTAAAGAAAATGTGTTCTAATTTCCCAGGTGACATATAAGAAGATATTTGGGCTGTAACTGATCTTAGTTGCTAGTAACTTGTCACAATATTCACACAACAGTTTTCATTGCCTTGGAACTGTCTTAATCTGGCTGTGGCATTTTGATATTTTGTGGAAGTTAATCCTGTGGGACTGTTTTCTGTGTTGCTGCTCCAGTTCCTGGAATCATGCGCAGATGTTTTACAATTCATTGCTGGAGATTTAGTTGTTGATGTAAAAAGAAGAGCATGTGCAATGCTCAGATGTCAGGTTCTGAGTTCTGAATCCAGCAATCTCCCTGATTACCAGGTAGAGTTAAGCAGCTAGGTTAATCCCTATGGTACTGAGTTTCCCTTGATTTATTTCTAGCAGAAAGAGTTACAAAGAGAAAAAGAGATAGATAGAGATCAAGAGAGATCTTTCACCTTCTGGTTCACTCCCCAAATGGCTGCAGCGGCCAGAACTGACCTGATTCAAAGCCAGGAGCCAGGAATTTCCTTTGGGTGTTCCATGTGGATACAGGGACATAAGAACTTGGAGCCATCCTCCACTAATTTCACAAGCTATACATCCTGCAGGGAGCAGGATTGGAAGTTCTTGAACTAGTACCCATGTGGGATGCTGGTGCCACAGGCAGAGGCTTAGCCTGGTACACCAAGGTGCTGGCTGGCTCCTGAGTTTCATTTTCATCAGTGTTGAAATAATAACTGGTTCATTCATCAGTTTTGAAATAGAAAATGAGATCATAATTATCAAAGAGTTTGAAAACTATAAAGCACAATGTAAATAGTATAGTAATATTACATAGAAAACATTTTTATGAACTCTAGGAATTTTTAAAAAATGCATGTGCGTGATATATGTGTTGTATCCTGAAAGAGTTTTGTTATACATTTTGTCTTATTAGGGAATAAACAATTTATATCTCTTGAGAAACCAAATATGAAATTATGTTTCTTTAGATAAATTGACTTTGAAGATTCCCTGGAAAAACCTTTATGGAGAAGCAGTTGTTGCAACCCTAGAAGGACTCTACCTGCTTATTGTCCCTGGAGCAAGTATGTTTATGTGATACCTGTTCAGTGACATCATGGTGAAATTTAATTGTTACCTGGTTATGTATTTTAGTATATTTCATAATATAGAAAGTACTTAAGTAAACTAAATTATAACATACACATACATACATACATGTATGTTTGCAGAAATATGCACATACGTATTGCTATATTTGTATATAAAATATTTTTGCCTTATTGTTGGAACAAATAAATTTAATCTATTAACATGTGTTCTGTTCTCTGTTAGTAATTATTTTACATCTAAGGCTCCTGATTAATCAAAAGGCAGATTTACTGTTGGGAGAGTTTTTAAAAAATTAAAAAAGGGTCTTGAGGTTTTAAAGCTTTAAGATCTGCTACTGTGTTAATTTGTAGATACTGAGATTGAATCGCTTGCTTTATCTATCTATTTATTTAAAAGTCAGAGTGATACAAGATTGGGGTCTTCAGACTCCAAATGGCCCTGAACAAGCAACCTGGTATGACAGCTTCTGTCAGAGCAAGCAGCTTCGATGATCCAGACCATCACTCCGTTGATCCCCACATTTCCATGGGCCCCTTTACCCAAAGATGCCCAGTTTCAGCAGATAGTAGCTAGAAGATATCTTCACCCTTTTTCTCTACAGAAGCAGGATATGGGATTCAAAAAGGGAAATCTGAGACTGGCTAAGCCTGCTGAAATCTTGGCCACACTTTCAAGCGAGTGACACAAGAATTCCCCAGCCATTTTCTAACTGGTTAAGAGACCACCAATGGGGAATGTCTTATCTGTAGGTTCCCGCCCAACAAGGAGGGTCAGGGAATGCTTAAAACTCCTAGACCCTTCTGAAAACCTGTCTCTCTCCCTCTCTCCTTTCAATAGGGACCCCACCTCCCATCTCTCTCTTAAGAGGTGCTTTCCTCTTCCCTCTTCTTTCCCAGTTCACCTGGTCACTTTGCAATAAACTTCTCTGGGAAAAACAAAACAAAACAAAAACCCACAGGGATAGGAAGAGACAGATCTTCCATCTGCTGATTTACTCCCCAAATGCTCACAATAGCCAGGGCTGGCCAGGATGGAGGTAGATATCTGGAACTCCGGCTGGCACTTGCACCTGGGTAGAAGGGTCCGGACACTTGAGCCATCTTTATCAGCTGAGCAGCCAGAATTGAACCAATGTTCCAGCATGGGATGCTATTACTTCAATATGGCATGCCTATATTGCAAATGACAGCGTAACGCTTTGTGCCCCTGTGAGGCTCCCAGTTTGGATTTTATGGCTTCTTATTTTGAGCGAACGGTCTCCTAAAAAATGTAAAATAGTTAATTATTACCTTAGAAATTTTAGTGTTTTGATTTTGAATAACTTAAGCTACTGAGCTTTAATGGTTCTGTTTTTCAGTTATAATGTTAAGACAAGTATGGATGATTAAGGGAAAGATTACTTATGATTTTTCAACCATAATACAAATGCAACTTTAATTTGCTTTTTGCCTATTAGCGAGTCTTTGTATATATGTACTTGATTTTAAATATCAGGTATCACGTTAGAGTCACAATGTTGAGTTTGTTTATTCGTTTAATAATGAATTTTTATTTGTTTAAACAGCTCTCATTGTGATGGTGATAATTTAAAAAGCTGTATGATAGTTCATCATGGCCTGCCTACTGTGTTTTACTATTATAGTGAAACCCTGCGTTCCACCCTGATATAGATGGTTTTAGTCTTTTGCATTGTTTCACTGGGACACATGATCAGAAATGAGATTATTATGTATAAATGACCCAGTCATATTGAGACTACACTTTTCTCATTTGGCTACTTACTAATTCCATATCTTTTTGGGTTAACACTGTTTAGGTATTAAGTATGATGCTGAAAAAGAAGAAAAATCCTTACAGGACATTAAGCAGAGAGAGCTTTCTCGAATTGAAGAAGCTCTTCAGAAAGCAGCAGAGAAAGGTACAGTAAGTTTGTATTTTATGACATTTAAATATATCTTTATTTCAGATATACTTAGTTCCTTTTGTGTTTTGTAAGTTGTACTTCCAAGGAAAGACTCTTCTTTTAAAATCTTATCTCAGACTACTGTTTGTTAGTATTTCGATGGCTCAGATTTAGGAATAATTGGTTTTTTTTTCTGATTGTTTCATTATACTGCCTGTTTGTTTTTCTCACTCTTCTTAACCAGTCATTTTTACTATATTACTTCAGGAAACCATCCAGATTTTAGGAGTTTCTGCAAACATGTGTTTTAGCCAAAATTTTAGTTTTTGTTTGCATGTGTCTCTGCCTGTGTTCTTTCAAGATAATGAACTTAAGCATGCTACTGTAGCAAACTGATATCTAGAGGAAATGCTACCGTTGACTGCTCCTGACTCTCCTATTGTATAGAATATTTAAAAAAATTTTTTTATTCTTCAGATTTTAGTGTTTTAGCATCTTACATAGCAATTTTTGTTTTTATCTGAAGATAAATATGAAGCTTTAATTGGATTACATTTTGACTTATAGGGGAAGAACCAGGATAAGGTGAAAAAGATGAGCCCGTGGAGCATGGGCTGCTGTGCCACAGTGCTGACCTCCTGACATTTTTTCTTAGCTGTTAAAGTTATACTTAATAGCCTTGATTATGTATAAGCATTCCATTAATAGTCTGTGTGCGTGTGTGTCCTGTTTTTATTCATCATTGTTCAAGTGAATGATAAAAGATAACCCTGGCGTTTATATGCTTTATGTTCTACCATTATTAATTATTACTTAGTAGTCAGATGTTATCAGGGTTGTTGCTTTTTACTTATCTTTTGATTTTAAAAACTCAAAATACCACTGAACACACAAACTCTGCCTTTCAAGACTTAAAGAATGGAGTTAATTCAATTATAAGCAGTAGATAATAAAAATGAAAGAATTATTATGTAAAAGTTTATACATTTTAAATTTTCAGATGAATTGCTTATTCTATTATGCTTAGAATATTTTTACTTGTTTCATTTCTATTGTCATGTGGAAAGAAAAGTGAATTATTAATTTCTAGACAATTTGTGTATCTGTAAAGAAAAACTAAAAATACTCAATATTTTTCTCCTTTTATTTTGTTGAAGTAAGCTGATTCCTGGGAAGGCTATCATAAAGTAAAGGGAAAGATAGAATTTCTAATAGGGCCATAGAATTCCCAAATGTTAGCTTTTGTATTTAAAATATTAATTTTGTCAAAAACTTTAACAGACTTTAAATTCCAGTAGTTTTGCCAAGAGGACTTAACAGTGAAAAATGACAGCCCGCTGCTCTACCTTTTGCTACCTTTCTGACTCAACTCCGGGGAGGGAATCTTACCTTTAGACACAGTAACGTTCCATCATTATTTAGTTTTATTAATATAAGGCATGTTATGGTATTCAATCAATGTATTTCTGTATCTCTTCTCACCCTGAGTTCGGCCTTCCTCATTTTTCATTATATGCATATCTAATCTAGTATCATGGGTTAAATAATTGTTGTTCATCGCTTTGGGCAAAGAATTCTCTGAGATTGTGTTTCCGTTTTTATACAATCTGCTTTTCTTGTATGTATAAGTGCTTCTTTATGTTTTGTCTTCTGGGTAAGCCTACCTATAGTTCTTTTTGTGAGCTGCATGAAGACTGTTATCTGAATAGGAATAAACCTGTTTATGCTCTCCGTACTCCTGTTCCCTTGGAGCGCTACCTGTGAGCTGTTACGCTTGCTGTACAGTTGTCGTCCTGGGACTGGTCTTCATTGCTCTCTGTGTTTAATAATTTCCTCAGCTTACTCCTTTGTTTGGTTGATGCATGTTTAGCAGCTTTTTAAAAAAATTAATGCTCATTTAAAAAAAGATTTATTTATTTTTATTGAAAGGACAGATTTTACAGAGAGAAAGAGACAAGCAGGAAAAGATCTTCCATATCTTGGTTCACTTCCCAAATGGCCACAGTGGCCAGATGTGTGCTGATTTGAAACAAGAGCCAGGAGCTTCTTCCAGATCTCCCACATGGTGTAGGGGCCCCTGGGCATGAACCATCCTCCGCTGTTTCCCAGGCCATAAACACAGAGCCTTTTGGGAAGTAGATCAGATGGGACATGAACTGGTGCCCATATGTGATGCTAGTGCTGCAGGCAATGGCTTAGGCTTCTAAGCTCAACACTGCCCCCACGTCTAACTTTTTAAGAAAATGTGGGGTGAATGTAATTTTGAAAATTAAGACTGGATAGCTTCATGTGTGATTTTCACATTTGTTTGGGGATAGAATGCTGGATTAATAAAGTTTTGAAGATACTATTTAACTTCCAGGTACATCTCAAAAGTTTGTTGTCAGTCTGCTCTGCGCATTATTGGAAATACAAAAGTCAGAAAATTTCTAGGCCCTTCTCTTGAAGATTTTATTATTTTAATGAAAAATATTTGCGTATTAGTAAGTGAAAAAGTGTTGATTTCCATTGGGGAGGTATAGGTAGAATGTTCTAAAGTTTAGAAGGAATATAAGTTCAGCAAAGAGATTGGGATAAACACTGAAGGTATGTGTTTCAGGCAGATCTTAAAGAGATGGGGACATTCCAGGTGGAAGTTAAAATGATCATGGAAAAGTATGGAGAATCTAGGGAAAGAATTAGCACTTTGGGAATTTGATGATAGGAAGTAGTTGGATGGAAGCTTGTAAAGCTAAGTATAGGCTCATTGTAGGAGATTTGAAATGTTTAAATGATGGTGATATGATAATGACGATGATAGTAGCTGACATCTGTTGAAGACTTACTGTTCACCAATCATTCCTCAAAGTGTTTCTTATAAATTAACTTGTGATAACTTAGTGTTAACTGTTCTCGTTTCACAATTGAGAAAACTCAAATTTCTAGTTCCCACAGCTAGAAAGTAGTTTAGCTAGAATTTGAATCCTGTCTGGTTCCATAGATCTGTATTCTGAACCCTATACAATGATGAACTTGAAAATCTCTACTTGTAGTAGCAGTAAGTTTTGTTTTCCTGTCTTTGAGAATCTGGGGGTGACAGACCTAAGCTGTGATTTGGGGAAGGTAACTGATGTCTGTGCTAGGAGGGAATAGAACATGGTACTATCTAGTGATCATTAACAAGAGTGGATATAAAAGACACAAATACTGTATCTAAAAGGAACAGATTGCTTTCAAGATGAGATCATTTTAACTGACTCTAAAATTAGTGTCAAATATCACAGTCATATTTTAGTCTTAAAGTGGGCAAAATGGCAAGCAAAAAGAAAACAAAACAGGAAGATATTTGCTGTGTTTGACAATTTGTGAAAAGTTCCATGGAGCTACAGTCCACATTTATGTGTTTCGCTTAATTTGAAGTGTTTGTTATTTTAATTATTAAAAACTTGATTTTATTATTTGAAAATATATTTATTAAAGAAGGAAAATGGAGTCACCGAGTATTTCCTTAAATATAAATGGTTTTTGTGTCGCGGAACTGCAGTTGTCCTGTTACTTGATTTTTAATTCTGTGAATGAAGTTTAGGCATATTTTATGTATGAAATTAAAGGTATCTCTTAAATGCTTTGCATTTTGGTTATTGCTGCCATGTGGATGCAGGCGCACATTCAGGGGAGTTCATGTATGGCTTGGAAAACCTTGTTTACAAGGACATCAAGCCTGGTGGGTATGCACGGTTCATTCTGTTCACCTATACAAAATTATGGTTTTGTTCCATGCTTATGATTTTTTAGTCCAGTCATTTTGGCAATGTACATCCTTGTAGAAAATATGGAAATGTAATTCATGTTTTCCCCCTTTACCGTCATTTCCTTTATCCTGTCTCCACAGCCATTTGTTCATTCACCAACATTTTTTTTTTTCTTTTTTCACTTGTGTGTCTTATTGTGATAAGTACTGTGCTGGATGCTGAGTGTTCATGGGGTAAACAAGTATGACCACTACCTTTGTGAAACATCTCCAGATAATGTCCAAATTCAAGCAGGTTTTTAAATTTGAACTCCGTACTACAGCAATAGTTTCTCAATTAAGCAATTTCTCTCTTATACTATTGTTTTATAAAAAAATTATTTATGTGCTTATTGGGAGTGAGAGAGAAAAAAGAGGGGTGAAAGAGGTAGAGGAGAGGAAGAGAGATCTTCCATCCTCTGGTTCATTCCCTAGGTGGCCGCAATGACTAGGGCTGGGTCAGGCTGAAGCCGAGAGATAGGAACATCTTCCAGGTCTCCCATGTGGGTGGCAGGGGCCCAGGCACTTGGCCTGGCCTCTGCCTCTCTTAGTTCTTTAACAGGGAGCTGGATCAGAAATGGAGCAGCTGGGATATGAACCAGTTGCGATGGTAGCATTGCAGGTAGTGGCTTTACCCGCTGTTCCACCATGTCAGTCCCCATTTTTTGTTTAAGCTCATGAAAAACAGGCATTTTCTTTGAGACTTTGCTTAGAAGTTTGTTAGGAGATGCTCCTCTGTTGCCTGATTTGTTTCCTTTGTTTTAGCTTTGGAGGCACCCCCAGACCGCCATCTTATCCAGCATGTTGTAGTTTTCAGCTTCACAAAAGGTTAATTTAAGATTTACAGTAGGATTGTTTTATGTACTAGGAAGTCTGCCAACTACATGAAAGTAACTTAAATATTTTCAGCAGTAATTTGATTTATTAAATTTTATGTTTTGCGTAACAGTTCAGGTACCTAATCACACCTAAAATTTGATTTGTTAAAATGGAAAGAAAGGTTTGTGTGTGGAAGTTTAACAGTAAACGTCGTGTTAGAATTCTGCAGTTAAGGAACTTCCTTAATATAATAAAAGTTCATCACTATGAATGGGATGAAGATTTGCTTGGCAGTTTCACAATATTAGGTGTAGTTACTTTGAAAGCAGTTTCTATTCTGACAAACTGCTCATTTAATAAATGTGGCTGACTTTCTTTATTTAATATGGAATATAGCATGAATGCACTCCTGGCTTATTGTTTGATTCTGTAAGGCTGTAACTGAGCCAGCTTTCTATGCAACAGGAGAGGTAGTATTCACACATCATTGCTTCATACCAGCTAGCAGTGCTTTTGATCCTGCTATGAGTAACATTTACTGAAGATACATACACATTTTAGTGACCTATTTAACTATCTTAACAAAATCATTGAATGGCATTGTTAAAGCCAGTAGTCCCCAATTCCTGTTTTGTTTTTTTTTCAAGATTTATTTTTTATTGTAAAGTTAGATATACAGAGAGGAGGAGGGAAAGAGAGGAAGATCTTCTGTCCGTTGATTCACTCCCCAAGCAGCCGCAACGGCCAGTGCTGCATCAATCCAAAGCTAGGACGCAGGAGCTTCCAGGTCTCCCACTCAGGAGCAGGATCCCAAGGCTTTGGGTTGTCCTCGATTGCTTTCCCCTAGGATGCAAGCAGGGAGCTGTATTAGAACTGGCACTCATATGGGATCCTGGTGCTTGCAAGGCCAGGACTTTAGCCACTAGGCTACCGCACTAGGCCTAATCTCTGTGTTTTTAAGATCGCTTATCCTGGAAAAAAATGGAGTCTGGAATATGAGTAATTTTGAAGTGAGAATGGTTAATTTTGTTGGTGGTGTCTTCATTCTGTTTTTCTGTAGGAGTTTATGTATGTCTTATGATCATTTCCTGTTTTTAGTTTGTGTGTATTACTTAATTTGATTTTTTTTAATATGCTAAAGTAGTGGTTCTAAAGGAAAGGTAACTGACACTAATAGGTATTGTTTTCCCATTGTGTTCACGTTTGTACTGCTGGTGTGAAAGTTAGCATGTGAAGTTGCTTGCTGTTGTAGCATCCAGCATGACCATGCCTCACTCAGGGTAGCGGGTTCTAACTATAACAGTAGACTTTGAACTTTTGAGCAAAGATTAGAATTTCAGGAACCCGTCACTTGACAGTGTCTCAGGATTTTAAAACTTTTCTTGAGATTCATGGTAATATTAACAAATGTGGTTTTAAAATGTTAATGAAGTGACAACATATGAAAGACTTGTGTGGTTCATTTCATCTTTCTCTATTACTAATGAATGACAAAAAATTCTGCATGTTTAAAAGGACATTCAGAATAGAGGATAATTCAGATGAAAGAGTTATTGATAGGGTATCTAATTTTATATTGTAACTAAGAAGCTACCACCTGTTGAAATTTGTGTAGTTTTCCATGATTATATGAAAAGGCTACAAAAATACTTGTCCTTGTCCTAACTACATGTGTGTAGGTTGACACAGTTTCCATCAAATACTTAGAATAGTGCGTGAGTATCTTCAGAGATTGAAGGAAGGCATGGATATATGAATTTACCTATTCTGTGGTAAGCCAGATGTTAGAGATTTAAAAAATAATGTTTTTCTTTTTTATGGTATTCGACATTAGAGATTTCAAGCATGTAAATTTGTTCCACTTCTCTCACTACAACTTTGTATTAAGAAAATATACTTTTGCTAACTGTATGTCATGTGATTTTTTAAAAATTTCTAAATGATTGAATAAGTTTTTAAAACGTTTCTCACTTTCAATTTTTGAGTATGATAACATTAATAGTTCTAAAGCATGTAAGTAAAAAGCTGTTTAGACCCTTCAGCTTTTAAGTGTGTTGAAGGATTCTGAGGCCAGGATGTTTGAAAACAGCTTTAGAGTGTGATTATCAGCTTCATTAAGCGACTTTCTGCAAACCTTGTGCAGCCCTCAGGTTGACTGGGGGAAGTTTAAACTCGCATAGTACAGCTAATATGTGATGGAAGGGGTGGGGGTTAGAGCAAATGTGAAACCAGCCAGACAGGATGTCTGATGTGAAGAGGCTCTGTCCCCTGTCTCTGAAACATGTGCTGGTGGAATGGCTTTCAGGACTAATCCTGCTTTTTTATGTTTCTTTTTAAATGGTGTTTCTTTTAAACTGTGTTTTTCTATGTGTTATACTTTATGAATGAAGCAGAGTTGGGGACCTGTCAGTGCTGCAGGAAATACTTAATGACAGTGTCATTCAGATCCTATTAGGTGTCTAGCACACATTTTGTTCTTGAAAGTTAAGATTTGTTTCTTGCTATCCAAGGTTTGTTTCTCAAAATTTTTTTGAAGATTTATTCATTTTTATTGGAAAAGCAGATATATAGAGAGAAGGAGAGACAGAGAGGAAGATCTTCCATCCGATGATTCACTCCCCAAGAGGCCACAATGGTTGATGCTATGCCGATCCCAAGCCAAGATCCAGAAACTTCCTCCAGGTCTCACACACAGGTGCAGGGTCCCAAGGCTTTGGGCTGCCCTCAACTGCTTTCCCAGGCCACAAGCAGGGAGCTAGATGGGAAGCAGGGCTGCTGGGATTAGAACCAGCACCCATATGGGATCCCGATGTGTTCAAGGTGAGGACTTTAGCTGCTAGGCCACCATGCCAGGCCCTGTTTCTCAGTTTTTGTAGCAGGATGGAATAGCAAGGAAAGCCAAATTAAAATATTCAAACCAAATGTCACATATATGCTCTCAAATATACCTAATATGAATGGGTTTTATATATTTTGATGTGATGTTCATTTTGTGGACTCTTTGGTGCATTTGGAATGGGAAATCTCTTGGGAGTTCTTCTGGCTGGTAGCGAAAGAATTTCATAGATCCAGTATAGTCACTGTTCACTGGGATTCTGTATGCGGTACAGGCCCTAGTGCTGCTTAGAGGAATTGAGGAAGACTTCGTGGTGAATAATGCTGGCTCTGTTTCAGAAGCATCTTTGGAATTTGCCAGGTGGACAGCTTCAGGAAGGACATTCCAATTTAGGGAATGAAATGTATAGAGAGTCATTATTAGGCAGTAGGAAAAATGTCTTGATTGGGGAAGTACAAATGGTGTTTCTCTGGTTTCTAGTGCAGAGATGATTGATGGGAAACAGGGCAGGGAAATAGGGGTCCTGCAAAAAGACTGTGTCGTGCAAGCATGTTGTGATTTATTTTGGAAGATATCAGGTCACAGTTTAGAAAGCGTAGGTGAGGCTGGAGACTGCTCTGGAGCTTCAGACTAGATGCGATGCCTGGTAGGTAGTTCAGTGTAAATTTAGAAATTAGAAAGGTGTTATGCCAAGATGTAGTGAGGCAGTGAATGAAAAATGAAAAAGGATGAGATTTTATAGGGATCACTCAGCTGATTCAGTGCATTTTATGCCCTTTTTTCTGGTCTTTATATAAGTGAGTCAAAATGTAACGTTGGTTATGAGGAGAGCAATCAAGAATTCATCTGTCCACAACCTACACATTCATTTCATTTGTGTCCCTATGTCCCTGCCTTACATTTATCAAAACTTTCCTTTGAAAGTTTGTATTCTGCCATTGTTACATTTCCCATATTTTGGCTCCATATTGACATTAAAATGAAATCTTGTGTTGTAAAATGATTAGTAGTATCAATGGCATTGCAAAAATATATTTTCCCCGTTTTTATTTAATTGCAACTGCCAAGCTGTTTTCTAGATTAAGAAGATACATCTATACTGAGGGTCTTTCTAGACTAAAGCTAGTTTGTGAATTTGTGTTTGTATTGAAGTAACAGATCAGTGTGAGATTACTTAGCCAAGAATGTGCTGTCAGCAAGAATTCTCTTGTTTTCTTTTCTGTCCTCTAGTCTGCTAACTTGAATTTTATCCTTTTCTCACTAAAATGCTTCCACTGAGAAGGACGTAAACGTAAAAAGCACAAAAAACATTTTAAGAAACGTTTTAAAGGTCTTGATCGCTCCAAAGGTAGGTAAAAGTAGTTTTTATGCCATGTGTTGCTTATACACATTGCCAATTGATTTCTGTCATGGAAGGTCAAAATGAATGTTAGATTACATTGTAACTCAAAAATAAGTTGCAAATGTTTATAAAATCTGAAATAAATCTAAAATGAGGACCTTAAAGTAGACTCACATTTCCATCAAGTGTGCCTTATCTCTTTGATCAGTGGTGGTGAGCTATGTGAGAATTTCGACTCCTGAATTTTTGTTTATCTTTTTTTTTATAGATAAGCCAAAAGATGCCAAAAAGGATACATTTTTTGAAAAATTGGCAACTCAAGTAATAAAAAATGTACAAGTAAAAATCACAGATATCCACATTAAATATGAAGATGATGTGAGTTGTGCATTTGGTTTATATTAATAATGATAAGTTTTGTTCTTAATTTATTTTTATATAGTGTTCTAACGCTGTTTAAATATGAGGTTGATTTTCTTGTGTTTAGTACACTGCTGTATCTCCTTTCTTGTGTTAGCATACTTAACAAGCATTTTTATCTTTAAATATAACATGAAACCATTATGTACTGCACTATTAAGTTAACATAATCAATTTTGGGATTGTCTTGTATTTCTTTTGAATTTTGTTTGAATTTTAAGATGCATAATGTTAAACTTTAAGCCATTAATTTCTTTTTATACTGATAAAAACTTAATTTCAAAGGGTGATAAACTAGCCACTGAAAATCATAATCAACAAAATGGGGCTAAAAGCCATGGTCATTTTGGCTGTCATGCCATTTTCTTTGTATTGCTTTGAGTTGATTTGAATACCCACAGCTACTCAAAATATGCAATAGTGTATTTAAAAACCAAGCTTAAGTTACAACCAACAGTTTATTATTAGTTGATTCAAAATTGTTTAGTTGAACAGTTAAAAATATAATAGATACCTTGAACTTAATATACGTTGCTTGGATGTTTTACAGTTTAAAGTTGCAGAACACTTGGATGATTTAATTTACCTGGAAACTTGGAAATGTAACTTCATTTATTCAAAAAACAAATTTCTATTCCTTTAGGACAAACTTAGAAAGATAACATATATTGATTTTAATGATTTAGTGTTAAAACTGTGTGGATAAGGAATACCTGTGTACTGTGAGAGAGTATAAATTAGTATGCCATTTAGAAAAAAAAAAAGGGTGATAGTTCCTCAATAGCCATATTTTCTGGAAGTTCCACTCTTGGATGTATAGTAAGAGGAAGTGAAATCACTATGCTTCCAATACTGTCGCATTGTTCACATAGCCATAGTAGGGAACAGTGAAGGTATCCATCCACAAGTGAATGGACACAGAAACTGTTGCGTATCATACACAGCAAAAACTACCTAACCATAGAAATGGTGCACTTTTGTTAGTTATAGTAATCTGAGTGAAACTAGATGTTGCTTTACTAAGTGAAACAGACTAGGCACAGGAAGAGAAATGCTGCATGATCTTGATTAATTTGTAGTCTAATGGAGTTAGACTCCTCAAAGTTGAGAGCAGATGATGGTTGCTTGAGACTGAGGTTGTAAGAGGAGATGTTGGCCAAAAAGAGTTTAAACTAGAGGAATCAGTGCTGGTGATCTGTTGCGTGGTATGATATCTGTGGTGAATAATAATGTATCACATTTTAGAAAATTTTTATGAGCTGATTTTAAGTGCTCTTAGCACCAAGCTGTGGTGTGTGTGATGTGCTAGTTATGTTTAGCATCCTGATTTGATCATTCTGCATGTTATACATCTATCAGAATTTAACATTGTGTCCCATACATATATATGTAATTATTATGTGCCTGTCAAAAATGACAACAGATGACATATAATTTGTGGTGAATTTGAACTTTTTATTGCCTTAATACTTATTTCCATCCTTTTAATAAAAAAAAGTTCAGAAACACACAAGACTGAGGTAGTAGTTCCAGTCTTTCAACTGATTTGAAGTGACAGATATATTAAAGTAATCCAGAGGGAAGAAAAGTAAACTATGCAAAACCTTCTTAGGAGTACCACACCCTCTTCATTTCAACTGATTATGTCTGGAAGAAAATTAAAAATAGAGAATATAAGAAATGGGATAGGAAAATTGAAATTTATCATAAAGATGCTCATTGAATAATAGGAATAGTTTGCTGGTAGTGTATTAGCAACTAAAGAGTTGTGTTGTATTAAAATTCTCTTTTAAAATTTTTGAAAAGATGTATTTCATTTTACTTGAATGCTGCAACAACTGCAGCTGGGCCAGGCCAAAGCCAGGAGCCTGTTGCTTCTTCAAGGTCTCCCATATGGGTGTTGGACTCAAAGACTTGAGCCATCTTTTGCTGTTTTCTGAGGCACATTAGCAGAGAGCTGGATGGGAAGTGGAGCAGCTTGGTCTCCAACTTATGTTCATATGGGATGCTGGAACTGCAGACAGCAAAAACTACCTAACCATAGAAATGGTGCACTATACTATACTACTGTAATATACTGTACTATAGCACTGAACTATAAAATTCTTTCTGAAATAGTTGCAACTTGTAGCACAGTAATTATTTGTAGATAACAAAAAGATAAATATAAGAAAAAGCAAAGTGTTCTACAAATCCTTATGTATTTAGTATTAACTAAAACTTGGTTTAAAAAACTATTTATTCTTTCAGTCCTATCAAAGCATACATTATTTTCTGATTTGAAAAGTGTTCTTGTGTCTAAACTCTAGAGTATTGTATGGATGCATTAAAGGTACATTTTCCTTTTTGTTTCCAGGTTTCTATCATGACAGTAAAGTTTTGAAGTTAGGGTGACAGAGGGGAGAGATGTCAATTGATTGATTGATCTGTTGAGATTGATCTTTGAAATCTTTGGATCATTCTCTACTGCTTTTCCCAGGTCATTACCAGGGAGCTGGACCTCGAGTGGAGCAGTTAGCACACAGACTTTTACTCCATATAGGATGCTGGGGTCACAAGCATCAGCTTTACCACCTGTGCCAATGCCAGTTCAGCAGTTCACATTTCTGTTAAAATCCTGTTCCCTGCTTGTGGCCTGGATAAGCCATGGAGGATGGCTCAGGTCCTTGGGCCCCTGTATTTGCATGGGAGACCCAGAAGAGGCTCCTAGCTCCCGGCATCACATCGGCTCAGCTCCAGCCATTGCAGCCATTTCAGGAATGAACCAGCAGAGGGAAGATCTTTCTGTTTGCCTTTCTCTCTGTAAATTTGCCTTTCAAATGAAATAAGTAAATATTTTTAAACGTTACATATTTTGGAAATCATTTATTGATGGGTAGTGCAGTGGCATCACAGAGTAATCCTCTTCCTTTAGAACTGGCATCCCAAATGGCTCTGCTTTTGATTCAGCTCGCTGCCAGTTGCCTGGGGAAGCAATGCAAGTTGACTGAAGTCCTTGGGCCCCTGCACCCAAGCGGGAGATTCAGAAGCAGCTACTAACTCCCAGCTCTGAACTGGCCCAGCTCTAGTCTTAGTGGCCATTTGGGGGAGTAAACCAGAAGATGTAATACCTCCTTCTCTCATTTTTTCTCTGCCCCCTGCTATTATTTTGACTTTCAAGTAAATTAAATTAAATCTACCTATCTATATATAAAGGTTTATTTATTTTATTGAAAAAGCAGATTTATGGAGAGGAGGAAATACAGAAGAATCATCTATCTATTGTTTCATTCCTCAAATGGCTGCAATGGTTAGAGCTGAGCTTATCTGAAGCCAGGAGCCAGTAGCCAAGAACCACCTTGGGGTCTATTATGTGGGTCCAGGGTCCCAAGGCTTTAGACCATTCTCTGCTGCTTGGTTCCCAGGCTATAAGCTGGAAGCTGGATGGAAAGTGGGTTACGCAGGACATAAACCAGCACCCATATGGTATCCCACCACTGAGAAGTCAAGGATTAGCTAATTGAGCCATTGCACTGGACCCAAATTAAATGAAATATTTTTTTAAAAAAAGGATTGGCAGTGCTGTTGATAATAATACCTTATTTTATTTGCGGAGAGGTCTTTGATGATATAGAAAGTTTTTCTTTTTTAACTTTGCTGAGAGGAGTCTGTTTAGTCATAGTTAAGAGTGTGATTTCCAGTAAGAATACTTTCATGGAGAAATTCTGATATTAATGTCATAGAAGCATTATGTGTCTACAAAATGTGGATATTCTTGGCCACCTTTGCCTCTTCCACTTTGTTTTCCGCCCGCAGGCTCAGTTGTGTTGTGTGACTGACTTATACACTCCCTGCTTTCTGCTGCGTGTTGTCAAGGGTCAAGTGTGGGTTCACTCTCACCATCAGTCAGTTTAATGTCACCTTTTCTTCTTTGACAGGTGACTGATCCAAAGCGACCACTTTCATTTGGTGTCACACTGGGAGAACTTAGTCTATTGGTAATCTTTGGCCTTGTTTAAAATTTCTGTGGAACTTGTTTTATTCAGAGTCACAGATTGAACTGTCTAAAGTCAGCAGTGCTGCAAATAGCTGTTCAATTTTTAATGTGTTTTCTTGCGGTGTCTTTTCCAAAACTTCTGTGTCTTCATTGATGTCATTAACATCTTGTAACCATTTTAATTTGTCTTTCCATGTAAGAGACATAAATTACTTGCAGTTAAAAAAACTGTATGTTAAACATGTAGGAAAAGAAAAATTTCTGTATTTACTTAGTATGGACAGACAAACATTGCTGTATGTGTTAAAGTGAAGTGTGAGCCAAAAGATTAATTTTGATTAAGTATTGTATAATTTGATTTGTTTTCTTAAGTAGGAGAGAAAGCTATACATATACTTGCAGCACCTCTTTTTCCTTTTTATCATGGGCAAAAAGAAATGGTTTTTGTTTTTCTAGAGTAAAAATATGTGATTTACGTATATACATTTAATGTTAAGGGCAATGAACAATGAACCATACAGGGGACGAATTTTCCTTTGTGAATAGTTGCCAAGAAAGAACAAGAAAGAAAAGAAAGAAGGGGAAAAAGGAAGAAAAATAGACAGATGTAGATTAGCAAATCAACCAAAGAAACTGACGTGATTCCAAGAAATCTCAGGAATGATAGAAACATGCATTCAGAGAACATTGGTGTTAAGGGACAAAATGGAGAGAGTAAAGAAGTGGTCTGGAAAAAACAAAGCAGCAGGAGTGAAGGGGCTAGTGCCCATTACTGTTTATCCTCTTCCTGTTTCCCAAGTAAAATTGAAGCATCTTTTGACTTAAAAGTGTACAGTAGCACTCTCAAAGAGACTAGAATTAAAATTTGTGTTCAGTGCCATAGTTTGTGTAAAACACTTGGCACATTGTCTGCTGCAGCTACTACAGTCACTGGAAGAGGGAGAAAAACAGCCAATTTTCTTTTTAATTATAATGTATTAAATCTAGAGTAATCTTATAAAGTCCGATTTGGATCTCATTGACTCTCAGGATCCTTGACTTCCTCTCAGTTCCTTCTTTTTCCTTCTGTTCGTCAATTTCCTTGTCTTTCCTAAATTTCTGTTTCTGTATTCCTTGTAAACATTAAATATCTTTTAGTCTTTCCTTTACAAGAAAGTCAGTCAAAAGCTTCTTTTAAGCATTCTTCCTCCATTTAACTGCGGCCTTACCTTATCTTCTCTTTCCAGCTAGACCTTTTTGCTATCTTTCTTTACTTCCTGCTGACGGCTTACCCACTGTGCTGTGGCTGTATTGCTCTGCTGAACCTGTTCTTAGCCAATTCATCAGTAACACTCTTACTTAAGTTTAGCATTTGGCATTGCTGATTACTCTTTTTAGAAATGTGGTCATGCTGTTCTTTCCATATTCTTCTGGTTGTCTTCCTGCTTTGCAATTAATCAGTTAATCTCTTGTCTGTTTCTTCAACAGAATTTTGGACAGATTTTGTTTTGATTTATACCCAGTTCTTTCTACAGTCCAGACAGTTAGTAGCAAGTAGTTATTTCTGAAAGAACTCAGATTATAACCTCTTCAGTTTTTCATTTTTGATTTTTCCTTTGATCTTTTTCATGTACTTGTGAATATGTAAGGGAAGGGATAGCCATCAGTTAGATGTCTTTTTCTGCTAAGTGTTTTGTAAGTTGCAAGCATTAGAGTACTCTTTTGTGACATGTAGACCATAGTACACAACTACTCTGTTTTTTTTTTCTTTTAGACTACAAATGAACATTGGACACCATGCATATTAAATGAAGAAGCAAAAATTATATACAAGGTATTATATATTATTATTAGAATGAAAGTTTCTTGTCAACTTCCTGAGTGTGAACATTGAGTGTATTTTCTGGAAAAAAATTGGTGGAACAGAGTATGACATTCTATTAAGAGTTCAAATCTAGGATCTAGTTAGACTGCTGCTTACTAGCCAGGTAGACTTTTATAATTACTTCCCTACTGTGAAGTTCAGGTTCTTCCCTGTAAAATGAATAACCTGGACCAGATCAACCACTCCTGAATTAAGCATTAGTTAATTGAGATATTATGAAATACTGTAGAAAAAACATTATATAGTCATGTATGATTAAAAATTAAAGAACTAAGCTATACTTTAAAAGACCTCACAATGATTTGAATATGCTAATAGATACTATAAGTCCCTAAAAAGTTTATTATTCGTTATGTAGTTTTCCTGCCTCATTGATCATAGAATCCTCTCCCACCATCTCTCCACAGGTGACAACCATTCTTATCTGCTGGAGGGAGCATTTCTTTCTTATTCAGCAGAACTTTTACAAGTTCTCTTAAATGCTAAATTCTCAATATTTCTTTTTAAAAAGATTTATTTATTTTTATTAGAAAGTCAGATATATATAGAGGAGGAGAGACAGAGAGGAAGACCTTCCATTCATTGATTCACTCCCTAAGTGGCCACAATGGCTAGAGCTGAGCCAATCTAAAGCCAGGAGTGAGGAGCATCTTCCAGGTATCCCACATGGGTGCAATGTCCCAAGGCTTTGGGCCGTCCTCAACCATTTTCCCAAGCCACGAGCAGGGGGATGGATGGGAAGTGGAGCCACTGGGATTAGAACTGGTACCCATATAGGAACCCAGTGCATGCAAGGCAAGGACTTTAGCTATTGGCTACCATGCTGGGCCTTAAATTCTCTGCAAGTATTGTATAATTGAAGATCAAATATATTAGAAAGCATGTCTAGGAAGTTGCAGTTTGGTAAATAGTAAACTTAACTATAAAGTTGAAAAATTACATGAATTCCCCCCCCCCCCCACTTAATACACACACACACACACACACACTGTCACTTCTTTAAAAGTTCAAAATGACAGTTGAGAGTAGCAAGCAGGAGAATACTTTTGAATGTTGACTGGTACAGCTTTCAATGTATTTTTTTGACCATCTTATTTTTCTTATATAGCTTACCCGGCTTGATAGTCTCAGTGCCTACTGGAATGTGAACTGCAGCATGTCCTACCAGAGATCCAGGGAGCAGATCTTGGTAATTCCTGCTTATTCCTGCAAGAGTTAAATATACTGAAGAGTTCCTTAATGAGGACAGGATATTTCAGTATCACTGAATCCAAGTGTAAAAAACTTTTTTTTTTTTTTTGAATCCAATATGTGTTTTCAAAAAAGCACCTTTGTTTTCAAGATTTTTGAGAACTTTATGACCAGAACTTATTTTGAGAATTTCTGCAATTGAATTAAAGCTGCATTTAGTTATTTTAAAATTCATTTTGGTGTCATGTTTGTTACATTGTAGCATTTGGTATGAGAATCATTAGGAATATTTTTAAAAATGATCGTAGTTATCAGATACAAAGTGTATGGGTTAGCAATTATTTTAAACATTTGTGATGATTTCCTGAGTATTTGAAAGTTAGTTTAAAATATCATTATGCCAAGTTAATCTTAGTCAACTTTACTTATAGGTAAAAGGAAGAACAGTTGTTTTCTGAACTCAGTTAATTTTGAGATTCTTACGTTTTTCAGAAAACATTATTACAAAAACTTTTTTGATTTTAGTTTAATATATAGCACGTTTTTTAAAAAAATACTGCTTAAAAACAAAGATACTGACATAAGAACAGGGTTCCCCCCCTTGGTACAGTGAATATGTGTGCAACTTCATTTTTATTTTTCTTCTTATAAAATTAAAATTTTCATTTAGGATCAGCTGAAACGTGAAATTCTTACAAGTAGAAATATATCTGCAAACCATCAATACAGTAAGTTATTGCAAAAGTTTATTTCATGTTATAGAAAGATGTGTAGAATTTAATACTTGCTTATAATGTGCCTTTTCTGATAAATTTGCTTTCACAAACAGAACATAATAATTTTATACCTTAGTTTTATGATACAACATATCTCATTGTTTGGAGTATATCATAATGCTTCCACATCTGGAGACTAAGAGAACAAAGGGTGTTGGTGTAGCTCTTTCACTGTGTGCTGTTCTGACCTGCGTGTCTTCTCCATACTCATTATTCTCTTCTTTGTTATAGGATTCAGATTTCATTTTTCTGTTTTTAAAATAATTAGGAGATCATGGAGTTACTCGTAGAGTGTCACTACTGCAATGTTAGTATAAACCAACCACTCTGTATTTTTTATTTTTTTTTTAAAGATTTATTTTTATTATTTTTTAATTGGAAAGGCGGATATACACAGAGGAGAGAGAGAGAGGAAGATCTTCCGTCCAGTGATTCACTCCCCAAGTGAGCGCAACGGGCCGATACTATGCCGATCCGAAGCCAGGAGCCTCTTCCAGGTCTCCCACGCGGGTGCAGGTTCCCAAAGCTTTGGGCCGTCCTGGACTGCCTTCCCGGGCCACAGGCAGAGAGCTGGAAGGGAAGCGGGGCTGCCGGGATTAGAACCGGCACCCATATGGGATCCCGGGCGTGCAAGGCGAGGACCTTTAACCACTTGCGCCACTGCGCCGGGCCCCACTCTGCATTTTTTAAAGTGAGCTTTTCTATTTCTTGCCAGCCTGGCCTTTATTTTTAACAAAATGGCCTGCTTATTTATTTATCCCATCTACTGTCTCCATTTAGTTTTATTCTGAGGGAGCTTTTGGAGGTCATTGTGATTTTCTCAGCTCTGACCGCTGTGTTCTCCCATATTCCATGCTACTTGTATTTACTATCTTCTTCCTGGTTTTTTTTTGCAGCTAAATGCCATTGTATGACAGTTGTTCCTTTCTTTTATGTTCATAGAGCCTTTCACGTAATGTTGGTGGTATTTTGAAATGCTGCCAGATTGTGACAGTATTTACTTCTTTGATGAGCAGACCAATTCAGAAAAATCTACATTCTTAGGCATTTTTCCATTTATAAATACACAACCAATCAATTGAAATTTTTGTACATCTTGTATTTACTGAAAGGTTCCACAATTTATGTAGTATTAATACTTTTCATGTTAATATTTCTCACTTGAAATTTGTCACCTTACTATCCTGTCATCTTCCCACATACTGCCTTTTCTACTGCTTCTAAGCATAAAGGATATTTTAAAAAAATTCTACCATTATACATAGAGCTGTTATTTTGAAAATTATAAACAGGTGTGAAATTGGAATGAATTTTGCTCATGAGTCTGCCACTAAATTATATCAGTGATTAAATAGGATAACTCAGATATTTCCTTCTTTGTTTTAGCATTTTAAAGAATTATTTGAAGAAAGAGAGAGAGAGAAATCGTCCACATGTTGATTTGTTCATTAGAAGCCTATCATAACCCTGGCTGGAGGCAGACTTAAGCCGGGAGCCTAAAACTCTTTCCAGTTGTCTCACATGGGCAGCCAGAACCCAAGCACAGGAGCCATCATCTAGGTTTATACATTCTGTGACCATCCAAGAGAAGATTGTGTTTTTTGCATTTATTGCCTAGAAATTTAGAAACCCAGTTTCTTCACTTGATTAAGGTTGACTCGTGGGGTATTATGCAGATAAATATATGTTTAAATGTTTATTGATAGTGATACTGTTACTCATATTTTTTTCTATCATTTTCCTTTACTTTTGGAGTAGCCTTGTTGTAATCATCTAGTTCTTTGTGAATAAGAGCGCATAAATGTCTAATGTCTTCCTCTGTGCTTAGTTTTCCAGCCTTTGTCAGCGTCTGCAAAACTCTTCATGAATCCTTATGCAGAAAATGAACTTAAAACACCCAAACTAGATGCGAACATAGAAGTGCAAAATATTGCCATTGAACTGACCAAGCCTCAGGTGAGATTCAGGTTGACATTTTAGCTTTGACTGATTTTCAGTGTTGACTTTTTTTTTTTTGTTCCACCATGATTTTGTACAGTCTGGTCGTTTGTTGGACTCCGTATGTTGAGATTTATATTGGCGAGAAAATAAATTTTAAATTTTCAAACTAATTTTATGTGATTTCCCCCAAAATGATGGGAAAAATCTTGTCAAACTATTGCAAATTACATTATTTCTATTGCATTTGCAATTTTTCATATTAAATGTTGTTTCTTTGTTTTTTTATACCAATTATGTTGGCAGACTTTTTTCTTTTTTTTCCCCAAGGATGGTTATGAGGCCAGAGAACTTGAGGATAGTCTCAAGATTGTAATTGAAGGGGAGACAGAAGGTTTAATTGAGCTATTGGCTTAGCAATGTAAATTAAAAATTAAATGCAGGCTATTTTTGTAACTACAGATTTTCTAGTAGCTACTGTGGCAAAGTAAAAATGAAAAGGTGATGTTAACTTCAGTAGTATTTTATTTAGGCTGACATTCCTGAAATAGTATTTTTTAAGATTGTGATAATTATAAAAATTATGAGACATATGTATGCTTTTTCTTCCCTTAAGTCTTTAATCAGAGGTATGTTGTGTACTTAGAATACATTTAAGTTTAGTCTGAATGTATTTCAAGTGCTGCATTGCCCATGTGGTAAGTAACCATTAGGTAAAATTGCATTAAGAGAGGTTGCAGAGGAGAGAGCTGGACATTTTAGCTTGCTTGTGGTCATGTTATCTTTCACTGGATGTATTCCCTTCAGTTTGAGCTGCTTATCAGATCCACACAGAGTTCCTGTGGTGGTCTAATGAGTGCTGAAATAGCTCTTCATTGCCTTAGTTGCATAGTAATTTTTTGGAGTAATTTGAAAATCAGGTCATAAATAACAACTACTGAAATGGTGGTCTAGTGTGAAACTACTTACTTTTAGTATCAGGAATATTACCAGATACTGTATCTTATTGTAAGGTATAGATTATTTTACAGGTTAGCAATCTGAAAAATAGACTGTAATATCAATATCAATGACATGACAGTTGATTTCCCAGTTTTGTTTTATTTTGTAAAAGTTGTGGTATGAATTATAATTGATAGGATGTTAAATCTGAGCAAATATAATATACTATTGAGTTTGCAATCAGCATTGCTCAGGATATTTGACTTCTCAGTAAATGGAAAAAGGGAATAAAATTTTATCTTTACTCATGTGTGGAATGTAAAGAGTATGATTTTGTTTCCATTTTTCTAGTACTTAAGTATGATTGACCTTTTGGAGTCAGTGGATTATATGGTTAGAAATGCCCCTTACAGGAAGTATAAGCCGTATTTACCACTTCACACCAACAGTCGACAATGGTAAGTTAGGATTTGTTTTTCACTTTGTGAGAAATTTAGTGTTATACTTCAGCTTGTTTAGAGTTAAGAGACCTTTAAAGCGTAGTCTGGCCTCTTCTGTTTTGGTAGACAAGAGTATTTTTTGTTCATTGGAGACAAAAAGGGCATGCAAACTGTGTATTAAGAAGAAACTGCATGTATTTGCACAAAAATGAACTTTATTTTTACTTTTCTACAACATTTTGAAGTATCGTGTGGGTTCATGTCACTTGATAAACAATACCTCCTGTGTTGTTGTTCCTAGATTCCCAAATTCCTACAAATTAAGGCTTTTACCATTATAAGAGAAGTCTTATCAAGTCCTCCACATGGACTCAGTCAAGAATTTCTGCATGAAAGCAGCATGTTCTGGGAAATGCACCATTGGTGATAGTGAATACAGTTGAGTGCACTTGCCCCAGCTTGATGACTAGGATGCCATAGGATGACCCCATTGTGCGGGACCACTGCCACCAGCAGTCTGCTTTTTGTGAAAGTGGCCTTGGGCAGAACTGACTTTGTTGTTTATCACCCCTGCACATCTTTTCTTCCCTTGTGGTTCTGCTTTAGTGTATAGCTTCTTGGAATTTACTCCTTAAGTCACAGAGTTACTCTGGGGAATTGAAATGTTATTTTGAACTTTGATAGAAAGAAAGTTAAGAATAACAACAACAACAACAAAAAAACTTGACAAAATGAGGTCTGAAAAAGTAAAAACTTGATTATTATTTATAATTTTTGTCTATATTCCTATGAAATAAAGTGGTCTTTCTATTTTTTGCTTGTTGAGCATTGTGGCTAATGACACATTAAACCTAGGATTATAAATTTAACTTCAAATGTGTCATGGTAAAAAAAATTTTTTTTAAAAGCAGGGAAAGGGAATTGAGAGAGGGAATGAAATAGGAAGGGGAAGATAGTTATCCTAGAATTGTATCTATGAAATACATGAAATCTGTTCCTTTTATATTAAAAGAAATTGGAAAGAAACTTGTTTTCCTGCTTTGTGTTAAGCTTTTATATTGAAATATGCAGTAATAAAATTTGGTTTATAGGTGGAAATATGCCATTGATTCTGTGCTTGAAGTTCACATAAGAAGATATACACAGATGTGGTCCTGGAGTAACATAAAGAAGCACAGGCAGGTGCTCAAGAGTTATAAAACTGCTTACAAAGCCAAGCTAATGCAGACCAAAGTCTCAGAAGAAGTACAGAAGCAAATTCAGGTATATTGTACATTCATTAGCCACAAGTGTTATTTGTCTGATCATTGTTCCTTAATAATTCTTTCACATTTAATTTGAAAAATAGAATTCTAGAAAGAGCAGAACTTGGTTATTCTTTGTGAGAAAGTTTCCTAGGAAAATGTGAATTGTTTTTTTTCTTCTATTTGCTTTGTTTTCTTCTTAAAAAAAAAAAAAAAACATTTCCCCATGCTACCATAAGGCATCATAAGGTTATTATAAAGTATTTGGGAAAAATGCTTGTCTTTTCTAGTTATGTTCAGAAAATCAGTATTGAAGTGGTTTAAATATGTTTTCATTAACTCTATTTTGCTAGTTGAAGTTCATGGATTCTTTTAAAAAGAGTTCAAAATATTATACCTTGATAATGTGATACTAACTTCTAACTTTGTACCTACAATGCCATGCTGCACTTAAATAGTAGAATGTTTAATTTGTGATTGCTATTGAAGGATTATACTATGGGGCAAGGGGATGAGGAATGGTGGAAGGGGGGAGCTAGGGAAGGGAGAAAAGAGAGAATCCCTATACCTACAAAACTGTACCATGGAAAATTACAAAAATGGTTTAAAAAAGAACTAAAAAAGTTTTTACATAGGAATCTGATTTTAAGTAGAGAAACCATGCCCTGATTACATAACTTACCGTCTTTTTATCTGGGTTATAGAACTATTTCTTCTACTTATAATCTGAATAATTAATTCTTGTTATTCTGAAGACATTATGTTATGTTAGAAAAATGCATAGGAATTGGGTTCTAATAGATACGGGTTCAGATGGGTTTAGGTGCTGACTTGTTGCTGTTCTGTTGTGTCAAATGGATGCAATAATTGTGTTACAGAGTTGTGAGAGTTGCATGAGATAATGCGCAAGGCAGGAAGAACACAAATACTTGCTAAATGCTCTTATTGGCATGTACATATATTACTCTGTGATTATGCATATATTATTCATATATTACTAAGTGTGTTATTTTACAGAAAAATTCTTGTATATTGTATTTAATGAGAATTTTATCTTTTTGAAAATTTACACAAATTATAAAAAATTTAAAAATAGCTTGTGTTCAAATTTTTGCTTACATTTTCATCATATACTACTTGCAATGGAATAGATGAGTCTAGAAACCTTAAAGGAAGCATTTTTTCATCTATTGACCATTTTCCTGGTTACAAATCTATCTTTGTTTTGTAGGATTTGGAGAAGTCGCTGGATGTTTTTAATATAATTTTAGCAAGGCAGCAAGCGCAGGTTGAGGTAAGCATTGTTGTTAATAGATTTTGTGTTTTAAACATATTAATGTTTGAACCATGCTTGGGAAAGTTGGACAGCAAGTTAGTCATTACAGTTTGTCAAATGAGAATAGAAGTTGAGTTTTTATCACTTAATTTAGTATCAGGAGAAAACAGATTATAATACATGTAGGGGAAACTTCAAAAAAGTTTGAAAATCATGAAACAGGAAATAAAGAAAAGTCATCCATAATCATAATAACTTTGAATGCTGCTATTAATTATTTAGCATATGAGTTTCCAGTTTTCCTCTGTGTGTATACAAATGTACTGCTTACACTTTTTGTCTCCCTAAATTGGAATCATTTTGTTTACAGTAGTTTATAACTGTTTATTTATTAGTACTTTGTGTGCATTGTTCCGTGACATATATGGCTACAGTGGTCAGGAATGATCAACGTGAAGATAGGACCTGGATTCTCAATGCAGGTTTCCCACATGAGTTCCAGGGACCCGACCACTTGAGCTGTCAACTATTACTTCCCAGAGTGCACATTAGGGTGAAGCTGGGATCAAGAGTCAAATCTATGTATTTTGACATGGGACATGTATAAGTTATCATCTGCTGCCTTCCACAGTACACATCAGCAGGAAGCTGGAATTAGGAGTGAAGCTCAAATCCAGACACTTCAATTATAGGATGTGAACCTCCCGAATGGGTATCTTAACTGCCATCCCAAATGCCTGCCTCTCACATTTTTAAATGGTTAATTTTGTATTTTTTGAAGTGGTAATTGTTGATTAATAGGTTAGATTAAAAAAAATCTTTAGTCTGTTTATTTTCTTTTTAGCCTTTGTCACTGTTCAGTGTTTTATTTGCATGTATTAACTTAATCTTCCTTTACTATACGAAATCTTAAGTTTTGAAATTCCTTGAAATCCATAGCTTGCTGATCACATTTTTATGCAAGGTTTCTTTGCCAATAGTGCTTTTATTATTTTTCTTTCACTTTTTTAAAATTTGTACTTAAGTACAAATTTTGGAGGGGAAGATTGAATGTTGGGAGTTGATCAACACATTTGGTGAAAAAATGATTACTATTGATTGATTCTTTTTTCAAAATAAAATGTGTTTTTTCTTTAGATTTAAAAATAAATATTATATGTTCCTGTAGAATAAAGATTTTGTGCAGGCTAAAAAGATGGTTAATGATTTTAAAAACTAACTATGGATTTACTTAGAAATATACTAATAAAATATTAACACACTTGCCAGCTATTAGATTAGAAAGAATTGTTCATCTGTCTGAGTAAGAATGCTTTATGCTTGTTGTCTTGCTTATGTTTTTGTTAAAGGAGTTGGTTATAGATTCTTGGCAGGTTAAAAAGCTGAGATGATAATTGGGTGTGTTTTCCAGGACAGCTCACTTTCATCTACTTGGGACCCTGTTCAGCAGTTAACTTCCTGCATGAAAAATTCTGTAGCTATTGAAGGAGGCCTTCCTTGCCATCTCAGTGGTTCTGCAGGAGACTTGGCAGAGGATTTAAAAAAAAAAATTTATTTATTTATTTATTTATTTTAATTGGAAAGGCAGATTTACATAAAGGAGAGATAGCTGGTTCACTCTACAAATTGCTTACAGAGGTCTGTTTCTTACTTTTTGTTTATACATCTGTATTTTACTGAAAGTAAGCAAACATAAGGAACAATTGAAAATCACATCAGCATTTGTTGAGAAAAGGGTATAAAATGAAGTTCAAGGAGTGTTTGACTGCTTGCTTCATTCTCTTATCCCCCTAGTTATAAGAAATATATGTATGAATTTTGAAGTATAGTTGCTTTGGATTAACCTATTTTGAGTGTGAAAACATCTTCCTTTCAGTGTATTTTTCATGTTACAATTGTTTTATTGGTCTATTGGTTCCTTAACTTAAAAATTTGAAAATGACATTTCTTGGAAAAAGGGTACATGCTGATAAAATGCAGCCTCATCAAAATGTTTTCGCTTGGCGTGGGCAGTAATTTATACAGAAAACATGTTGTGTGTCTGGTTTCAGAGGAGCTTATTTCATGTCTGGTTCATATAGAATGACCATTGTCCTTACCTGGCTGAACCTGAAAATGAAGAGGCCATTGTTTCTCATTTAATTTTTTTTTCTTTTTTTGTAGGTGATTCGGTCAGGGCAAAAATTGAGGAAAAAGTCAGCTGACCCAGGAGAGAAACGTGGAGGGTGGTTTAGTGGGTTTTGGGGTAAGAAGGAGTCTAAGAAAAAGGACGAAGAGTCATTGATTCCTGAAAGTAAGTGTTAAATCAGATCATTAATTGTATACAGATTTTTAAAAAAGCTGTATAAATTATTTAGTAGCCTCTCAGATGAAAAAAGAAAAAAATGCTTTTCAATAAAGTGAGTTCAGTGCAGTAAATAGGTATACCAGAAGATTTCCATGTTTACCTAAAATAAAAGATTTTGTTGAAAAAATTATATAAAATTTAAAATATTTATATTTTAGTTGTAAATATTTCAGTGGTTCAAGAGTTAGCATAATTAGCATTTCTTATTTTTCACTTTTAACATGACTTTGTCTACAAGCTTCATTTAAATTTTAAAATATTTAGCGAAAGGGACCAGTGTTACTGCATGGTGGATTAAGCATTGCTGGCATCCCCTATGAGAGTTAATGTGAGTCTAGGCTGCTCCACTTCTAATCCAGGTCCCTGGGAAGGCAGAGGGGATGGTCCAAATGCTTGAGCCTCACCACCCATGTGCAAAGACCCACATGGAGCTCCTGGCTTCCACCTGGTGCAGCCTTAGCTGTTGCTGCCATATGGAGAGTGAAACCAGCAGATAGAAGATCCCTCTTTGTTTTCCTTTCTTGCTCTAATTGTTCTCTAAATAAATAAATGCATGTTTAAAAATTAGGGAATTATGGAATCATTATGAAAGAAATGAATTTTCTCAGTAATAGTACCTATCTTGTTGACTTAACTAAATAAAGAAAGGATATTTAAATCAGTCAAAACAGTATGGTAGAGGAAATTACTGGGCTATTTATGCTTAAACATTTATGTCTTGTGACTTTGGAATGCTTGTTAAATTTGATATTTTCATTGTTCTCTAAAAGCTTAAGAAACATTTTTTTTGAAATATTGATTCTTTGTAGCTATTGATGATCTTATGACTCCAGAAGAAAAAGATAAACTCTTCACTGCTATTGGATACAGTGAGAGCACCCACAACTTAACTTTACCCAAGCAGGTAATTATTGAAATAGCTTAATAGGTATTTTGTCTCATTTTACTTTAATTATCTTAAATTGGGTTAAAGAAATTACTCATTTTTTTTGCGTACTGACAGACCCGCATTATTATTAGTTTCTGTTTTACTTTTTAATTGCCAAGTGCTTCCAGTTTGTCTTTGGTTTTAGATACGGTTGCTTTAGTGAATATAAGATTAATTTTATGAATAATAGTTCATATAATGGTAAATTTAATCTTTAAAGGTCATCTTAAATTTTTTTCTGATTTTGAAATAGAACTCATATAGATAGGGGTAACACCAAAATGTATTGTTATTAGACCAAAAAGGAAAAAAATACAGTTTGGAATATTGCTATTATGGTGGAAGTCCCTGTGTTCCCCTATTACTGTTTCTACACAGGTAAACTCATTTTTCTGGTAATTATTTCTTTGGTTTCTTTCTTTCTTTTTCTTTCTTTTTTTTTTAAGTAACTACAGGATTATGGTTTTGTTTTATATTTTTGTCATCTTTCTGTAAACAGACTCATGAATATGTATTTTTTATGTTTTTCTTGATGTGAAATGTATACAGTAGCTGTGTTTGTCTCCTTTTTGTGGCCACAAGGGATTTGATCATTTGGAATATACCACAGCTTGATTATTTATACATTTGTTGCCAAGCATTTGGCTTGTTTGTAGTTTATGGTTATTGTGAATATATTACAATGATTTTCTTCTAAGTGTCTTTAGTGTGTTATCTGTAAGTATTCCTGTTCTGTTTGTACTTAGGAGTAGACGTGATGGTCTATCAGCTTCACTTAAAGAGTTTTCCAGTGAGGAAAAAATTCTCATGAGCAGCATACGAGGATTCTTCTTGTTGTACTTTCATCAGTATATGACCTTATCAATCTTCAGGTCTTAGCCATTCTAAACAGTGGCTTTAATTAAACTTTCCTGAACATCCTAAAGTTGTTTTGCATGTTGTAATGTGTTTATTGGTCTTTAGGTATTCTCTCTCTTGTGAATGTGTTTTCAGCCTCCTCTTCATTATTGGGTTGCCTTTTTTGTTTTGGTTGATTCACAGGAATTTTTTAAATATATTCTAGATACAAAATTTTGCTTATTAAGTTGCTGATACTTTCCACTATGATTTCTTTTCCTTATATAAAGAATTGATCTGAAATACTTTGTTTCTTTTAGTGAAAGCTACCAAAATGAAATTTTACGCTGCTAGTGATTTGTGATTGTTGTTAATCTTAAGAGAATTGAATTTTTAGAACATTTATAAATGGTCTCTCATGGATAGATGATTTTGCATTGAATTTTCTGGTGTTCTTTGTTTTGTAGTTAACATGGATGCCATAATCTACCATGTTCTTGTTGTTAGACCACTTTACAGGTCAACAAATTTCAATAAGAAGATGTTTTTTAATACTTACTTAAATGTTAACAGATTTCATTCATTCTTTGTTTAGTATGTTGCTCATATAATGACTCTCAAGTTGGTAAGCACCTCTGTTACAATCAGAGAAAACAGAAATATTCCAGAATTATTGAAAATTCAGATAATTGGCCTGGGTACCCAAGTATCTCAACGACCGGGAGCACAAGCCCTTAGGTAAGTTTTTGCAAATTGGTTTCAGTTTGTATTTTTAGTTATGACTTCAGGCCAGAAAACATGAAGTGTTAGTGTGAAAAAACTGATTATTATTAAATGCCTTTCTTTGATTTTTTTCTTTGTGTATGCCAAGATAGTTTTTTTTTAAAAAATATTTACTTATTTTCTAGTGTGGAGTTTATGGGGTCCTTGTCATCGGTTCTACTCTTGTACTTTCTCTTTATAAATATTTAATGGATATTATTTCATGTATTGGCTTTATATTTTGAAAGCTGTGCGTAGGTGTTATTAGCAGTAAGGTTTTTATTTTCAGTAAGTTTTTGTTACGGTTGGTGGAGAGAAGGTGTACAAAATCTAATAATTCAAGAAATAGTTATTCTAAATTAAATGTCTCATAGTGAATTCTGTGAAAGAGAAAACTGAGCTAGGAGAAGGCTTAGGTTAGCTGAATGGAGAAGACGAAGGTAAGGATGTGATAACAAAGCGCAGAGAGTGGCCTAGGAGTAGGGAGATGTGTTCATTCATGCTGTGTGAGCTTTCTTCAGACATCAGGGATCAGTATTTCTGTAACGTTCTGGAGGTAGCCACAGTGAATTTTCCATATGGGCAATCAGATATTAATACAGCAACAAGAACAGGAAATTGACTTCCAGGCTAGGATTAACTTTGTTCTTAAAGATTTATTGATTTTTATTTGAAAGACAAATTTAAAGAAAAAGGGAAGACAAGACAGAGAAATGTCTTCCATCTGCTGTTTCACTTCCTAATGAGACATGGCTGGAGCCCAGCCAATTGGAAGCCAGGAGCCTGGAGCTTCTTCTGGATTTCTCATGTGGATGCAGGGTCCCAAGGCTTTGGGAACTGGATGGAAGTGTAGTATCCAGACCACAAACAGTGCCCATATGGGATGCTGGCACTTGCAGGTGGATGATTAGTTATGACTCATTGTTTTGGTCCCATATTAAATTTGAGTTCTGGGTAATGGGCATAGTTCTGGCTCTCAGCTTAGATTTCTGTGGAGAATTGTTGTTGACTTGCTAATTACAAAACATCTTATTTATATGACTTTTTTTTTCTTTGTTCGATTATAGGGTAGAAGCAAAATTAGAACACTGGTATATAACAGGGTTGAAACAGCAAAATATCGTACCATCACTTGTGGCTTCCATTGGTGATACCTCATCATCATTGCTTGAAATTAAATTTGAAACAAATCCAGAGAATAGTTCTGCTGACCAGACTCTGATTGTTCAGTCTCAGCCTGTGGAAGTCATTTATGATGCTGTAAGTGCCAAGAAAAAGTGAATCTGATATGTCGCTTTCTTTCCTTTCATGTTTAACATTGATTTACTTTTTAGGTATATTTCCTCACAGATTTTTGTTGTTGTTATTGTTTCAAAAGCAGCATAGTTTAGCACTGAATTTGGATTTTTCATATGCTATAGATTTTTTTTCACTGCTAATAAAGTTTGCTTATCTTGCTTTATATTAAGCTCATCAAATCAATATAATTTTAAAAATTCATTGAAGAAAAAAGACTAATGATATATTTATTTGAAAGTCAGGGCAACAGAGAGGAAGAGAAAGGGACAGAGAGAGATCTTCCATCCATTGGTTTACTCTCAAAAGGCTGCCACAGCTATGTCTGGGTAAGGCTGAAGCCAGGAGTGAGGAACTCCATCAAGTTCTCTCATATGCATTACGGTGTTCAATACTTGTACCATCCTCTTCTGCCTTCCACATGTAGGAAGCTAGAATGGAGCAACTGGCATTCTCTTCTACTTAATATTTATTTAAAACTCACAGAAAGGGAGGAAGAGTTGGAGAGATCTTCCATCCACTGGTTCACAGTTCAACAGGCCAAAATGATTGGGACTAAGCCAGGCTGATGCCAAGAGCCAGGAGCTTCATCCGTATCTCACACATAGGTGTAAGGGCCCAAACACTTGGTCCATTTTCTGCTGTTTTCCCAGGTGCATGAGCAAGTGGGAAGTGGAATAGATAGGACACAAACTGGTACCCATATGGAATGCAGACCACGAGTGGCAGGGTTACCTATTACTCCACAGTGTTGGTCCTGCAGCTAGAACTCTTAGCAGTGTGTCTGATTTGGACTGCCAGCATTACAAGCCATGGCTTACCCTGCTGCACCACAATGCTGGCCTCCTAAAAAAAAATCAATCATTTCTGTATCAACGTATTCATTTTTTGCTTGTTTGGTATCTAATGTTTGAAACTAATCAAATAGCTTTAATAGTGGTGCAAAGAATGTCACATAGTATTTACTTGGAAAAATAAAAAAGCCTTGGCATTTAGATGTTATTAAAGGCAGTGACTCAAGTTCTGTTTGTGGCTTCCCTTTTTGTTTAGAATGTCTTACGCCTTGTATTACGTTAGCCAGCCAAGCTGGCACTGCTTATCGCATCCATCACTGTAGTTTAGTCCTATTTTTTTTTTTAATTGTTGCTTACATTGTATTATGTAGTACAGTTTTATAGGCGCTGGGGATTCCCCCCACCCCTCCCATACCCCTCCCCCCATGGTGGATTCCTCCACCTTGTTGCATAACCATAGTTCAAGTTCAGTTGAGATTCATTGCTTGCAAACACATGCCTAGCATAAAGTTCAGCGTCTTATTGTCCAGTCCTATTTTGTTTTGAGATCTGTGATATTTTTTTCCCATGATATGAGTTTTTGGCATAGGGATTCCTCTCTCCCATTCCTGCCTCTCCATTCTCTACTCCTCACCCAGTATTTTCCCCTATATTATTGCAGTAGTATAGTCCTTCAGCAACAGCTGTGACTTATGACTGTAGTCTACAGCAGGATGCACAGTGTAGGGGAGGATATGCTATATGCTCCATAACTCATTATGTTCTAACTTGTTTAAAAATATCTATGTGGTAAATAAGAATATGGTAAAGTGCAAATGACAGATGTTATTACTGTAACTGTTTCTAAGCACATAGACCAGCAGCAATTAAGTACATGAATATTATTGTATTGATTCTGATTTCTTTAACCTAAGCAGCCTTTCTTCTTTCTCTGAACTTAAAAAGTGCAGTGGAATCTAATTATAGTGTAAAGTGGAATGTCAGCTTCAGAGTAGTTGGAGGCTAAAGCTAGACGCAGTGTTCTATGTTCCACCCATAAACACTGTACGATGTACCTGACGTTGTCTTCTTGTACACACATTTGTGGCCTCCCTAGCTAACTCACTGGGACTTTTTTCTTCATGTCCTTTTTCATTGTTGAGGGTTTTGCAATGGACAGGGTGTCTTTGGAGTCCCTCCATTCAGATTCAGAGATATTCAGAATTGAAGTGATACTTCAAAATTTGTAATATGGAAGTACCATCTATAACATAATCATCATGTTTTTAAATTATTTTACAGAAAACCATCAATGCAGTAGTTGAATTCTTTCAGTCAAATAAAGGGTTGGATCTTGAGCAGATAACATCAGCTACATTGATGAAGTTGGAAGAAATTAAAGAGAGAACAGCTACAGGTAAAATTTTGAATGTCTACATAAGCAAGGAAATATTTAAAGATTTTATATTCAAATGTAAACATTGCATTTAAAAATAGTATAGACTGGGCCTGGCACTGTGGCCTAGTGGCTAAAGTCCTCACCTTGAACACGCCAGGATCCCATATGGGCGGTGGTTCTAATCCCAGCAGCTCTACTTCCCATCCAGCTCCCTGCTTATGGCCTGGGAAAGCAGTCAAGGACGGCCCAAAGCCTTGGTACCCTGCACCTGTGTGGGAGACCTGGAGGAGATTCCTGGCTCCTGGCTTCTGATTGGCATAGCACTGGCCATTGTGGTCACTGGGGAGTGAATCATCGGACAGAAGATCTTCCTCTCTGTCTCTCCTCTTCTCTGTATATCTGACATTGTGATAAAATTAATAAATCTTAAAGAAATAAATAAAAATAGTACAGATAGCAGTTTTTCTTTGTTTTAAGCTCAGGTTTTACTGGACAGTGTACCTGGCTTGCTGAAAGTATGAGAATGAGAGTACTGGGTGCTCAGAGGTTTTGATGTTATATTCAGGAGATATCTCAGAATGGGCTTGAGTTAGCAAGCATCCTACACTTTAATTCTAAAAACATTGTTCACCCAACACTGTGCAAGTCTAGATTTAAAGAAGCTATTGTTGTATTAGTATGGTTTGCCAACTCACGTTGTTCATTATTTTATTTTGCTGATTAATCAAGTAATTGATAAATTCATTCCTTGTACAGTATGCTAGCTCTGTTGGTTTCAGTTTACTGTGCTATGGTATAATGGTTGATCATTGACTGGAATTTTTATGTTATGTGTTGAATTGAGACATCTGAGTTGGAGAAATATCACTTCTCTGTGATTCTTCTAAGTAAGACTCTTTTTCCAGTTTGTTAATTATATAATTTCATAATATATTTGACTGTTTTTTATTTATTTATTTATTTTTTGCTTTTAGGACTCACACATATTATTGAAACTCGAAAAGTTCTTGATTTAAGAATAAATCTGAAGCCTTCTTATCTAATAGTTCCACAGACTGGTTTCTATAATGAAAAGTCAAATCTTCTCATTTTAGATTTTGGTACATTTCAGGTAAGTATGTATATGATTTTTTTTCTGCCCATCTTTAACCAGCTGAGTAGCTACTAATGTGATAGCTCTTTGTTCTGATTTCATTTAAGCTAAATCTAGGCTTCCTCTTAATTAGCCCTACCTTGGAGTATTTTTATATATATCATAGGTATTAAAACAAAGAAAAACTAAAATTTTCCTGTTAAATAATAATTTTGATATTGAATTTTGTGTTCCTTCTGTTTTTTCCCAATTGGAAAGGTTCATCTCTGATTATCATGGTTTAGTTGTGCAGTGATATTTATTACCCAAGTATTTTGACAATAGGAAATTATATACCTATGAATATATATTTGTTCAACAGTTGTTAGTAGCCAGGTAGAGTAAGAAAACTCCTAGATTTAGACGTTTGAATCTCAAGGCATCTAGAGTCAATGAAGATGAAGATTTGAAAAAATATAGTTCTGAGTTGATCTTTGTTTCCATTGGGTATGGGGAAATGGAAGTAGAGTTTGGAGCTGAATTCAATTGGCTTACTTATTTTTGTGGTATATTGGGGAGGAGGACCAAAACCCTGGTATTTCTTGATGAGGGGTATAGGATAACTCCTGAGAGCCAGGAAGATTTGTTTTTTTGGACAGACTAATATGTAACTGGCCTCATATGTGTTGAGCCCTTCCAATATAATGGAGATATATGGAAAATTCAGAAAAATAACAGTATCAAAAAATATCAATAAATTAGGCATTCGGCTGGTGTAGTGGCCCAGTAAGTTAAGCCACCACTTGTGTTGCTGGCGTCTTATATAGGCACTGATTTTAGTCCAGGCTGCCTTACTTTGAATCTAGCTCCTTGTTAATGAGCCTAGAAAAGCAGCAGATGTCCCAAGTCCTTGAGCCCCTGCACTTATGTAGGGGACTTGGATAAAACTCCTGCATTTGGCTTATTCCTGCTGAGGCTGTAATGATCATTTTGAGAGTGAACTTGCAGATAAAAGTTTGATCTGTCTGTCTCTTTCTCTGCAGCTCTACCTCACAGAGAAATAAATAAATATTACAAAATATTTAACAACAAATATTCATATTCAATTTGGACAGCGTTCACCCTTCAATTTGATGTTTAGAAATTATGTTAATAAATGAACATTATGCTGTGAAAAGAAATCAAAGTTTTTTCTTTCATTTTAGCTCAACAGCAAAGATCAAGGAATACAGAAGACTACTAATTCATCTCTGGAAGAAATAATGGATAAGGCGTATGATAAATTTGATGTTGAAATAAAGAACGTGCAGCTACTCTTTGCAAGAGCGGGTAGGCCATGTTTCAACTTTTAGAGTCTTGAAATTACATTGAATGTCTTTGGTGAAATCTATGTGTGTGTATACATGTATATCAACTCTGGCAACCACTTTGTACACATATTCTCTTGGTTACGTAAGAATAGCAATAGAAACCTACTAGTGAAAATCACTGTCACAATTTTAAATAGAAAAAACTTTGCATGTTTATCTTAGCAGTAGCTGTAACCTTTTGAATCTATTTTTGATACATATTTTTGTAACATGACTATAAAGCCATGCAGAATGCAAAATGGAATTTGCAGTTGGTTCAGATTCCTTTGTCCTAGTGTTTTTGAAATATTCCAGTGGTTTTCCTTGCTTCCTGCATTATTGAATATTTTATGCTGAATACCGTATTCTTTCTTTGAGCAATATAGAAATATGTATCTGAAGAGCTGTCATATTGACCTCTAATCTGAAGATGAAAGACCTAAAGTGACCCAAAAATCTAAAAGGTTTTTAAGTAGTAAGTTGTGCAGATGACCTCATATGACATATTGTAGTTTTTAATGCCAAATGCATTAGAGTTATTATATGGAGTTACCTACAGACTGTTTATTCAAGGTGTATTTGAAATATAAATGAATTTCATGTTGAAATAGATCTCATCTCAATCATATCTCATTTTTCATGAAACATTTTTCAAATTAAAAAAAATGAAATCTAAACCAGTTTTGGTCCAAAGCATTTAGGGTAAGGTTTACACCCAACCAGTAAATATAGCCTTAAAACTTTAAAGATCACTATTTTAAAGTTTTGGTTTGAGCTTGGTGTTGCAAGTGGTAAGTATTAAATGTTCTTGAATATGTCACTTAGTCGTCTGTGGTGAAAAGCACAAAATTTATAGTATAGTAGAAGTGATGAGATTTGTTAAAATGTAAAGATAAAATATTCTACTTCATTCTTATGGGTATTATAATATCACTGAACAGAATGGCTTCCTTTTTGATGAAAAAAAAAATCAGAATATCAGTCAGAGGATACGGCATAATAACTCAACTGGCTAATCCTCTGTGTATAAGCAGCAGCCTCTCCTGGCCACTCCGCCTCCCATCCAGCTCTGTGCTTGTGGCCTGGGAAGGCAGCGGAGGATGGCCCCAGGACTCAGGACCCTGCGTCTGTGTGTGAGACTCAGAACAGCCTCCTGACTTCTGGCTTTAGATTGGCTTTGCTCTTGCCCTTGTGGCCATTTGAGAAGTGAGTCAGCAGAGGGAAAATCTTTTTCTTTCTCTCTGTCCTTTTCTCTGTCAATATGCCTTTCCAATAAAAACTATAGGAATTGTAGGAATAATATGAATTAATCAGAATGAAAAATTTTGAACTGCTTAGAGCATTAGTCTTTAGAATTTGGTCTGTTAGTTTCTCAAAGGAGAGTGTTTACACAGATTAAAACTGCACTTTCTTTGCTTATTTTTAAAGATTTATTTATTTATTTGAAAGTCAGAGTTACAGAGAGAGAATGAGAAAAGGAGGGAAAGAGAAACCATAAAGTGGTAACTGCCAGTAACAGTGAGAGCTGTGTAGGTCAAAAGCCAAAAGCCAGGAGCTTTTTCTGGGTCTCCAACATGTGTGCAGGAGCCAAGTACTTGTCCTGTTTTCCACTGCTTTCCCAGGCCATTAACAGGGAGCTGAATTGCATGTGGAGCAGGGACTTGAACCAGTGCCCATTTGGTTGCCAGCACCTCAGGCTGGACCCTGCCTTTTCCTTTGCTTGCACTAAATGCGTTTTTGAATTGTAAGTGAAGATTTTTAAAAATATTCATTGTCATGAGTAAGATCTATTAGCCATTACAAAAGATTTGCCCATGGGGCCTTTTTTTTTTATTATTTTTATTATAAAGAAAGTGATTATTCCACATTTGTATAATAAAATCTTGATGAAAGTCATTTTTGCTCTGGAATTTTGTGCTAAGGTTATAATAATTGCAGTTAGGAATCTCATGAATACTTTTTTCCTTCTATTTTTTTCCCATTCTTTTCATTGTTACTCCCACTTTGATCAGAAAAACTGGAATCCAATTATTAACTTACTGGGTTTCTGCCCCCTGTTTGTTTTGAAATGCAGAATGATAGAATATAAACATTTCTTCAGATATTTAGAATTTTCGTATATCCTGTAAATTTGTGGTTAAAAAATACAGATTATTTAACTTGTAAAAATTGGTATTCATTAAATGTTTGAGTTTTTTTGGTAACAATGAGTGATTTTCCACAAGATATCTGATAATAATTATTTAATATTTAAAACGTTTTTTTTAAAGAGGAAAACTGGAAAAAGTGTCGATTTCAGCATCCATCAACTATGCATATATTGCAGCCCATGGATATTCATGTTGAGTTGGCAAAGGCAATGGTGGAAAAAGACATTAGAATGGCCAGGTAATGTATGAGTTGTTTTTGTTAAAAAATGCACATGGTGAAAAGCATGTGCATCTGTTACTGGAACTTTTCTTTTTTTAATTTATTTTATTGGAAAGTCAGATACAGAGAGGAGGAGAGACAGAGAGGAAGATCCTCTGTGGCCCCTAATTGGCTGTGATAGCCAGAACTGTGTGGATCCAAAGCCAGGAGCCTGGAGCCCCTTCTGGGTTTCCCACATGGGTACAAGATCCTAAGGCTTTGGGCCACCCTTGACTGCTTTCCTAGGCCACAAGCAGGGAGCAGAATCAGAAGTGGAGCTGCCGAGACAAGAACCAGTGTCCATATGGGATCCCGGTGCATGCAAGGCAAGAACTTTAGTTGCTAGTCTACCACACCAGGCCCTGTTACTGTACCTTAAGGAAGCAAAAATGTATGTGAGAAAAAGAAAAAAATAATGATTATTCTATGTTGTATTAGAAATATGTTTTGAACAAATGTGTATTTGAATTATATATCACCTCTCTTCTATCACAAGTTCTATTTGGACTTTCATACTATGTTTGAGTTGCTTACCTATTTGAATGGATCCATTGTAAGGTTCAGTATTAATGATGTAAAATCCTAAATTTAAAAAAAACAGCTCTTTGGGTCACAGACCATGTAACATCGCAGAGAAAATCTATGGGAATAAAAAAGTAGAGGCTAAATTTTGAATGTAAGTAGATAATTATGAAATAATTAGTGTGTGTGTGCGTGAGAGGTATATCTTCATCTTAGAGAGAGAGAGAGAGAGAGAGAGAGAGATTGAGAGAGAGAAAGTATCTTGATTGTCTGCTAGATTCCTCAAATGGCTGTAGTGGCCAGAAATGGTAAGGTCTGAAGCCAGATATAGCAACTCTGTTCGGGTCTCCTGTGTGGGTGACAGGGTTCCAAGCCCTGGGGCCGTTTATTGCTGTAGAAGGAGCCACTTTGAAGCAGAGCATCAGAGACTCGAGCTGGTTCTCACATGTGATTCTGGCATTACAGACCATGACCTAATTTGCTGTACACATTGCTGAGTCCTGGTCTTGTTTCTGATACTATAGATTTGGGTTTGGTTTTAAAATATAGAGAATCATGTTTAGATTTTTTTAAAAAAGATTTATCCATTTTTACCGGAAAGACAGACCCACAGACAGAAGATGCAGAGAAAAAGATCTTTGTTGGCTCACCCTATAAATTGCCACAGCAGCTGGAACTGAGCCGGTCTGAAGCTAGGACCCAGGAGCTCCCTTGGGGTCTCCCACATGGGTGTAGATGCCCAAGGCTCTGGCCCATCCTCCACTACCCTCCCAGGTCAGGTACAGGAAGCTGGATGGAAAGTGGGACAGTTGGGACCAGAACCAAGATTGATGTGGGATCCTGGTGTATGGGGATCAGCCAATTGAGCCATCATGCTGAGCCCTTCTTTTATTATTGTTATTATTATTATTATGAATAAATAGTTTAAGAGATTTGAATGCTGGGCATTTTGGCCAACTGGGTTCGACTGCCTGCATCTCATTTCAAAGTGCCTGGGATCCATTCCCAGCACTGCTTTCAGTTCAGACGCCTGTGAATGCACACACTGGGGAGGCCACAGATGACGGCTGTGCTAGTAGGGTCCCTGCCACCCATGTGCGGGGTGCGGCTAGAGTTCCTGGCTGAGCGTGGCCTGGCCCGGGCCTGAGTTTCAGGCCTTTGGGGAGTGAGGAATGGAAGTGTCTATGCCACTTTGCCTTTAGATTAAATAACTTTAAAGAAAAATTTAGGAAAAAATGATTGAAATTAATTCTAAAAACATTTGATTGTGTTAGAATGGTAAATTATCTGGAGAATTTGTGGTTTCCTTTGCAGTTCCTTGACAGTGTTTTATGAAGGAAGCATTAGATTGTTCAAAGTACTTATTCTTTACATTGTGATTTTTTTTTCCTCCAATCCTTCCCTTCTAATTCTTCAAGAATGTGGTTAAATCTTCTTTTTGTTTTTTTAGATTTAAAGTGTCAGGAGGACTTCCCTTGATGCATTTAAGAATTTCTGACCAGAAGATGAAAGCTATGCTGTTTTTGGTTAACAGTGTGCCTTTGCCACAGAAATCATCTACACAGGCTTCAGAGAAACAGGTAATCAGTACAATGAAAGCGATAAAACTTTTGTTTTCAGTGCTGTTTTGGACTAGAGATAGAAAGTTAGTTTAAGGAAAACTTTATAGGTAAAAAGACTAAAAATGCAGAAATGAGAATATCTTTTAGACTTGGGAAATGTATTTTAAATAAAGCTAGAAATAAAAATCTTTTTATAAAGCAAATACAATAGTTATAAATTTAAAACCTACATTAACATATTTATGCTCACTTTAATTGGGATGTTTATAACATAGATAAAATGTTGGGATTTCTACTTACTTTTAAATTAAATGAGAAAGAGCCAACTGATAAAATGACTTTTAGGGACTGTGCAGTAAATATGTTCTTGAACATTGTAGTAGATAATTAAGTGGCAAGTAGTGGTAAATAGACTTACCTACTAGAGTTGTACATAGTTTTCTCCTTCAAAGAGGTGATAGTCTTAATAATTTGCAAATCTCATACATCCGTTAGTTGCTAAGTGTGGACTGCATAATGTGGTTTGTTGGAAGATCTCTGTTGTCTCTATATGTGACCTTCCAGATCTGTGTCTTCTATGTTTAATTTCTGTTTCTTTGATATGCACTTAATCCAATCAAGTCAGTGTTGTGAAGAAATATTTCTGTGTTCTGTGTCTAGGTATCATCAATTCCTCTTATTTCAAGTGGAACCAAAGGTTTACTTGGTGCATCACTATTGCTAGATGGAATGGAATCAGGTAAGAAATGTAAAGAACTCTTTCTCTCTGTATGTGGAAGAAAATTGTGGGAAAAAAAAAGATTTGTGAAAACGTAATCATAATTTACTGGTTCCAGTTCTTGCTGTACTACCTAAGCCGTATTGTGCCTTGGGTCACTTATTCTTCTTTACTCTATGTTTCTTACTGGATAAACCAAAGGAATTCTTGTGAATGGTATTGCTTATTTGAGAGTCAAAATTACCTACTTTTATGTGTCATTCTACATGTGATTTTTTTTAATAGCTTTGACCTGCCAGATCTCTCAGTTTTGAACGATATAATTTAAGTTTCCTGAGGACATAACCATAGCAGTCCTGGTCATTTTGATGCCTCTAGTCATTGACACAACCTGATATGTAGTGGTTGCTGCCCAATAAATATTTTACTGAATATTGAGTGAATGATGTACAGTGGAAAAGTCAGAATTAGAAAAAAGATAGCACAGTTTTAAGTTTGTTACATGACAACTTGAGTACTTATTGGAAGTTTTTAAAGAAAACATTAAGACTGTCCTGATACAGAATTATAAAGATTATATATCTTAAATACATTTAATCTTGGGAGATTTAGGGCTGGGTACTTTATGTCATTTTCAGTGGACACTTTCTGAAGTGAAGTGATTGTCTTCTTCATTTAGATTCTGATGATGAGTATTTTGATGCTGAAGATGGAGAATTTCAGACTAGTAAAAGTATGAAGGGATCAGAACTGAAAAAAGCTGCAGAGATCCCAAATGAAGAGCTCATTAACCTTCTACTCAAGTTTGAAATTAAAGAAGTAAGTACATCTTCATTCCTAAATATATTCTTGTTGCCACTGCCTTGTAAACTATTGCAAGCTAGACCCAAATGTTAAGTATATTGCAGGTGTGGTTTGTTATCTTCTGTACCACCCCCACCCCATCCCCGCCCACAGAAACACACAGCACTTAAAAAATTAAATATTAGTTTTTTAAAAACTGGTACAAGAATGATCCAAGGTGTGGCTAATGTATTTTGGAATATTTAAGGGCCTTTCTATGATTTATTGCTGAAAAATTTTTATAGCATTTATTTTTTAAAAACTATATTATTGCTCATTGTTGTGTTTTAAAGTTATAAAAATGTGAGCAATCTAAATTTAGCATGCATCTTATAACTTTGAAAGTCACATGTTTACGAATGAAATCAATGCCCTGAGACTTGTTTGTAGCTTCTGCTGAACTCCTGTGGAGAAGTGGTCTTTTTGAATACTTTATTTAGTGTTGCATTAAACCTGTGAGTATACAGTAAATTAAAACAGTATTAACATAAAAGTTAAGAGGAAAAAAGGAGGATGTGGGAAGGAGAGTTGAAATATCATTATGTGCTTAAAGTTGTATAAATGAAATACTTAAAATCTCTTCTCTTTAGATAAATATAAAGGAAAACAATCACATTAAAGCTTAGACAGATGATTTGCAGTTAACATTATTTGAGTAAAAACGATTTATAATACAAAGAACATTATAAATCTGTTAAGACACATATATATACATGTTTTTCGTAAATTTTTGTGTTCATCTTTAGTGTATGGAATTACAGTTTTCTGTTTTGATCGGCTTTTCAAAAATTCTGAATGTTCTGTAATAAATTTGTATTGCTTTGTTAATAAAATGGGAAAGATTGAAAGTGGAGATGTTCGTTATTGATTGTTTTATATCCTAAAGTGAGAGCATGTCCTAAAAATACATTGTCAGAAGTTTTAGATTTAAATTTTATGCACAAATCTAAATATTGGTAATTTAAAAAAAAAAAGACGTGTTTTCACCTTTACTCATCTTTGATATCTCTTTTGTACTTCAATGCCTTCAATACAAAATACCAATGAAATGTTTCTAATGTTAATATTTTATTTTTTGAGATTGTTAAAAATTTATAATTTAGTGAAAGATGTAATGCCCCACTAAATATACCTCAACAAATAAAAAGTGAGAAGACCGTAGTTCAGTAGAAAAATCAGCAAGGACTGTAAACAATGACCCAGTGAAAAGCTGTTTAACTTTACATGTGGGGAGAAAAACTGTAGTGCTATGTAATCTGATTAGTTTGTTTCACAAAGATTGACAAACACTATTTGCAACAATACTGACACACAGGCAGTTATTTCTTTTTTGTTTCTTCATTTAAATTTTTTAAAAATCACAAATAAAGTGAACGTGTAGCAATTGTCTGAGTCTGCCTTATTCATCTTCCAGTTCCAATCGTTTTGCCACAAGTGATAGAATTTCATTCTTTTTTGTATCTGAGTAACATTACACACACACACACACACACATACTAATATTCCATATGCTTGTGTTTATATGTAAATACTCACACACCACGTGTTCGTTGTTGATTGAAGTGTTCACAAGGCTCCTGGCACCAGCCAGGCTGAAACTAGGAACTTGGAACTCCATTTAATTCTCCTAATGGGTAATAGAGATCCAAATACATGAGCTCCTGTTTTCCAGCAGCATTAGCAGATGTTGGAGGCCCTCAGATGTAGAGTGTGGGTATCCCAAGAGGTGACTTGTGGTACCACACCAACCACCCCAAACCTTCATCTCTTAGTAGGAGTATCAAAGAGATCGCATCATTTGAATTGCCACATATGTGTCTTATTTTTTGTTGGCTAAATAAAATTGGACATCATTTCCAAGTTAACTTAAATAGTGGCATGATAGTGAGTATTCTTCCCCTCCTTTTTACTTTAATGGGACTGGTTTTATCGTCACAAGTCAGAATCTTTATTTTGGAGATAGGCTTCAGAAGATAAGGAGGAATCCATACATTTGTTTTTAGTAAATTAAACAAAAGCAAAATCAGTGGTGGATATTGAATTTTATTATGACTTTTTATAGATGTACTAATATTCTCAGTGATAGAATTTAAGATGATAATTTCCAATCATATTCTGATACTTATGCTGATGTGCATGGGCAGATATTTTGCTTGTCATTTTTGGTGTGAAGCAGACTTTCTGTTAACTCTCCATTGGCTGTGCTGATTTGTTTAGGTTGTTTTGGAATTTACTAAACAACAGAAAGAAGAAGATACAATTTTAGTATTTAACATCACTCAGTTAGGAACAGAGGCTACAATGAGGACATATGACTTAACTGCAGTGTCTTATTTAAAGAAAATCAGCTTGGATTATCATGAAATTCAAGGTAAAGCCATAAAAACACAAATAGCCAATAGAAAATATAGCATATGAATCACTCACATTAATATTCATATTAAATAATAAATATATGAATATGTTAAGTATTAAATATGATAAAGTGTATTAAACATATAAATATGTATATTAAAGTAGATAATGTTATTATATCCCTCATAAGTATACATAAACAAAGGCATGAACTGGTTATGAGGTACCCATGGCTGCATCACTAGTAAAGTGATTTGAACTATATTAAACCCTTGAAATATTATTCCTAGGTTCTTTATTCTCAACCAGTACAATTTGTTGTTTTATGTTCCATATAAGTTGCCTTAATGTAGTGAGTATCATTTCTAATTTACATAAAAGTATGATTAAATATGAAGACTGATTAAGTGACTTACTCAGTATTGTGAATCTCATGAATGGTAAAGCGTAAGTTTTCTCTCTGGACTTCTCATGTGGAAAGCCTTATGCTTTCTATTAAGCAGTGTTTGCCTCTAAAAAGCAGTACCAGATTATGCAGATAAAAATGACTGGTTAAATCAACTCTTAAAACATTTTTTAGTTTATTCATGTCAGTGTATATGGTTTGTCTGATGTTTGACTCATGAAGAGATTGATGAATCTTAAATGTTTTATTTTATTCAACTACAAATGTTTTTAAGTATTTTAAGTGTTTTTATTCAAATATAAAGGCCTTTATAATTTTTATTGTTGAAATTAAAATATACTTTGGTTTAGAACGAAAATCGTATTTATATCTTAGTAATTTTCTGTTGATACTGTGATGGAGTTTGTTGTTGTATTGATGGAATGGGTAATACATTTTCTAAACATTTCACTTAAGGAAAGCTATGCCATTGTAGGTCAAGAGAAAATTTTCAGCTATCTCAGGTGCTGTGGTCACAGAATTGCAAATGATAAGGGTAAAATGATGAATAAATCACTTACCCCTCCTCAGTTTTTAGAGGCTGTGCTTGGTACATCTCCAAAGCTTCCTAAAGGGCATTTGGGAGTATCACTTTATTGATAAAAAGAGATTCAATAAATGGAATTTCTGCTTGTCCAGCTTCTGTCTTAAATATTGAAGTGAATTAGTATTCTGGAAGGATGGAGTTTTTAGGATTTGTATTTTTTGATTCTTAGACCTTTAGTCTCTCATACTGTGTGACAAATGCACAAATGGTTTTAAAAATTCATAGAAAATCTTGATTATTTTTGAATGTATTTGTGAAATAAAATGAATATAAATCTGTATGTTTTTACATAAACATTAGGTGCTTTAGGTAGAGAATTGAAATGATGTATTTATTTAGTACTGATGGCCATAGCATTAATAACCATTCATATATATGTAGGTATTCTGTGAAAGGTTAAATAGCAGTTGTCTACTTTCTTTTTTTTTTTTTTAAGAAAAAAATTACCTAGAAAGTTCAAAATTGTAAGAGTAATGTATCTGAAATACACTTTTCCCTTGTGTTTCTTTAATCTAGGATCCAAAAAGAAGCCTCTTCATTTGATTAGCTCTTCTGATAAGCCTGGACTGGATCTTTTGAAAGTAGAATATATTAAGGTAAAGACCATAGATGTGTTTATTGTATACTTTATGCTTCTGAAGAATAGATGACATCAGTACATTATTGTAGTTTCGGGGTATATGCCAGCTTTTTTAATGATTGGGATTTCTTGTATTGCTCACTTGTATACCACCTTCTTCTTCTTCTTCTTTTTTTTTTTTTTTTCTGCTTAAGTACGTGCTTTTTAAGAATCTACTAAACTTCTTGTCCCCAGAAATGGAAATCAGGAAAAAAGTAGAAGTCACATACACCTTTTATCTTGTGGAGTATATTTACCCCAATCAATCATCAATCTATCCACACATTTACATATAGAGTTGATGTGCTTTGAGTATCTTATATTGAAATGTAAAGGTCAGATTAGATCATATTCAGAAGAGAGCTGCCATGATTGAGAGGGACACAAAAATAAATGAGAATTGCTAAAGGTGCCGATTCTATAGAGCTGCATTCAAGGTCATTGACCAACCATTTGCTGAGTATCTGAGTATCTGTAGTGATAGGTACTAGGTGATACAGAGGTGGAAAATACTTCTTGTTCTCAAAGAAATTTAGCACTTAGGTACACAGGTACACTAAATATAGTGTGAGGGGCTGGCAAGTTGTGCTGGCATCCCATATAAGTGCTAGTTCTTGTCCCAGCTCCTCCACTTCTGATCTGGCTCCTGGAAAGGGAGCTCAAGATGGCCCAAATATTTGGATGGAGTTCCTGGCTCCTGGTTTTGGCCTGGCCCAGCCCTAACCATTACAGTCATTTGGGGAGTGAACCAGCAGATGGATTTGGATCTCTCTCTCTCTCTTTATTGCCTTTCAAATATGTAAGTCTTAAAAAGACACTATGACTGATTCTTGCATGAGGAAAGGCACAAAATTATGCATCTTTTTAGTTTGAATTTACAGTGTTCTCAAAGGGCAGGGGTAAGATTAATATATTGTAATTATAACAGATAGATTTGAAAGTGCTTGAAAAGCAGAGAAGTTTTTATTATTATTTTTATTTTTTTAGAGAAGTTTTTTAAATTCACTTACTCATTCCCTGGATATTCAGAGAGCCAGGGCCGAGGAGGGCCAAAGCCAGGACCCTAAAATCCCTAGGAGTTTCCCATTTGGATGGTGGGGGCCCAGGTACTTGAACCATCTGCTGTCTTTCAGGAAGCGTTAGTGGGAAGTTGGATTGGAAGTAGAGTAGCACTTTAATTAGACCCAGGGGCATCTTCGAATATAACTTAACTTGGTGCATCATAGTGCATGTCCCATGGGAGATAGATTTTTGATCTCTTTAAGTACAGATTTTTCAGAGATTAAGTTTATAAAGATATGAGGTTTCTTTCATTGAAGATAGCATAAATCACTTGTGCCAGACTCCATAGACAGATTTCAGTGTTAGTTCATGGATGAAATAGAATAACTTTTACCTTCTTGCCTTCTGAGTTTACCCTTGTGATATCTAACTTCAGTTTCTCGTAAATGAATGTTCTCTCCTGTTTGAGGAGACTGCATTGGCACTTTTATAATAAATAAGTTATTTAGATGTTACTTTAAGATAGTGAATATATATTAAACATGGAATGTATATAAAATGCGTTATAACTAAGTGGGAATAAAATACATATCACAAATAAATAATTTACTTTCATCTTAACTTTAGAATTTTTGCTTATTTCAGGCTGATAAGAATGGACCTAGTTTTCAAACCACATTTGAAAAAACAGAACAAACATTTAAGGTAATAATTATTTTGAAAAGGGGGGAATGGTGTAGATAAGGGAATTCTGATTTACAAAGAACCAACAGGGTTTTAAACAAAACAAAACAGATACCACCAAATCATGCAGGAGTTAAAAAGTATATGAAATAGCAGGTTGTGATGTTGAGTATTTTTGAAGCCACATTACTTTGATAGTAGCACAGAGGAGTAGTCAAAGTGTATTTGTGGGTTATATTAAAAAGAAAACTGGCGGTGTGTTTTAGATTACACTTATGAGGTATGGGAGAATGTTATACTGTTGTTAACTTTTTATTCTAGATTTTATATTCATTCCTGTTTTGAGAAAATAAAAATTATTTCCTATGAACAATTTTTAAAATTTTGTGTTAATTTTGTAGTAGTAACCTGTTTTAAAGGTTGTTAATAATTGCATAGTGAGTGTGCATATTTATGGGGTAGAGTGCAACATTTCCGTACTTGCATACAATATATAATGGTTAGATCAGAGCAGTTGCCATATTTGTTACCTCAGACATGATCATTTCTCTGTGTTGTGGATACTCACAAGTTTCACTAGATTCTGGTCAGTATTTGCTTTTGAATGTAGTTATCCTGCTGTGAGGTAGGGTGTTACTAGAAGTGCTTCTTACTATCCAGCTGCTCTCCTGCACAGGAATCACCCTCTCTCCCATCCTGCCCCCCAACACCATTCTCACGTTCTAGTAGTTACTACTCAATTCTTCTGTGGTTTGGCCTTTTAGCTTCCACATGTGAGAATGTGTGGTATTTGTCTTTCTATGCTTGGCTTATTTAATTTAATATGTCTTCCAGTTGCATCTGTATTCCTCCAAATGACAGAATTTCACTCTTTTTATGACTAATCAATATATCCCATTGTATATAAATGCCATTCTGTCACTGGATACGTAGGTTGTTATTCTTCTCTTGGCTATTAGGAATAGTACTGAGATAAACATTCACATCCAGGCATGTCTTCAGTGTTCAGATTTCCTCTTCTTTGAAGACATGTGCAGGAGTGAGATATCTCAATTGTGTGGCAGTTCTATTTTGAGTTTTTTGAGGAACCTCCACAGTTCTTCCCAAAATGGCTGGACTAATTGGTAGTCTTACCAACAGTGTATGAAAGTTTTGTTTTTTTCCAAATTCTTGGAAATATTTGGTTTTTTGTTGTTCTTTTAGTAATAATTGTTCTATCTGGATTACATGATACCATGATTAGTGGTGTTGGACATTTAGAGAAAACACATATTCTTGGGTCCAGTCTTGGGCCCAGCACCATGGCTCAATTTGCTAATCCTCTCTTAGCAAGTGCTGGCATGCCATATGGGTACCAGGTTGTGTCCCGGCTGCTCCACTTCCCTTTTAGCTCCCTGAGTATGGCTGGGAAAGCACTGAAGGATAACTGAACATCTTGGGACCCTACACCCACCCACATGGGAGACCTAGAAGAAGCTCCTGGCTCCTGTGTTCGGATCGGCTCAGCTCTGGCCATTGTGACCACTTGGGGAGTGAACCAGTGGAAGGAAGGTTTTTTTTATTTCTGTCTACTCTGTAAATCTGCCTTTCCAATTAAAAAAACTACACACACACACATATACACACACACATATTCTTGGAAGCAATTAGTGCTGCTATCTTAGCTTTTTAGAGTTACTGTTTTGCACAGACATTATTCCTGTAAGTTTTACTAGCACATTCAGTGTTTATTTTTAGAAAAGCATTTTGTAAATGGTAACTCAGTCATAATTTTGCTTTAAATGTTTAAAACTCACAAATACCACCTTGGAAATAATTTCTAAACATTGTAGTTCTGTGGCTTCATGTTCTAATATCTTTATATTCATAATAAATAGCCTACTAAAGCTCTGAGAAGCCTTATGTGTGGTGAATAATGGGCAGATGGTGAAGTGACTGTGAGAAGTAAAGTGCACAAGAAATTCTTAGAAAATTAAATTAAAAGATGTTTATTTTGGCACAAATTTTTTGAAATCTCTGTATATGGCAGGTGTTGAAAAAGGTTTTGGAAGATGCATATTATGAAATTACTATATAGATTCAAAATTCCTTTGCACCAAAACAAACTTATAATATAAACTTACATTTCAGTTCTTTTTCAAATAACTTTATTACTTACCCTCATATACTCTTTGATCATTATGCTCGAGAAATACAGCAGCCAGGGTTTCACGGTCCTCTAGGTGTTGCTGAAGTGTGGCAGAGTAACTTACTTTCTGTATAGTGTCTATTTAAGGGGTTGTGAAACTTTCTTCTTATTTTCCTTCTAGATGGTAGAAAATAGTGATGTCAGTTAAACTGGGAACTTTTGGGGTTTGAAATAGAGATTACAGGTTATAATTTACCAAGGAAACTAATTCTCTTTTAAAAACATTTTTAGGTGACCTTTTCATCTTTAAATCTGTTGCTGCAAACACAAGCTCTTCTCTCTTCAATTAATTATCTGACAGCCATTCTTCCATCAGATGATCAAAACACAGATATTCCCAAGGAGGTACAGATTTCAGCTGGGAAACAGAAAAATTCAACTCTGCAGAAAGGTGTGGAAAATGCTTTGTTTCTAGTTAACAAGGGTCTCATCCTCCAAATCTAAAGGAGGAATCTCAGGGAACATCTCATTTAGTCATTTAAATGTCACGCTCACCCAGCTACCTTTTCTTTAAATTAAATTGCTTACGGACAATGGAAGAGATACAAGGCAAACATAATTGGCACTTTTTTTTTAAATAATGCTTGTTGTTATTTTGTTGGTGGAACTGGATGTTAGGTGGGAAGAAGGGGAAGAAGACCTCGCATCTCAGTGGCTGGTGAAGGGACTCCACAGAGGGCTTGTCCCAGGTTTGATTTTGTGTAAGGACAACAAGACCTCAGGCGTGAAGGCAAAGGCTTGGAATGCTTGGAATGGCCTTTCTTTGGCTAAAATTATAGATTTTGAGTCAGAAAGAACTCACTTCAAATTCTGGCCTTGCTGCTTAGGCTTAGTAACTTTTGACTCTGTATTTAACTTCGTTGCATTTCACTGTCCTTATCTTACCTTATGTATTGTTTTTTCTTTTAAATTGTAAGTGTAATAAGTGTAACATATTTCATCGTTTAAAAATGTGAAAATGTATGGGGAGGAAAATGTATTTGTATTTTTAGAAATTTGAGAATTTTATGATTTGGTAGAATTGTATTCACTTAACATGGGGAAGAAACCTTAGCAGGGTTTAGATTTCCTGGTTTCTCTGTGATAGAATGCTGTTGTTTTTTTTTCTTTTTAGTGATTGTATCTTCTAAAGACACAGATTACATTGGCTTCAGGCTGTTTGCCAAGCTGAATGCTTTCTCTGTCGTTGTTTGTGATGAGAAGAATAGTATTGCTGAAATCAAGATTCAAGGTAAAAAGTTCTCCTACTATTAAAAATGGTCAAATTTAAGATTTTATTTCACTTCGCTGCTAAGGTATGTGTATATACATATATATACACACACATACATATACACACATATATACATATATAATAAATAAATATGTATTAGATAATATATTACAATATATTATGTATTAATCACATAATAATATATTACATGTAATAATAAATTTATGTAATAATATACACATTACATAATATACTTGATATAAAATATATTAAATAATATGTATGTGTGTATATACATGCTTATTAGCTTATTTTTACTTGAAAGGCAGATTTACAGAAGAGGAAAGATAGAGAATGCTTCCATCATGTGGTTTATTCCTCAGATTGCTGTTAGGAGCCTGGAGCTTCTTCCAGGTCTCCCACATCAATACAGGGAACCAAGAATTTGCACCGTCTTTCTCACCTTTCCCATGCACAATAGCAGAGGGCTAAATTATAAATGGAATAGTCAGGACTCAAACCAGTAACCATATGGGATACTGGTAATCAGGCAGAAGCTTAACGTACTATGCCATAATGCTGGCTCCAGTGTTAAGGAATATGTAAAAGGAGAGCCCTGGGTTCTGAAAGCTATAATAATGCTGTTGGATTGTGTGCTGTCATCTCTTTGTGATACAAATATGGGTTACAATCTGACTCTCTAGTCCAACCCTACATTCACATTGGTATTTGAGACCCTTCTGAGAGTCATCTAAGAGAAGGGGTACTCATGTCAGTATAAAAATGCCACTGATGGGCTGGGATATGTGGCAATACTGAATTCAGGTGAAATTCTATAGATACACATTTATCTGCTCTGCTTTATTTATATTTTTCATCTTTATATTTATACATAATTGTATATATTTGTACACTATGTTTTTGTCTTTATTGTATGTTACAGGAGGCAATCTTGTATTAAAGAACAAAACCAATGAACTTACTATTTTCTTTTAGGCAAAAGCTGCACCTCTGTTTTCTTAGACCTGTTTTTACCATATTACTGTGATCTGGAAAAGCCAAAGAATGTTTTACATGTTTAATGAAATCAGCTAGAAAACTAGAGGTTTTTCTTTGCCCTCTCAAAATTGGAAGTACATTTGCTAGTCTGAATTTGATTTGTTAAAATTTTTTATTAAAAGATTTATTTATTTGCAAATCAGAGTTAATAGGGAGGGAGGAGAGATAGGGAGAGATTTGCCACCTGTCACTTTACTTCTCAAATGGCTGCAATGGCTGAAGCTAGGAGAGCCTTTGAGGTTTGCTACATGGGTGGCCTGGACCCATTCATGTGGGCCATCCTCTACTGCTTTCCAAGGCCCAGTAGCAGGGAGCTAGATTGGAACTAGAGCAGGTGGGATTTATATTGGCACCCATACGCGATGCTGACTTCAAAGGCAATGGTGTTACCAACTACATCATAATGCCAGCTTCTGATTTGTTAACTTTTGTAGCTGTTGTATGAATGATTCAATGTAAAGTATAAAGGATTTAGGTAAATCCTGAGATAATATGTTTGTACCAAATATCTTTTCCTCCAGGTGAAGATTTTGAAAAATTTTTGTTTATTTATGATGGAGGGAAAGGGGGAGGGAGGAAACACACACACACACACACACACATGCAAATACACATATACACAGAGAGAGAGAGAAAGAGAGAAGGTGCTTCTGTCTGCTGGGTGACTCCTCAAATGCTTGTTGTGACAGCTTTGGGCAGAACCAAAGACTGAGCTGGAAACCCTCCCAGTTGGGTGGCAGAAACCCAGGTACTTGTGCCACAACACTGCTTCCCAACGTATTTTCTGGAAAGTTCAAATTAGGACTCATAGTCCAAGCACATAGAAATGGGGTCTTGGTACTTTTTTTATTTGTTTGTTTTAAAGATTTAATTTGTTTTATTTGAAAGATACAGTGATAGAGAAAGAGATCTTCCATTTGCTGAGTTGTTCTCCAAAAGGTCTCAACATCTGACTCCGGGTTAAGTCAGGAGCCAGACCTCCTTCTAGATTTCCCCCAGGGTGGCAGGGCTGGACCACTTGAATCCTCTCTGCTGCTTTCCCAGCATATCAGCAGAGAGCTTGATCAGATTCAGCGCAGCCTGGCCTCAAACCAGTGCTCAGAAATAAGGGGCAAGAAGTGGCTTTTCCTGCTCTGCCACAGTGCTCGCCCCAGGTACCTGCTTGTCTTAACTGGAATAATAACTGTTAGGCTAAGTACCCATGTGAGATAATGATATCTTAATTAGTTTTTGTTTCAGTGCTTACATAACTGAAAATATCTGATGTATCAACTTGCTTATAAATTCAGACAATGCTATATTTTAAAAAGATAACCTAAAATTATACCTTACAAAGGGAAAGGAATAATTTATTTATGGAAGATATCTGTTATTAAAATAATACCACATTTTCCCCCAGGCCTTGATTCTTCCCTCTCTCTTCAGTCAAGTAAACAATCACTGTTTGCCAGACTGGAAAACATTATTGTCACAGATGTGCACCCTAAGACAGTACATAAAAAAGTAAGTCATGGTGAACAGTTTGTATTTTTTGGTGATTTAATGTGAAATTCAGCTTTAAAATATTCTACTATAAGATTAAATATATTTCAGTAGAAAAATGTTTCTATTAAGATTATAAATATAAATTCTTTCCTAAAAATCTTTTGTCATTCTCTTTCTGGAAAAAATACATTCATATTTCTCTTTTTTAGGCTGTGTCAATAATGGGGAATGAAGTTTTTCGTTTTAACCTGGATTTGTATCCAGCTGCTACTGAGGGAGATTCCTATACTGACATGTCCAAAGTAGATGGTGTGGTATCACTGAATGTTGGCTGTATTCAGATTGTCTATCTTCATAAATTTCTTATGTCACTCCTGGTAAAATCATTGTTTATTTATTGATTTTTGAACTTAGAAGTACTTAAGTTGGATAGTTCTGATTGAAAATTAAACATGTTTGGAAGTTAGGGTGGGCCTAGTTTTGATTATAGATGATAGGTATACATGAATATGGAGATCAGATCCCTTTTAACAGTTGAAATCAAATTTGTTTAATGGCTCTTGTCTAGAACTGAAATTGTGTTTACTCAGTTGACTCCCCCTGCTTTTCCTTAGCCATATAACATTAGCCTTTGCCAAGTTGCTTATAACTATGGTAGAATATTAGTCATATTTTCTTTATTATTATTATTTAATTGGAAAGTCAGGTTTATAGAGAGAAGTAGATACAGAGAGAAAAATCTTCTATCCCATGGCTCACTCCACAAGTGGCCTCAAAGCCAGAGCTGAGCTGACCCAAAGCCAGGAGCCAGGAGCTTCTTCCAGGTCTTCCATGTGGTTGCAGGGTCCCAAGGCTTTGGGTTGTCCTCTCCTGTTTTCCCAGGCTACACTGAGGAAGCTGGAATGGAAGTAGAGCAGTCAGGATATGAACTGGCACTCATATGGGATCCCAGGGCATGCAAGGCGAGAACTTTAGCCACTAGGCTAACATGCTGGGCCTAGTCATACTTTCTTAACGTTAGGGAAATAAGGATCAGCCAAAAATTCCTCTGTTGCAATAAAAGTTAACTTGTTCGAGAAGAAAGTGGTATTATGACTGATATTCCTATTTTCTGTTAATTCTCTTTGGTGGTTTATGTCACAGAACTTCCTGAACAATTTCCAGACAGCCAAAGAGGCTGTGAGTGCTGCCACGGCCCAGGCTGCAGAAAAGGCTGCCACAAGCGTGAAAGATCTTGCCCAGAGGAGTTTCCGTGTTTTGATCAACATTGATTTGAAAGCACCAGTTATAGTCATCCCACAGTCTTCTGTTTCCACCAATGCAGTTGTGGTAGATCTTGGATTAATCAGGGTTCAAAATAAGTTCAGCTTAGTGTCTGGTGAAGACTCCTTGAATCCTCCCATAATTGATCGAATGGATGTGCAGCTAACAGAACTGAAGCTTTCTAGGTATGTTTTTTTCGATATTATGGGTTTAAGTATTAAGATTTCTCATGGAATTTTATGGTTATTGAAATTCATACCTAAAATATGTGTATGACATCTAACTTTTTAAGATTTTTTTATCTTGAAAAAATTTTAAACCTTTAGAAAAATTGCAGAAATACTGTACATGTGTACATATCAGTATACATACGCATCCTTCATGTAGACGGTTCCCATTTTCTTTTAACCTACATACAACCATGTAATTCAAAATATTTTTAATTTTAAAAACAGATTTCTTTGTTTTTATATGAAAGAGTTGCAGAGGAAGGAGGGAGACAGAGGATCTTTATCTGTTGGTTCACTCCCCAAATAATGACAAACAACCAGAGCTGCACTGGTCTCAAGGGGGAATCAGGAGCTGCTTCTGGGTTTCCCACGTGGGTATGGGACCGAAGGACTTGGGCCATCCTCCACTGCTTTCCCAGGCACATTGGTTTGGAACTGCCATGACTCAAATCGGGATCCATATGGGTTGCTGGGTGCTACAGAAAATTATCCTGGTGAAGAATTATAAGGTGTTTTAGGAAATATTAACTGCTCACCTTACTGTTTTTTTCTCTTAAATATTTATTATTGATTGATCAGTTGCCTGAAGTCATAATGATAGAAAGAAAGCAAAAGAGATCTTCCTTCTTCTGGTTCATTTCACAACAGCCAGGGAGGGCCAGTCTTAAGCCAGGAACTGGGAGCTCCATCTGAGTCTCCCACATGGGTATCCAGGGGCCAAATACAATGGTGACAGAGTCGTCACCAATTGCCCCCACTGTGCACATTAGGAGAAGGCTGGGTTGGAAGCAGAGCAACTGAGACTGTAACTGGCACTCTCATTTCAGATTACAGGTGGTGCAATAGGTGGCTTAACCCTCCTTGCCACAGTAGCTAGCCCTCCATTGTTCTCTTTAGTATTTGTACCAACGTATATATGAGGGACTTTCACTAAGGTCATGGAGAAAGTATATTCTGAACAAAAGCTGTGCATCCACTTCAAACATTTTGGCAACAAAGTGAATTTAGCTTTTTATCTTTTGTAGTGTTTATTTGAGAGGTTAAAAAATAGAAAAGGAGAGAGGTCCCATCCTTTGGTTCACTCTATAAATATCCACCATGGCAAGGTCTGAAATGGATTGATGCAGAAAGCTAAGAACTTACCCCATCTGTCCAGTGGGGGTGGAACCCACTTACATGAGCCATCGCTTGTTACTTCCTAAGATCTAGAGTGATGGGAAGCTGGAATTGAGAGCCAGACTGGGGAGCAAATTCAGGCATGCCCAGTATGAGAAAAGGCATCTTAACCACTGGATAAAATGCATCTACTCTTAGCTCCCAACATTTGATTTTCACAAACTTTTGGGAATTCGCTTGTGTTAGATTCTGAACATCTGTATTTGATTATTTCTCCCATCTCCTCAGCATTGAGAGTTTTTTTTAAGTTTGACTTTTCAAATGTATTTTTTTTAAAGATTTATTTTTTATTTTCTTTATTGGAAAGACGGATATACAGAGAGGAGAGACAGAGAGGAAGATCTTCCATCCAGTGATTCACTCCCCCAGTGAGCCGCAACGGCCGATGCTATGCCGATCCAAAGCCAGGAGCCTCTTCCGGGTCTCCCACACGGGTGCAGGTTCCCAAAGCTTTGGGCCATCCTTGACTGCTTTCCCGGGCCACAGGCAGGGAGCTGGAAGGGAAGCGGGGCTGCCGGGATAGAACTGGCGCCCATATGGGATCCCGGGGTGCAAGGCGAGGACTTAACCACTTGCGCCACCGCGCCGGGCCCCTCAAATGTATTTTTTAAAGATTTTTTTTTTTAAAGGCAGATTTACAGAGAGTGAGAGGAGAGATACAAAAGATATAGATATCTTCTATCTACTACTTTACTTCCCAAATGGCTGCAACTGTTGGAATTGGGCTGATTAAGAGCTTGGAACTTCTTGGGCGTCTCTGAAGTGGGAGCGAGGGTGTAAGGATCTGGACATCTTTTGATTCTTTCCCATGCAACATTAGCAAGGAGCTGAAACAGAAGTGGACTAGCTGAGATCCAAGTCATCTCCCATATGGGATGCCAGTATCTGAGGGGGAGGCTTCATCTTAACCTGCTGCGCGTGGCAGTGGTGCTCACATGTCTGTTTTTAAAGAAAATTTTCCTTAAACAGTCCTTGTTGTGTCACATGTTTAATCTAGCCCCACTATTTAATTGCAGATTAAGTTAATTGTGAGTTGAATTTTGAAAGCATTCAGGCAGTACTGTTTCAAGATCTTTAGTGTAGGAAATAACTGCTTGATCATAGTTATTTTAATATTGCACCCGCTCCCCTCATTTATGTACATTTGTCACTTTTGCTTTGCATCAGGACAATGATCCAACCGGGCATCTCACATCCTGATATTCAGCTGTTGCATCCAATTAACTTAGAGTTGTTTGTAAATCGGAACCTGGCTGCATCTTGGTACCACAAGGTACCTGTTATGGAAATTAAAGGGCACCTTGATTCAATGAATGTAAGTATTAATCAATGGAACTTGAAATTTTATTTGGTTTTTTTTTTGGTATAAATCCAAATGAAATGAAGTTTTAGTGAATGAAGAAAGTTTTCAGTGAGATGCCTAACAAATTGTTATGTTCAGGAAAGTCTTAAATGTTATTTAAATGCACATTGGTACAGTTCTGTAAGCAAATTGTTTGTCAATGTACTGTGTTACCTCTTAAAGTGTATACAAATATTTTATACACATAGATTTTTTTGGCAATATCTGGCTACTCCTGAGATAGTTACAAAAGTGAGAGAAATACTTATTTTTGTTGTTGTTGTTGTACATGTTATTAGAGGGTTTTTTGGTCATTGGAGTTACTGTTTTTTACAAGATTTTTTTTTTTTAATCTGAAATGCAGAAATAAAGAGAGAAAGAGAGAGGGAGAGGGCTTCATCTACACTGATTTACTCCCCAGTGGTGGTCACTAGCCAGGGAAAGGCCTGGTGGCATCTTGGGTCCTGCACCTTACATGGTGGCTGGGGCCCATGTTCTTGGCCTGTTTCCCCTACCTTCGCAAGCGCTTTAGTGGGCAGCTGCATCAGGGGTGGGACCGTTGGGATTCAACCTGTTTCTCTGATCAGATGCTGGTCTTGCAGGCTTTGAGTTAAACTGCTGCATCACAGTTCTGGTCTTAAGGAATTCTTAATGTTTAATAAGAAGAATTCATGTATTTTCTGAATTTGTCAGGTGTTTTTTAAAATTTTATTTATGTTTGTTTGAAATGTAGATTCACAGAGAGGAGAGACAAAGAGAATCTTTCATATTCTGGTTCACTTCTGAAATGACTGCAGTGACCAGAGCTGAGCCTCTCTGAAGAGAGGAACCAGGAACCTCCTCCAGGTCTCCTACATGGGTGCAGGGGCACGAGGACTTGGGCCATCCTACACTGTTCTCCCAGGTCATACGCAGGGACCTAGATCAGAAATGGAGCAGCTGGGACACAAACCAGCATCCATATGGGATACTGACACTACAAGCCGAGAATTAGCCTCCTAAGCCATGGTGCTGGTTCCTGAATTTATCAATATATAAAACTGTTCAGATTTTTTTGTTATAATTAATTTTGGTGAACATTTTATAATTTAAGTTTATGGTGGTAATACTGCTTTATTAATCAAATATTTCTGTACATGCTTTATCTTTGAAAATAGGCCTGTTGACATGAATGAAGAGTAGTGATTTTACTGTAGGATTATACTTTGTTTGGTTATAGGGAATTTATTCTGCATTAAAACTGTTCATTTAAAATTGAAATATATTTACCTTTTAATGTTACACTTCACAGGTTAGCCTCAGTCAAGAAGATCTTAATCTTTTATTTAGAATATTAGTAGAAAATCTTGGTGAGGCATCTGAAGACTTGGATAAAGTAAAGCCAAGAGTACAAGACAGAGGTAAGAGGTTGATAGCAGGTGGCTTAAAATACATGTCTATTTTCAAGTTAGTCAGAAAGAGAGACATTCATCTCTGCCCTTTAAATAAAATGAAGATTAAAAGGAATATTTTTGTTAATATTGTTGCCAGGCATTTAGTAAGTTCGTCCCTGAAGCATTTAGGATCTGAGAAATTTAACCATGTCAGTACAGGCAGTTTTACATGTTAACTGAAGATAAATAAGTGTCCTTAAAAGATCTAATATATTAAAAAAAGAAGAAGAAGAAGAAGCCACAAGGAACCTAGCTGGGTGTGTAGCATTGTTGCCTAATGATTTCCCATGTAAATTCTGGCAGAACTGTTCTTGTTTGATGAGAGGAAAGAGCAAGAACATTGTTGGAGAGGACTCTGGCAAAGCTGTGCTGGGTGCTTCTGAAGCTTTGACTAGCTTTCCCCAAGCAGACATTCCATTCATTGGTCTTCAGAAAGTCAGTAAGCATAATCTGTTGAGCATCTCAGAGCAATGTTAGCATGACCTTTACTCCTAGCAAACCCACATCTGCTTTGTTGGGACCACTTCCATCTCTGAGTGACCATTGGTTTAATTGTGCTTTTTAATCTTATTGGTAAACCTGCATTTCATCTCCCGTTACATTTCTTTAAAAAAAATAGACAAAAAACAAAACAACGTTAGGGTCTTGTTCCCATGTTTTAAAATTTTCCTTTGACAGCTGTGCTGACTGCAGTTTGGGTGTACCAGTTTGGGCAGTCATCATGTGGAAAGTTTGGTTCACTTAGTGTAATTGTGTAAGCTGAGTCTGTTGAGATGTCTATGTGGCTGCCTGTTTATACTCATTGTTGGTCCTTTTTAATGGCACAAACAGGAACAGACGTAATGTTTGTGTCACATATTGAAGCTCCTGGGGACTTCATGTTCAACACTGTCTTGTCTCTTCTCAAAAAAAGCTATTCACGTGTAAATTGCCTGTTTCTTTGGAACATTGTCCCAATAAACTTTTTGTGGAGTAATAATGGTTTCACCATTTTCCTTTCCAAGTTTCTTTATCAATTTGGTATTTCTTCTTGTTTCCTTTTTTAGCAGAATTCATGCTGTTCTGAGAGGGACTTTATTCAAACTGATTTCTTACACTTTCAACTGACTCATACTAGATCTTGTGCAGATAAGTTGTAGCAAGGTATTGTGAGTGTATTTGGGTACAAAAGATTTTGGAATCAGTGCATGATTTTTCACAATAAAATTTTCTGTGAGGTTTTGTTTTTTAAGATTTACTGATTTATTTGTATCTAAGATTAGAGAGAGACAAACAGACATCTTCTATCCTTTAGTTTGCTCTCCAGATGGATACACTAGCCAGGACTAAGCAGGTTGAAGTAAGGAGACAGGAGTCTGGGACCATCTTCTGCTGTTTTTCCCAGGCTGTTAGCAGGAACCTGGGCCAGCACTAGAACAGCTGGAACTCAAACTAGCGCACGTTGTCACAGGCAGTGCTTTTACCCATTGCACCATGTTGGCCCTCCTGTGAGTCTTTTGAAGACATGTCATATAGCACTACCCAGCACCATATTGTTGCCCTTTTGTGTCAGTACCAGACATCCAGCCTGTTTTCTGATATTCTAGAAGTACCTGTCAGCCTAAATTGTAACACCATGGATGGACTAGTTTTGCCTCTTCTTAAATTTTACCTACATAGCATACTCAGAATTTATTTCTTGATGTTTGACTTTTGTTGAACATGTGGTAGGGTTTGTTCATGTTGTATATAGCAGTAATTTGTTTTGGTAGAGTATTCATTTTTCTGTGTGAATCAAAATTTGTAATTCTTTGTTGTTGTTGCATGCTTGGTTTGTGTCCAGTGTGTTTGGCTGTTGTAGTTGTGCGTTGTACATTTCTTTGGGCTCTCTCTGTTCCATGGTTTTGCTTTCTACAGTTGCAGTTACCCAAGGCCAGATAATGTCTGAAAATATGAACTGAAAAATTTCAGAATCAAACATGGTATAGGTTTTAAATTGTGTGCAATTTTGAATAGTATGAAATATTTTATCAGCCTGTTCTGTTCAGCTGTGATGTGAGTCATCTCTGCACTATTCATACTACTCATGATTGTCCTGTGATGGTATCTTAGTGCTATGTTCAGGTACACATGATGGCCCTTAATGATGGTCCTACAACAACAGTGGTGATGTTGCCAATTTTATATAGAATATTGTTGTAACAATTCTATTGTATTATTGTTAATATCTTGCTGTGTCTTCTTTTAAGCTTGATCTCACATATATACAAAACATACTTTAAAAATTTTATGGAAAAATTTAAGTAATGCTAATTTTATCCTGGTGCAAAAATTCTTGAAATTCATGTATATGAGTAAACTACTGATTTCTTCAGGCTGCTGAATTGTCTCTGTTTTCATTTGGAGGCAGGAGTTTAGAAGCAATAGCTAGTAACAGTATGCTTGAGTCTATTGAAGTTCATGAAAAAGAAGTGGCAAGCACCTTATTTCAAGTTATACAACAACCATTTTAAGAAAAAGTAACTGCTCAGTTTAATGAGAAAAATTTTTTACCTTAAGGTAGTTGAAGTGAAAGGAGAAAGTACTGAGAGAAAACCTTTTGTCCCCTTTCTTCTCACTTCTTTAAAGTCTGTTATCAAGTCTGCTTGACTTAGAGCAACTGTAGTTAACTTTAACAGTTTTTTCTTTTTTCTGAAAGTACCATAGAATGATGGAGTAATCGTTATTTACAGTTGCAGTGGAACCCAGTGTCACTGATTTTGTCTCACACACCTGCAGTTAAAATAATTCTAGAGAAGAGCCAGTGGAAAGTAACCAATGTTGCTCTTGTCATCAAATGGAAAATAGATTCTGAAAGTTAGTTTTACCTATTAACTATTTTGTTTTTACCTGCTCTAGCAATATTTTCATTGAAATTTTAAATTGGGACATCAGTTACAGACTGAAAATTTCTCCAGTTCTAAACCCAATTAACCCTCAGTCCACTGTATGTCTTGTGAACTCTTAATACAGAGTATTTGGGCAACATTGTAGTTTGGTGTCAGTAAGAATATTTTAAGGAAGATAGTTTCCATTACTGTTGTTGTAAAAGTAAATTGATATCAATTGACCATTTTGTTTTCTGATGGAATTTTTTGCTGGGAAAAAGAAATAAATGGAAGAAAAATTGTTTGGCTTTTATTTAAATTTTGATTATTAATAACATAATCAAATTGTATTACACAAAATGAAGAAATACTTTGAAATTTCTTACCTATCAGCAGTGTATTAATGTTACAAGTATTTCTTATTCTGTCACTATTTTGAATTGTATGTATTTTTAAATTTAGCAATTCTGATGCACATACAGTGGTGCCTCACCATGGTTTTCATTTTTTCCCTGACTACTAATAAAGTTGAGCCTTATTATATGATTATTTACTATCTGCATATCTTTCGGGATATTGCATTTTAGTCCTAGTGACTGTAATTTTTATTGAGGTGGTCATTATATTTCTTATTGATATGTAATTGATTTTGTAGTTATTCTAAACCTTTAACAAGCTCTAAATGTCACGTGTGAGTTGCTACATGTACAGAAATTTCTTCTGGCCTGTGGTTTGCCTTAAACTTCCTTACTGGGTATTTAAATGAAGAAAATTTAATATTTGTATTACATTTCAACTTACTATCTTTTTAAATCAGTGCTTTTTTGTTTCCTACTTAGGAAATCTTCACCTATTTTAGTAATTGTTTTGTATTAACAAGGTATTTACTGAACTTTCCCTCATTCAGAGTATTTCTGGAGCTTTCCTTGTTCACACTATGCTTAGGAACAGTGCTAAAACAAGATGGCAGTTAAGAAATCTTGCTCTATGTCTTGTTTTCTCAAAGATAATAATTACCAGTGGCTGCTGTCTGTGCTTCTGCTCTTGTTTATAATGCAGAGTTCCTGCCTGTTGCATTAGTGGTCAAGATAATAAATGACGTAGGGATATTGAGGGGTACTTGAGAATGGAGGCAGTAATGTCAGATTTAAGAAGTTGACCACCAGTTGCTATTTGCTGGGCAGTTGGGCAAGTTCATAAACCTTTCCAAATCTCTGTGTTCATCATTGGATGATGAATGATCCAAAGATGTGAGATTCTCCAGAGGCAATTCATGTGCAGCCCTTATCATAGTATCTGACACCCGGGTGTACATGACAGCAAGAAATAGCTGCCATTGCTTTTATGTGTTACTGTTTATAAAGTTTTACTTCATTTTTAGGGTGAATCTCAAAAAAAAAAAAAGTCATGGAACTTTGCTTTTATTTTTAGGCATGGCATTTAAAAGGCCTTAATCTCCCCACCCCTTCATGCTTGTTACTTGAGAATCCTCATCATAATTAACAATATTTAAATCCATTCCTTTTGTAGAACCTGCCACATATGATCTTTCTGTTATTTTCCACACTTTTTAACCTTTTTCTCTTGGGATGTCTGCCGGAGTCCAGCTCCAGCCGAGTTCGGAGCTCGGGAAGGGTGCGTGGAGTCGGCGATAAAGAAAGACACAGACACAGACATTTGGTGCATTCTCACAACAGCTCAGAAAGAAACTGTCCTTTTTATTTACTCAAAACCCTTCTCAAGCTTCTGCACAAGCAACTATTCTATTTTTTTCTTTTCAAAATTAAGGGGGCATGTACAGACATTTGATCATTCCGTCTGCACTCCAAGGCTAAGCAGGTGCTCCTAAAGATAATTTTGCAAAATACTGTATTCATATTCTTCAAAGCAAGCTATTGTTTATTCTTCAACAGTAGCCATGGAGCAACAGCCAGGACTCCAAGGCCAAGGCACATGCGATTATCTGCTAATCAGTAGTACTTTCCCACCACATTTTTACTTCTACAATTTACCCATCATTTAATGGGAAAATAGGTTATAAGGGAAAAAACCTAAAATCTAAAATAGAAACTTCAAATGTTAAATCTCCCTACAACTATAGACCCCTACAACCCCATAAACAATAAGACAATAATCAAAAGCATTTTTCTTTAATAAAAGCATCCTTAATTCCTCTAGCTAAAAATTATAAAAGCAGCTAAAACAATTACATTTTCTATGTTCCAAAAAAATTGCAAAGACAGGCTAGCCTTTGAGATAACAATAACTATATTTATTGCCATAGCAGTTTCAGTTCTCACTCCCATCACTTGTATTAATATTTAGGATGTTTTCAAGCCCCTTCCCAGAAGGTGTGCTATATGTCTGGGCCCGATTTCAGGGCAATAGGTAGGTACACAATAAGGTGTCCAGAAATGGCATGGGTTTAATTGTGCTCCTGTGTGTAAATTGTCAAAGGCCCACTCACCAAGATATTATCAGTGACACTAACTCTCAAGCTCACGTTGGTGATAAAAGCCATCCTACAGGGGCAAACAATGCCTCAATAGATTACAGAATTCTTAGTGGGGTGCTTGAGTGTCCATGCAGCCAGGGGGTAAAACAGCGTCAGGGTGGTCAGAGAGAAATCCTGCCAAACAGCTGGAAGCTCCCCCGGGCCCTGCCAAACAGGGGAGCTGTTCTCTTCACACCTTTGTGCCATCCACACCTACCGCACGGACCCCAGCAGATGTCTTCTCTTTGGAAGGAGGTCCTTCCACTGTACTTGCATGATACCTCCCTCTATTTTTAAGATCTACTTACTTTTATTGCAAAATCAGATATATAGAGAGAGGAGGGGAGACAGAGAGAAATATCTTACATCCAATGATTCGCTCCCCAAGTGACCGCAAACGGCCAGTGCTGCAGAGATCCAAAGCTAGGAGCCAGGAGCTCTTCTGGATCTCCCAAATGGGTGGAGGGTCCCAAGGCTTTGTGCTGTCCTTGACTGCTTTCCCAGGCCACAAGCAGGGAGCTGGATGGGAAGCGGGGCTGCTGGGATTAGAACTGGTGCCTATATGTGATCTTGGTGCATTCAAGGCGAGGACTTTAGCTGCTAGGCCACCGTCCCGTGCCCAGTACCTCCCTCTTTTAAAAGTTTCTTGATGTAACCATAACAGTGACATACCTTAACCTTGTGTTTCCTGTTAGTTTTATATTGTTTCCTAACATTTTTCTGCTTCATATGGTCTGCTTATTTTGTTTGTTATTTCAAAGCTATTTGTCCCTTTAAAAAAATATTTATTTTTACTGGAAAGGCGGATTTATTTATTTATTTTAAAGATTTATTTATTTATTGGAAAGTCAGATATACAGAGAGGAAGAGAGACAGAGGAAGATCTTCCGTCCGATGATTCACTCCCTAAGTGAGCGCAATGGCCGATGCTGTGCCGATCCAAAGCCAGGATCCAGGAACTTCTTCTGGGTCTCCCATACGGGTGCAGGATCCCAAAGCTTTGGGCCATGCTTGAGTGCTTTCCCAGGCCACAAGCAGGGAGCTGGATGGGAAGTGGAGCTTCCGGGATTAGAACCGGCGCCCATATGGGATCCTGGCGTGTTCCAAGGTGAGGATTTTAGCTGCTAGCCCATGCCACTGGGCCCAAGGAAAGGCAGATTTAGAGCGAAGGAAATACGAACAGAAAAATCTTCCATCTGCTGGTTTACTCCCCAAATGGCCTCAATGGCCAGAGCTGAGCTCATCCAAAGCCAGGAACCAGGAGCTTCTTCCAGATCTCCCACATGGGTGCAGGGTCCCAAGGCTTTGTTTGGGCTGTCCTGTACTGCCTTTCTAGGCCACAGGCAGGGAGGTAGAAGGAAAGTAGAGCTGGTGGGACATGAACTGGTAACCATATGGGATCCCAGCATATCTAAGGTCAAGAATTAGCCACTGAGTCATCACACTGGGCCATATTTGTCACTTTTTAAAAAAGGGGTTAATTTTAAAGGAGGAGTGTGAATGAGAGAGAAGTAGAGATATTTTTGATTCAACCAGGGATAGGCAACAGTGAAATCAAGTCAGAAACTCCATCCAGGTCTCCCAAATAAGTGACAGGGACCCAAGTTCTTGGACTATTACCTGCCTTCTTCCTAAGCCTCCTTTCTGATGCAGGCTACTGGCATTAGCACATGATTGTTTAATCTTCTGGTACAACACCTGCCCTGGTATTTGTCTCTTGCACTAACCCATACATTTTCCTAGGGCAAGAACTATTACTGATCTGTGGATTTTTAATGCCTACCCCTTTAACTAATTCTGGAAAAAAAAATGTGAATGGAAGTGAATGTGTTTTCTTTGATTGTTCTTCAGATGAAGTTAAAGAGCCCCACGTGACCTCTGTACCCCTTCAAGGTGTGTCTACCTCACAGAGCACTTCAGCAGCTGGAATGGCAGAAATGAGACCAGCGGACATTGTCAGCATGCTGCTGAATTTTGAAGTTAAAGAGGTGTGTGCATATGTAGATTTCAGTTGTTTTTGCAAAATAAATAAATAATAGAGATTTAGAATGATATCTGTTAAACGTTGGTAATTGATATGGATAATAATGTCTTCTGTATGCTCTTTACATATAAAATTTGAGTTTGTTAAGAATGATGTATTTGAGAGAGATCGTATTTCATAGGGAAAATGGTAACAATTCCTGTAGTGTTGTTGGCAGTGGTGCAATCAGATATCACATAAGAAAGATAGAAGTGGAAAACAGTGACAGAGAACAGGTTTGCAAGTATTGGATGCTGTTAGTAGTCAGTGACAGGATGTCTATACCTTTTGGAGGAGCTAAATTGTTACTTTTCTGGTTTCCATCCATAGAATCCTGAGGAAAAACTAGGTGGGTTTTTACTCTGGTTTATTCACATGTTCAGCAAATAACCACTGTCTATGCCAAGTGCTAATGATACTTAGACTCTTTAATAAGAAATTAATTAATTGAGCTTTTGATAAGTGTTACTATTAAAAATTTGTTTAATGTCTGTGAAGGTTGTGATGTTGATGGTAGAGAAGGAGCGTTTACAACGAGACGGGAAGGATTTTCTGGAGGAATCAACATCGGAGTTTTGTTTGTGAAGGAAAGTAAGAAGTAGAAAAGGATAGAATCAGGCAGGGGCCTGGGATGACATTCCCTCCAGTCTCTTCTTTATTAAATTCTGTGTAGTGCTTTTAGTGTTAACTTTTCTGAACAAAAATAAACTTTTGAACAGAGTTGCTCCTTTTTAAAATTTGAAGTACCTGGGTTTTTTTGTTGTTTTTAAGCTTTGATAACCGAAACATTGATTGAGAAATCATTCTATTTGTAAATTTGCTTAATTATCATAAATACATAAAAAGCTTTGAAGTCATTTGTAATATTTTTTGTAGTGCTTATTGCAAAAGTTCCTTTCCTTAGGACGGTGGTTGACTTGGAGGCAAAAGCAAAATATGCACTCATATCAGGTGTAGATTTGGCTTAGTCTGAAACTGTCTTTCCAGTTGTTCCTACATGGGGAGCGGATGCTGCTAGCACCTCGTGTCTAGAGTCCTGGTCACTGCTGGACAGCCGACAGTTCACAGCACTACTCTTGTTGTGAATCTTTGCCAGTTCATTGTCAGTAGGGCCAACATTAAGAAACCCTTGCATTAGAGGTTAAAACTTAGCTGTTGGTCTCATGAGCTTTCTCGTGAAAGGCTACTCATCTAACTAGAATTTCTGGGGATTAAGATGAACTACCCCTTCTCTTATCATGCACCTGTCTCCCCTCTGTCTCCTCCTGCTTTTGTGCTTTGAAATTCATCAGAATATAGTGATGTTGCTTCAAAAGTCTGATTTACTAAATATGCCTTCTGAGATAGGAATAAGTGGTTTTCAGGCACAAATGAAAGCAAATATCTATATTTCATCAGTCTCTTGGTGTAATATCCCTGAACGCCTTTCAATTTACTCTCATTATGTATTAGTAAAGTATTTGTGATAATTTTGGTACATTCTTTTAGGTTGTCATTACTTTGATGAAAAAAGCAGAAACGAAAGGAAGGCCATTACATGAACTAAATGTTCTACAACTTGGAATGGAAGCTGTAGTAAAACCTTATGACATGGTTGCTAAAGCTTACCTAAAAAAAATTAATATGCGATGCTTCGATTTCACTGGTAAGTGGTAGTAACTATCATCTGTGTAAACTATTCAATAAGCCGGCAATGCTTACCTTTTAAAGAGCACCATAATCATTTCATTTCATAACACTGATACTTTATTTGATAGTTTAAAAATGCATCATCTTATAAACCAGCAATAATACATCATTTAAGCTAAGAATATAGAACACTGAATGAAACATTATATCTGCAGTGTCAGGATTTATAAAAGGCATCATTTCATTATAACTTTGCCATGAGTACTGGCTTCATGAGAAATCTGAATCCCAGATACAGATCCTAGGACTCTTGAAAATTTTTTTATTTGTTATTGTTTATTTTTAAACTATGTGAGTTTTAAATTCTTTTTTGATTACACTAATACATTCTTGGGAAGGGCAAAAATCACGTAAAGGTTACCTAAAAAGGTAGAAAAAAAACCAAAAAATTAAAATTTCAATGAAAAATATTAAATTACCTAGAATTCCCTTAAAGTAAATATTAGTTTGTTGTTTGATAGCTATATACTGGTTTTTCATTTTGCATTTTGTCTTACTTTTTCTAATTTGTTGATATGAAAGTTTTTTTTTTAATTTCTTATTTTTCATGATCAGTTCCTTAGGCTCGGGGATTTCCCCATCCCATTCCTTTCCTCTCTGCTGTTTCCCTCTATATTGTAACAATAGTTTAGTCCCTTAATAGTCACAAGTCCATCATTCTGCTATTTAAGTATCCTGATATTGTAGGTATAGAAAATGGTGTAAAATCCAGTATTCTGGTGTCAACATATATTTAATAATTTCATTGGAAGTCCATTTCTTTTTAGAGAGAGATTTATTTCTTTTTATTTCAAAGTCAGATATACAGAGGAGGAGAGACAGAGAGGAAGATCTTCTGTCTGCTGATTGACTCCCCAAGTGACCACAATGGCTGGAGCTGTGCTGATCTGATTATTCAGAAATAGAGATGCTTACTGCAGTGTATCTCTACTTCATGGTGTACTTGCCTTCACTATACAGTTCTTCAAGATAAATACATGTATGCACATGTTCACCTATGTATCTATTGATCTTGTATTTTGCAGGAAGGTTGCCTTATATCAGAGAGAACATATGATATTTGTCCTTTTGGGATTGACTTATTTCACTGCGCATTGTGGTCTCTAGTTGGGACCATGTTGTTGCAAATGGTAGAATTTTATTCTCTTCAATGCTGACTAGTATTTCTATTTTTTTAGAGATTTATTTATTTTATTGTAAAGTCAGATATGCAGAGAGGAGGAGAGACAGAGAGGAAGATCTTCCATTCTTTGATTCACTCTCCAAGTGGCCCCAACGGCCAGAGCTTAGTCATTCCAAAGCCGGGTGCCAGATGACTTTTTCAGGGTCTTCCACGCCAATGCAGGGTCCCAAGGCTTTGGGCTGTCCTCAGTTGCTTTCCCAGGCCACAAGCTGGGAGCTGGATGGCAAACGGGATTGCCTGGATTAGGACTGGTGCCCATATGGGATCATGGTACCTTCAAGGCAAGGAGCCCAATTGCTAAGCTACTGTGCTGGGCATGGGTCATTTTTATTTGTCTTTTAAAGCCAGATTTGTGGAGGCATCATGTATATTCAGTTTGACTCACCCTTCTTAGTATATAATTCTGTGAGTTTGAAAACATGCATATATTTCACTTGTTTAAGAGACTTGATAGATAAGTTTTATCTTGTTTCCTACTAGACTCTGATGGAAAACCTCTTCATATTATTAGCTCTTCTAATATAACTGATGAGCCCCTTTTGAAGATGTTAATGACAAAGGTAGGTAGTTTTATTTCTATCATTTTCTTATACTTTAATATGTGTAGCTATAGCTATTTGTCTATCCCGCTTGTATTTAATACATCGACTTCTTTTCCTCTAAGATTTTTCTTTCTGAATTAGTTGGTTGAAGTTTATTATGGAAGTGTCTAAAAACCTGGAAACTTCATTAACCCTGTGTTCATAAATGTGCCTTATGTTGTTTGAATAAATTAAAATTCACTGTAATCTAAAATTAAGTATGTTATCATTTAGATATACTATCATTTTCCCTTGTGTTTTAGATTATTAGCATGGCTAAACTAGATATATAAGGATTTCCCTCAGTAGAATAAGGGATTTGAAGCTTATGTTTATAAAACTTGGTAACTGCTTGTGTTGTCAGTTTTTGGGCATGTTCTTCACCATTAAGAAACTGATTTTAGTTGTTTTAAAAGTATGCTATTAAAGGGAAGCTTATGTGCTTTTAATTGTGTGAATATTTAATGTTTGTAACCTGGTAGTTTAATTCTCCACTTTTTGCAGGCAGACAGTGATGGACCTGAGTTTAAAACTACTCATGACAATACTAAACAGAAGCTGACAGTAAGTCTGTTATGTGAATGATTAAATACGTCTTCATAGGTGCTTTCACTTGTGAGACTGAGTTCTAGTATTAGAACATGGGCCACAGTACTAACTGATCTAATTTTGTAGACAGAATTGAAATAAAATTCATGCAAAAATGTGATTGATTCCTACAAGACTGTTTTTAGGATGCGAATTTGTTATTGCTTACTAAGTAAGCAAATAATACATTTTTACTTGGTGTTTTGTTCACTTTTGTGTGCTGTGGTTATTGGAACAGTGTTGTAGAAGCATTGACTGAATTGTCTTATGTATTGACTTTAGGATGAGGATAAGATTAAGCAGAAGAATAATGCATGAACTTGAACATACATTGCTCTCAGTCCATTTGAGCAAATGTAATTGGTCCTAGAATCATCTGAAATGTAGTTGAAAGGATTCACAGTACTTACATTTTAACTTAAAGCTCATGAAGTTTTGTCGAAGTTACAATTATAGTCGTATATTAAGGACTATCATTGTCGAGTGCAGATTTTTCACAAAATTAGAACATTGTTTTGCTACCTGTGTATGTGTAAGAGTAAGGTAGAAATGTTATAATATCTGTAATTTGCCTGTTTTCATTGTTTCAGGTTTCATTTTCATCCTTAGACTTAGTGCTTCATTTGGAAGCTTTACTTTCTTTAATGGATTTTTTATCGTCTGCTGCTCCATCTGCTGCGCCTTCCTCCTCTGAGCTGAAACCACTTGCAGAGGAGTCCAGAAGTGTCACACTCAAAACTGGTATTAATGCTTGAGTCATTGTCCCCAACTTTGTATCCAAGATTTAATCAGCATATAGGCACTTAAATTTTTTTAACTATGACACTAAAGTTGAACTGACAAATTAGGTTAGTTTCAAAAGAAAGCAGATTTTATCCCTCTGGTATCACACGAAATTTAGTGAATAATCAAAAAGAAGTGTCATATTTATATTTGATTTCACTGTCTAGATTTTATATAAGATAGAATTTGGTTAGATCTTATGTTGACTTTTCAATGTAGTCTTTAGTTCACTGAAAGTGAGAAAAGTTAAAGGATACAGTTATGTCTGTGTCATTTTATTTCATAGGTAAAATGTGAATATACTCAGGCACCCCTACTTTGTAGTCAACAATTTTAAATATTATAATAGACACTGAAGGGAGGATTTCAGGGACAAGATGATTAGAATTTGAATTCTAGCCAAAACTGTATTTTGACTACATGTACATATGGGTACGTGGTGTGACTTGTGATCTGAAATATTAGGTATGAAGTAACTTGTGTGAATAAAGAACATGTGCCTATTTTAAAAAATGTATTTCTTTGAAAGGCAGAGAAACAGAAATAGAAGAATCTCCATGAGCTAGTTTGCACCCTCAAATACCTGTGATAGTCAACATTAGGCCAGGCCAAAACCGGAAACCAGAAGCTTCATTCCAATCTCCCACATGCATTGCAGGAACCCAAGATCTTAGGACGTGGGCTTTTGCTGTTCAGGCCTGTTACTAGGAAGCTGTATCAGAAGTACAGAGTAGCTGAGACTTGAACCAGGAACTGCGATACGGGATGTAGCATCGCAAGTGTAGGTTCAATACACAGTGTCATGATGCCTGTCCCATATGCTTGTTTGTCAAATATCATCTTAATATTTTTCATGTTATGGGATGTGAAATTTGTAACACCTAATAATTTAATCTTCAGGCCTTGACTGGATCATATGGTGTTGAATACATTTTTAAAAAATTGGTGATTTTTTTGAAGAATTTGAGCTTTTTAAAAATTTTATGTAAAGGGAACAAATTTTATGTATTTCATATATGTAGTTTTAAGAGCACAGTGATGCTACAAATAATGTTATTCCAAAGAAACAGTCTTCCAGTTTGGTTCTACAGTCAGCCTTTATGGTTTGATTATGCTACATTACATATTAAGGGAGAAGTATGGAAGGTTAAGGCTGCCTCCACAGGTGTCAGCACCTCTATAGGTGTTGATTTGTGTCCTTGTTGCTCTGCCCTAATCTAACTCTTGGCTATGTTCTGGGAAAAGCAGTGAAGGATGGTCCAAGTATTTGGGACTCTGCCACCCATGTGGGAGACCCAGATGGAACTTCTAAATAGAGGATTTCCTTTTTTCTCAAGAGAAAATTATTGTAAAGTTTCTATCCTATTAATTTTAATTTTAACGTGTTGCTTATACTTGTGTTTATTCTTAATTTGAAGGGGTACATGGTAGATTCTGTCTGATTCACATTTTAAAATTAAGTCAAAATCTGTATTACCTTTATATTACCTTAATGTAGGCCTTTTTTTGTTTTTCATTATGTGTCATATAGTTTTATTGGTTTAAATGATTATTTTATGAATCCTATTATCTATACATTGTTAATCACAGCATTTTTTTAAAATTTTTAAGTACCCAGCACCATTTCCCAGGAGGATGTATTTGATTTGAAGGTCAAAGCTGAACTGAATGCTTTTAACATCTTTGTTTGTGATCAGAAAGGTAACATTGCAGACATTCGAGTACATGGTAAGTACTTATTCCTTAGTGTATATATTTTTGTTCCTTTACAATTAACCAGGAGTTGTTTATTTCATTTATATTGAGGACATATGCAAACTTGTCAAATATGATATTTGACATGTTAGAGGACATTTTTTTTTTAAGAGTTAATTTTTATTGGAAAGTCAGATATACAAAGAGAAGGAGAGACAGAGAGGAAGATCTTCTGTCTGCTGATGCACTGCCCAAATGACCGCAATGGCCACAGCTGAGCCAATCTGAAACCAGGTGCCAGGAGACTCTTCCGGGTCTCCCACGTGGGTACATGGTCCCAAGGCTTTGGGCTGTCCTCAACTGCTTTCCCAGGCCACGAGCAGTGAGCTGGATGGGAAGCAGGGCAGCCAGGATATGAACCCCAGCACATGCAAGGCCAGGACTTTAGTCACTAGGCTACGGTGCCAGGCCCTAGAGGAAAACTTTTATAATCCATTGTTGACCTGTTTAAAAAATGTGAGAGGAAATGTGTTTAAAAAGTTTCAGAGTAAACCTGAGGCCTAATTTCTTACTGTTCAGGTTGTAACTTCATAATAAAAGGACTGGCAGTTGAGTGTCATAGTAGCGTTTCACAGTGTGAAAAATATCATCCTCATTTTGCCTATCTATGTTTTATTTGAGTATAGCAACAGGAAAAGAAGCTTCTAAGGGATACTTTGAAAACCTTTCCAGTCATCAGCTTGATTATTCAGATTCTACCATGGGTTTGGGAGTCAGCATGATGAGTTTCAAGTCCTGACTCTAGCATTCACTGACCTAAGCAAACTAATTAGCCCTTCTACATCTTAATTCTCTTTTCCGTTAAAGTGGGGATAATAACAGTTTTTCCTGGAGTTTGTTGAGAGGGTCAAGAAAAGTGTGTCAATTTACATGTATTTAGAAAATAGTACCATAGGGAGCAATCAGGGTTAAAAAGTAACCTCCATTCAAGAAGTAACACTCTTTAGCACCAGGCATCATTTGGGATCATTACCAAATCTTACCTGCAGGCATTCTCTGTTTACTTCAAAATTATGAGCCTGAAAAGATTTTTGGAGCGAAGTCTTAGGAGACAGTATTGCAATTAAATTTATTAGAGAAATAAGAGTTCTAATTCATCAAATGATTTTTATTTATTTCTAGTTTTCTGAGCAACAGTCTCAATAATGTAACAAAAGATTGTGAGGTGGCTGTTTAACAAATCTCATGTCTTTTTAAATGTACAGTTCTGATATTGCCATTATATAGAATATTTGACTTTTTGAAGTGTGGTTTTCTTTTAAATTTAGCAGTGTATTGATTTAAAATTTTTAGTTTTGTATTTGAAATGCCTGTAACACCTAACAGATGTTACAGATTCTTAGGTATCTCATGCTTAGAAGGTGATGCTATTAATATGTCTGATACTGACATTCTGTATCTTAATGGCATCTGTTTTTGTTCTTAAATGCTAAAGAGTTTGTTCAGTTTGATTCAGTGAAAATTTGTAAATATTGTGTTTTCCACAGGAATGGATGCGTCTGTTTCAGTGAAGCCAAAGCAAACTGATGTGTTTGCCAGACTTCGGAATATCGTAGTTACAAATGCTGATTTGCTGTCCATTCATAAAAAGGTGATTAAGATGGATTCATATACTAAAATTTCTTTCTTTGAATTTGAGATACTATGATCCACTTGTTTAGCATACATATATTAGTTGTCACGTATCAGGCATTTTGTTAGGAGTTGGGATGTATGTAGTGGCAATTTGCTTTCACATTGTACACAGGCTAAGCCTAATAAAATGCAGTAAAATTATTTCTGAATAGTTACATGATTGGTATTTCCACCCATGTCTGGATGAATTTTAAAGAGAAAAAAGTTACTGTTAAGTAAAAAGAAATATTTAAGGACTTATTTACTAATTTGAAAGTTGGTGTTACAGAAGAAGGAATGACAGAGGGAGATACCTACCATGTGCTGTTTCACTCCCCAAATGTCCTCAGTGGCTAGGGTTGGGCCAGATGAGGACCAGGAGCCAGGAGCTTCTTCCAGGTCTCTCACCTGCTGGCATGGACCCATGTGGTTGGGCCATCTTCTGTGACTTTTCTCAGGCCAAGAGAAGGGATCTAGATCAGACGTGGAGCAGCTGGGACAAGAAGGAGCATCCATATTGGGTGCTGGCATTTCAGATGTTGGCATTACTTGTTATGTCACAATGCTGGTTCCCAAGTAAAATATTTTTTAGTGATTATTTTCCAGGTTTAATTTGTATTGTTGCTCCTTTAATTGTCAGTGATTCTGTAGTAATAGGATTTATTTATGGTATAGTGATAAGGGCTCTGCAACTTTTCTGATATAGTAACTATTAATTTGATCCTTTAGGCTATCTCTATTTTGGAAGATGAAGTCTTTAGGTTCCAAATGACTCTCTATCCAGGTGCCACAGAGGGACAGGGATATGCTGATGTGTCTAAGGTGGATGGCAAACTCAGTCTCAAAGTGGGTTGTATTCAGATTGTGTATGTTCATAAATTCTTCATGTCTCTTTTGGTAAGTCTTTAAAAAATATTTATTTTTATTAAGGCCTAATAATTTGCTAATGTGATTGAACTATGATAAAATCTTGACCAATAGGGGTGGTGTAATAAACACCAAATTCTACATACAAATTATACTTGTATATAAAATTATAAAATTATATATAATATATAAAATATAAAATATAATATAATATAAAAATATAAAATCTATAATATATAAAATATATAAAATTATACTTGAGGAATTCCTTTCAGTGATGAATAATAAAATTAATGTTTTAAATAATTATTTTGAGTATAACAACTGTTTTCTAAGAATTTCATGGTTTTATTTTTTAAAACATCCTTTCTGATCCAATTAAGTATTTTTTGGTGTTGGTTGATGAAATGTCTTTATAGATATTTAGTTGGAAGTACATTTTAGGGAAGTTTATTAGGTGTTTGAGTAACTAATAATGGAGTTTACAGCTCTTGGTGTTGCATGTTTTGGCCAACAAAACCAGGAGATTCTTTGATAAAACTGTGTATCATGGGCAGAGTGGTTTAATTCTGCCTTTGCCTCTTAGTGTGGCTGCTAGTCAAAGTTTACAAGTCTTGAATTTCTGTCACAGCTATTGTGTTGACTTTTCTAGAAGGTAATTTGGGGAGTAGGAGAGAGGTTAAATTGCTTTTGTATATTAATGGCTGAATATAAGAATATTACTTCTAAGAATGATCTTGAATCAGGAAAGTTTAGTTGAAATTGTAATGAACTCTTGAATCATTGTATCCAGTTCCGTGAAGAATGTTTTGGGCAATTTGATTGGAATTGCGTTGAAAATGTATATTGCTTGTGGTAGTATAGACATTTTAATGATATTGATTTTGCCTATCAGGAGCCGGGTTGTTATTCCATCTTTTGAGGTTTTGTTCAATTTCCTTTTAAATGTTTGTGGTTTTTTCGAATAGGTCACCTACGCTTTTGGTTAAATTTATCCAAATATTATATTCTTCTGCTAATTTTGAATGGTATCCTGTTGTTTAGATCTTCTTCCATCTTGGTGTTATTTGCGTACACTATGGCTGTTGATTTTCGTTCATCGTTAATTTTGTACCCTGCCACTCTGCCAAATCTTCTCGTATAAGTTCTAGCAGTTTCTGTATTGTGTCTCCTGGTTTTTTCATGTACAGGATTATGTCATCTGCATATAGTGAATGGCTTGATTTCTTCGTGTTTCCTTACGTATGCTTTGATTTCTTTTTCTTGTCTTATGGCCTCTGCAAGTACCTCTAGGACTATGTTGAATACAGTGGTGATAGCGGGTCACCTTTGTCTTGTTCAGATCGCAGTGGCGAAGGGTCTAGCTTTTCTCCATTCGTATGTACTGGCATTGGATTTTTCTAAATTGCTTTGATTATGTGTGGTTTTTCCCATCTATGCCTACTTTGGCTAGGTAGTTTTTAGCATGAAGAGGTGTTGGAATTTTTTCGGAAAGCTTGTTCTGCATCTATTGAAACTATTATGTGTTTTGTTTTGCAGTTTTTGGATGTGGTGTTTATAACATTTTATGGATTTCCGAATGTTGAACCATCCCTGCATTCCAGGGATGAATCCTACTTGTCGGATGAATGATCTGTCTGATGATTTTTTGGAATTCTATTGGCTAGGATTTTGTGAGAATTTTAGCATCAATGTTCATCAGAGAAAAGGTCTGTAGTTTTCCTTCTCTGATGGTTCTCTGGCCTGTTTTGGGATTAAGGTGATGTTAGCTTCATAGAATGAGTTGGGAGGGTTGCTTCCTTCCTCTATTTGTTTTGAAGGCTAGTAGAGGATTGGGGTTAGTTCTGTTCGATTTGTTTTGTAGAATTCTGTAGTGAAGCGTCTGGGCCTGGGCTTTTTTCGTTGGAGATCTTTGATGACTGTTTCAATCTCTGCTCGAGTTATTGGGTTTATTTAATTCTGCGTTGCCTCGACTGAGTTTTGGTAAGTGGTGGGGAGTCCAAGAACTTTTCTATTTCTTGGTGGTCCTCAAAGTTGTGGGAGTACAGTTCTTTGTAGTAATTTATATTTTTTTCTTAATTGATGCAGTGTTGTTGTTATGTTGCTTTTTCATTTTAATGCTATTGTTCATATGGAAACACAAAAAACCACGAATAGCTAGAACCATCCTGAAAAATAAGAAGTTAGCAGGGGGGAATCAAATCCCGGACCTCTGGACATACTATTGAGCAGTGGTTATCAAAACAGCTGGTACTGGCACAACGACAGAAAGGAAGAGCAATGGAATAGAAAATAGAAGCACCAAAACGGGAACCCACACAAATACAGCCATTAATCTTTGACAAAAAGACCAATGACAACTCAAGCAAGTGGGAAGGCCTCTTTAGTAAATGTTGTTGGGACAACTGGCTGATAGCCTGTAGAAACAAAAAGATAGACCCACATCTATCACCATACACTAAGATCCAATCTACATGGATAAAAGACCTAAACCTACATCCAGAAACCTTCAAACTCTTGCAGGAAAATGTAGGAAATACCCTGCAAGACCTAGGAGTAGGTTCCGACTTTCTAAGAAGGACACCAAAAGCAATAGCAGTTGAGAACAGAATAAACAAATGGGACCTCATCAAACTAAGAAGCTTCTGTACAGCAAGGGAAACAATCAACAAAGTAAAAAAGCAACCCACAGACTGGGAGAAGATCTTTGCACACGATATAGGCGATAGGGGGCTAATTTCCAGGATATACAAAGAACTTCAAAACAACCAAAAAACCAAAACAAACAAACCACTCAAGAAATGGGCACGGGAAATGGGCAAACATTTCACAAAGGAACAAGTCCAAATGGCAAACAAACATATGAAAAAATGTTCCAGCTCCCTAGCAATAAGGGAAATCCAAATTAAAACATCGATGAGGTACCACCTAACACCAGTAAGATTGGCCCACATAAACAAGAACACCAACGACGCTTGCTGGCGAGGATGCGGGGAAAAGGGAACCCTACTCCACTGCTGGTGGAGCTGCAAATTGGTACAGCCTTTATGGAAATCAGTCTGGAGAACACTCAAACAACTCAAAATCTGCATACCATATGACCCAGCAATAGCACTCCTAGGAATATATCCAAAACACCTGTTTTACGACAAACCAACATGCATCCCTATGTTCATTGCAGCACAATCAGTAATTGCAAAAACATGGAAGCAACCGAAATGCCCATCAGCAGAAGATTGGATAAGAAAGCTTTGGTTCATCTACTCCATGGAATACTACTCAGCTATTAAAAAAAACAAAATGCAGTTCTTTGTGGCTAAATGGGCACAACTGGAAACTATAATGCTAAGGGAAATGAGTGAATCCCAAAAGATTAGATACCACATGTTTGCCTTGATTTAACCTGTAATTTTTTGTTTGGTTGTTGGTTATTTTCTGAACCTGTCATTGATACTGTCTCAACCCAGATGTTTCGAAGAATGGAACTTGCATTATTTTTAACATATTGTCTACCCATTACTATGTCAATTAATTCCATAATGTTGTATATTGACACTGAGGCCTTGTTGGGGCTTTTAACTGACCGGATCTCTACCCTGTTAGACCTATCTTCAGACCATAGAAGGTCTCCCCAAGAGGCCACTGAACTTATCTGGACAATAAGACGCTGAACTTTATGCTAGGCATGTGTTTGCAAGCAATGAATCTCAACTGAACTTGAACTATGGTTATGCAACAAGGTGGAGGAATCCACCATGGGGGGAGGGTTATGGGAGGGGTGGGGGGAATCCCCAGCGCCTATAAAACTGTACTACATAATACAATGTAAGCAACAATAAAAAAAAAAAAAAAAAAAAAGAAATTGTAATGAAATGTTTCTTACTAGATTGAGAACTTTTGATTGTAACTGGAAACATAAAAACCAAATATGTTTGCTAATGCTTGAGAACTTCTTTAAAAAGCATCATAAATTAACTACTAGAACCTTAGTTTAAGAGTGAGCTTTGTTCCTATAAATGAACCTTAATCATTTACTCTGAGGACAAGCACCAAACCTGCTTGGGAAAAGTAAAATGTGTTCTCTCAATTTTTTTAAAACCCTTTTTAATTTGAAAGGAAGAAAGAAGAGATTTTCCATCTGCTGGTTCACTCCCCATATATACTAAGTGGACTGGTTCTCCCATCTGGGTGGCAGAGACTATGTACTTGACCCCTTTTCTTCTGATTTCCTTTGTGCATTTGCAGGGACCTGAATCATATGCTAAGCAAGCAGAATTGAACAATTGCTAGTTGTCTGAATGATGATGCCGATGCTACAAGGAGGCATCTTAACCCCATGTGCCACAGTGCCACCCCCTAGCCATTTCATTTCACTTTGTACTTTCAGTGGCCAATGTTCATTAATAAACATGGGATATGTACACGTTGAGACTCTGGGTTGATGTGAGGTGGCGGTTCCTCGTCCCTGGATACTAGGATGTGTAGAAAATTGTGATTAGTTTCTCCCTTTGTCTCTTCCCTTCCCTCAGGAACAACAAGAAGAAAGAGCAAATGTGGAAGCAATGAATTCACCCAATTTTCCCCCAATCTCAATCCTTCCCACCCTGATCAACCATATAATTATTAGTTTAAAAAAAGTCCCCAATTTTATTTTTAAAAATAAATAAAAAATAAACATGAGATTTAGAAAAGAATTGCTAGAAAAATTTTTTATAAGTATCAAATAATTCTGAAATAAAGAATATTAAAGTTAACTCTTCCAGAGGTAGCTGCAGGGAGTATCTTGGAATGTTTGTATGTAGGCTCTACTCTGTGTGTGTGTATATATACATACACACATACAATTAAAAATAACAATTCTTTTATATTACCACTTTTATGTAGCTTTTCTTTTTAAAGTAAATACTTTAAGGAAATTTTTTTCTTTTAAAAATTTGTGCCTTTTTGAGGACGTTTTAAAAATAACAGTGTCTTCCAACAGAATTTCCTCAACAATTTCCAAACTGCCAAAGAAGCTTTGAGTACAGCCACAGCCCAGGCTGCAGAAAGAGCTGCTTCCAGCATGAAAGACTTGGCTCAGAAGAGTTTCCGCCTTTTAATGGACATCAACTTGAAAGCACCAGTTATTATTATTCCTCAGTCTTCAGTGTCGCCTAATGCTGTTATCGCAGATCTGGGTTTAATCAAAGTTGAAAACAGCTTTAGCTTGATTCCTGTGGAACATTATTCTCTTCCCCCAGTTATTGATAAGATGAACATCCAGCTCTCTCAGTTGAAGCTTTCCAGGTATAAATATACAGTCTAATAATCATGTGTTGTAGGATTCCTGCCTGTGTTGAATTACTGCAGTGATTTGTGATTTCCATTCTTTACCCTTTTTATGTAAGTTTTGACTATTGGTTTTTGGTCAGTAATTAGTAACAGCATACCTCATTTTGTCTTGTTAAATTTATAGTGTGATTTTTGCTATTCTTTAAAATAACCTGTTGTTATAAAATTATAGTTTATTCAGTAATGCATTTTTTTGAAAGATTTATTTTCATTGAACAATCAGATATACAGAGAGCAGGAGAGACATAGTAGAGGATCCCCCATCCGTTGATTTACTTCCCAAGCAGCCACAACAGCTGCAGCTGAGCCAAACCAAAGCCAGGAGCCAGGAGCCTCTTCCGGGTCTCACACATGGGTGCAGGATCCCAAGGCTTTGTGCCGTCCTTGACTGCTTTGTGTTACACAAATAAATGCTACATTCTCTTAAAATTGGAAGATATGGCAACTCATTATATACTTGATCCCGTATATATTATTGACCCTTTTCCAAATACAAGGAGAAAGCTTAGTAAATCTAAATTAATCATCTGATACAGTTGTTTTTAGCTTATATGCCAACATACAAAATCAAATAAGTACTACTTCAATCCTTTCTCATTTGGGTTAAATGGTCCCTTAGACAATTCAATGAAAGTCCCCAGTGAGACACGGCCTGTAAATGAAAATTGATGTTAAATCTTGGATATTTAAAACGTTTTCCCATATTTACAAAAAAAAAAAAAGGAAACAGTTATGGTTAAAGAGAAAAATTAAAAATGTATTACTGGGCTCCGTGTGGTAGCCTTGTGGCCAAAGTCCTTGCCTAGCAAGCACTGGGATCCCATTTGAGCACTGGTTCTAATCCTGGCAGCCCCACTTTGTATCCAGCTCCCTGCTTGTGCCCTAGGAAAATCAGTCAAGTATACTATACTGTTTTTGTGTAAATAAATAATGTAATAGTAATACTTTCTCAAAATTGTGCCTTTGATTCAATGTTGTACAGACTTTATTACACTATATATGAACCTGCTTAAACTGATTCAGGCTGATTTGGGAAAAACAAGTAAGTTCTGAAAAATTGTGATGCCAGTAGATGCTTAGGAAATAGCTATGTGGAAATTGTTACACAACATGAAAATACACCTCATTTACAGTACAGATTAAAATATAGATATTATAGGTTACATATGTATGTGAAGGCACTTCAACAAGTTAATGAAATATAGAATTGAAAAATGAGTTTATTTTGATGCAAAGTTATTTTGAAATCTATACATATGAGTGGTCATCAGAAGGTTTACAGAAATGTATATTATGAAAATCTGGATGTAAAAAAAAATTTTTGCACCAAAATGAACATTATTCACATCTGTGTTCCATGCCTCTTCCTCTGTGTGTGTGTGTGTGTGTGTGTGTGTGTGTGTGTGTGTGTGTTTTAGGACTATTTTGCAAAATGACTTGTCACAACATGACGTTGAAATTTTAAAACCTGCAAACATGTTTTTGTCTGTACAACGAAATTTATCTGCAACATGGTTTATGCAAATTCCAGGTATGGAGGTAAAAGGAAGGCTAAAACCAATGCAGGTAAGTTTATAGCATTAAATATTTGAAAATTGCTATATAGATTTTTTATTTTGGTCACAGTATATTGTCAGAAATAATACTACATTAAAAAGGAATACCTAGTTAACTGCAAATGCTTATTTTGCATGCTTTTTATAACCTCATTGTAATAAGATATTAGAAACAACAAGAACACTGAGATTAACGTATTGTAGTCTACCAAAATGGTCTTCACTTTGGAAGATTCTGTTCAAGTCTTTACACAGTTAAACTGAAAGAGAATACTGAGTAATGTTCGAATACACACTGAAAGAACCTTGATCTTGCATCTGCTGGTTCACTTCCCAGATAGTTGTAATGGTCAGGTGCTTCTTCCAGGTCTCCCACGTGCGTTGCAGGAACTAGAGCACTTGGACCATCTTTGGCTGCTTTCTTGGGCCATCAGCATAGTGCTGGATTGGAAGTAGAGTAGCCAGGACTCACATGGTGCTCATATGGAATGCTGCCCTCGCAGAGAGTGGCTTCCCTGACTATGCCACAGTGCTGGCCTGGCAATCTTTTAATTAGAGAAATGAGCATCATTTTGAACGGGCACTTGTTTATGTTTGGCAGCAGTGACAGTGTGTTTAGCAGGTAATGTATGAGCTCACAAGAGGAAGTGAGACTGGTGAAGTCAGTTTTTGGAATTGAAGTGATTCTGTGGTTCTGTGTTGCTGTAGTGAAACTGTTAGAGTCAAACAGCAGAGGTTGGAATCAGGGAGGGACAGATGAAGCAAACAGTGTGTGTAAAGCAAATAAAAATGTAATAGCTGATAAGGTGTTTATTTCTCTGATTATTCTAAGATAAACCAGGAAGAAGCAAAGAAGAGTTCTACTAGGGAAGAAATTACATTGAAGCTACTTGTGAAAATGAATGCTGTATCTGTATTTGCAATAGTAGATTTATTATTTTGGAAACAGTTACTGAATTGTATCTGTTGGGAGTTTTCATGGAGAAGTCCCTACTCTAGTACTGCATGCTGTTTCTTAATTTCTCCCTTATCACTAAGAGATTCAATCCTAAGACTAATTTGATGCTCTTCTGAAGACTGTGTGGTTATGGGTTTGTTGAAAGCAAAAGTAAAATCTGAATGTCTATCAGTAGGAGAATGTGCTTGAAATGGATATATTCACACATGAGCATTGTAAAGCATATAAAGCGAATAAACTAAAACTATTTGAAACAGAATAGGTGTATCTCAAACATAAAAATGAAAAAAATGAGATGGATTAATAGATATTTCTGAGATGTTACACTTATACCTGTTATCTGAGTGCTATGGTTTGAAATGAACAAGAAATGCCTGATTATTATTTTAAACTAAATAAATCTCCTTATTTTCATTTAGATTTATAATCAGACATGGTCATGGGAATCTAGCTGGCATCACACAAGCTCATGCAATAGAAGGATAGGAAGAGCCAAAGAAAATACTAGGTTTACAGAGTGAAACAGCCCAGGAGCAGTTTTGTTTGTTTTAGTTGGTTTGCATTGTTCTATAGCCACCTGTATGGATGATATTAGTCCTGTCTGAAAGACTCAAACTTAAGTTATGGAGGCTGAGAAACTTGGACAGCAGTGCAGCTTGAAAGTGGTGGAACTTCTGTTTTTCTTTTTTCATTTTCTGCTTTCTTTTTGCTTCATGTCCACTTGTATAAAGAAGAGAGATGAACAGGAAATAATTGTTTAGTAACATGTGTTTTATTCCAAGAGATACTATTTTTGATACAATCAACACATATTTTATGCATGTTAATACTTGGGAGTAAGAGCTGCACACCCACATGTATGTTACTTTCTGATAGCCACTGGAGACTGCAGAGCACTGTTCCTGAGTGGCATAGAGGAAGGTACTAGTACTGGGTGAAAAGGAAGTGGGGAGAGAAGGAGAGGGAAAAGAGATTTGCAGCTGTGAGAACAGGGTGGCTGGTAACAGATGAGGCAGAAGGGACCTGAAGTGCTGGAGGCAATAGTGTGTTATACACAGGAGGCATGCCTCTAAGAAAAGGTGAAGGAACTTTCTCCTGATATTTGTGGTCTCAACATTCTCTGTTTTAAAAATAAATTAGCAAATAGTTAATTTAGAGAAACAAATTGAGAGATAGATCTGTTGTTTTGCATTTTTATGGCTTTATGTTGTTAGCAACACATTTTTGATATTTCCTAGGTTTCACTCAGTGAAGATGACTTAACAATTTTAATGAAAATTTTGCTGGAAAATCTTGGAGAAGCTTCTCCAGAGCCCAGTCCTACTCATTCTTCCCAGGAGGCTGTACGAGTGAAGAAAGAAGTTCTGAGTGGATCCGACCACCTCAAGGGTATAAAGTGGTGAAGATTTTTCTTAATATTATCTTATTTGAAAAACAGAGATAATAAGGCACAAAGAGGTCTTATCTGCTGCCTTTCCCAAATAGCTTCAACAACTGGGACTGGGTTAGGCCAAAGCCAGGAGCCAAGAGGTTTTTCAGCATCCTCCCATAGGGATGCAGTGTCCATGTACTTGGCGGGCCTCTGCTGCTTTCCTAGGCACATTAGCAGAAAGCTGGATCAGAAGTGAAGCTTCTGAGACTTGAACTGGCTGCAGGCGGTGACTTAAACTGCCACACCACAAAGCCAACTGCCTAATGTCATTGTTGTAAAAACATTTATTTATTTATTTAGAAGTCAGAGAGAGGGAGAGTTGGAAAGAGACAGAGAGAGAGAGAGACATCCTTCATTGGCTGGTTTATCCTGCAGATGGCCACAATAAGGCAGAACCAGGCTGAAGCCAGGAGCTAGAAATTTTATCTGGGTCTCCAGCATGGGTAGGAGAGGCCCAAATACTTCTGCTATATTCCAGTGCTTTCCCAGGCTATTAGTAGGAAGCTGGATTAACGGTGGAACCAATTGGTCATGAGTCTGCTATGGCAGAATGCTGGCCTCAGTGTGATAATTTTAGTTAATGCTTTTAGCTGCCCAGCATAAGTTGTATGAGCTGAGCTATTATTCTGCTGTGTACTGTGGAAAGTTTGCTAGGCTTAATGGGCTGCCTATTGACTGCCCGGGGAAGGTCTGCCCAGTGTCTGTCACAGGCCAAGGGTCAGGTAGTGCAGCCTACATGATGCTTTTTCGCCCTTCTGTTCCCTAAGTTGCATTTTCTGAGTTCACATGCTCAGGGTGATATGTCTTGAAAGAAAATGCAAACTTGCTATACAATGTAGTAACGTCATAATGTAACTGAGAGAAAAGGACCTTACTATCATCATACATAGTTGGCTGAGCCAAGAGAAAGGAAAATACTCTTTGTAGAAACCACTGCACTCATGTGGCTTTATTGAAACATCATGTAATCAGACACATGGGAGGATTTTTCAAGTTACTAAAATGGAAGCTTTTAGAAGGAATGAAACTGTTAAATTAGACCATTTCTAAAACAAAATTTTTCTTTTTAAAGTATGAGATATAAGATTGAAATCTTATCACTTAATGATTGTCACTCATATGAGTATCATATGATCTTTTTGATCTGAAAATAGGTTAATATTTTCATTGACTAATGAGAGATAAATATCCAGTGCTCTTAAAATAAATGTTTCACACTTATAATGCTCTGAAACCATCAACTAGTAAAACTGCCTGTTAGTAAAGAATAGGGTACAGTAGGACTTCCACTGTTACTCTCTGTGTTTTGAAATCACACAGATGACTAAATCAGTGTGAAAGGTAGTTTCTGCCTGATGTAGACAGGAATGTGAGCTTGAAGAAGCCAGCACCTTGTCTTCAGGTGGAGTTGGTGCCAACTTGTAGACAGGTGCTAGGTCAGTGGCCCATGTCAGCTTGTGGACAGATGCTAGGTTAGTGGCCTATTGTTAGTAGGTGTGGATAGATGCTAGGTCGGTGGCCCGAGTCAGCTTGTGGACAGATGCTAGGTAGGTGGCCCATGTCAGCTTGTGGACAGATGCTAGGTCAGTGGTCCATTGTTAGTAGATGTGGATATACAGATATGGATGCACTACAGTAGATGTGCTTGGTCTGATTAGAAGTCTCATGTTGAGTCATGATTATATTTTGTCTGTATATGTGTCAGGTATTCCATATGGAGTTAATTTGATACTTGGGAAAATTTGTAACTTTAGATGGAAGCTGAAAAGATGATACCTATGGGGCTATAAATTATTTTTAGGCAGATCAATGGAAAATACCTATGCTTTTTGAACTTGGAAAAGCCTTATATAGTTAAAGTTATACAGTGTTGGCTTTTCCTAGTAACTTGTAAGACTATGCTTTCCTATGGAATGACCAAAGTATGGAATCAGTCTCAAAAGGTTAGAAAGCAAGGCCTTTTCTACCTACCCTCTCTTCAGATGAGAGAAAAGACTAAATCACTTCTTGAAATTTCTTTAACCTCAAAATTTCAGCCTCCCCTTACCATGTGTGAGCTTTGCTTAATTTGCCTATGAATATTTATTCATCCTTTTTCTTTTTAAAAATTTTTATTATAGTGAATGTTTACATAATTGATCAGGGTGGAAAGGATTAAGGGTCATGGAAAAGTGGGAATGATCACTGTTTCCAAGTTTCTCATTTCTTTTTCCTGTATCTGAAGGAAGGGGAGCAGACAAGGGGAGAAGCCACACCCAGCCTCCCAACCACCCCAGTACCCGGGGATAGGGAATGGCCACCTAATATCAAGTCAGAGTCCTGATGTGACATAGTCTACTTTAAAGTCTCCACTCACCCAGATTGTGTCTTCATCGGGCTAGTGTAGTTGTCCAATCAGTTCTGTTCTCATTCCTCTGCTAGGGGAACATATCTTTTGAAGGCCCCAATGGGCTGCTATATCATCTGTGTGGATCTGGGCCAGCCATCCAGTACTCCTCCGTCTTTTCCTGTGACTGAGGAGAACCAGGTGACCTGGGCCCCACCAGACACCCCATCCCTGGGGCTCATGGACCCAGCGTCCACCATGCAGGTGGGACCAAAGACCTGGGCCAGGTGAACCAGAATCTGCTTGACCCCCCCCTACCCCTGAAACTCACAGACCACCCAACACCTACCACACAGGTAGGCCCAAGGACCCAGGTCTGGTGATCCAGACCTCTGACCCCTAACCCTGGGAGTTATAGACTTGTGCCCACTGTACAGGCAGGCTCAAGGGCCCAGGCCAGGAACTTAGGTCCCACCAGATGCCCATCCCCTGGCACTGCATGTGGGCCCAAGGACCCGAGTCAGGCAATCTGGACCCCACTACCCACCCCCTACCCTGGGGCTCACGGACCTGGCACCCACTGCACAGGTAGGCCCAAGGCCCCGAGCCAGGCAACCTGGGCCTATCCAGACCCCCGTCCCTGATGCTCACTGTGGCTGCACCACCCCAAAAATGGCATGGCTTGCCTTACCTCAGCATCAACCAGTGGGTGCTTCAGCCTGGCTTGGTACAGCCTGCTGCAGTTCCAGCTTTTGCTGGTTGGTGCTATAGCCTATCCCATTCCAGCCTGGCATCTGTCCCAGCCTTGGTGTGAACTAGCTGGATGCAGCCTCTCTTGTACCCAGTCCTGGTCTTCAGATCTGCCAGTGGATGTTATGAATGGCCCAACCTGTCCTGCCATCCTGACCTGACCAACCTGTATGTTGGCAGGTAATGTAGCCTCGTCTGGTTTGGGCTACTCCTTGCTTTGGCTCTTGTGCTCACTTGCAGGAACTGAATCCTTACAAAGGAATTACCCCTCCTCTGTCAGATCACCACTTGTGAAACATCTTGCGCACACCAGTGGGTCATTGGCCAAGGTTGACTTTGTCCATCTCTTATTCTAGCAGGAATAGTTTCCTTGCTCAACTGGCCCGTACCTAATCCAGTGGGTGCTTAATGTTGGGAGTTGCAGCCCAGCCACACCTGGACTACACCCAGAAACATCCATCATTGTAGTTCAATGGGAGACAAGGCTTGGCCCAGCATGTTCTATACCCGCCCTGGCTTTCATGAGTACCAGTGGGTGCTGGAGTGTAGCCCAGTCTGTTGCTTCCCAGACCCAGTCCCCATGCATGCTGGAAGAGACTACAGCCTTGTCCATTCCAGGCAGCTACCCCCATTCTGACTCACACGCTCACCAGCAGGAGTCCCAACCCAACCAGGGTGTCCCATTATCTCCCTAATCAGGCTTTATCCCAGCCACAGATCTTGTGTGTGCCAACAGAGATTGCTATGCCACATGGGTGAGCCCACATACTCCCCCAAAGATTCTGTTCCAAGATGTAATTCACTCACATGCTGGTTAGTGTCATGGACAAGCCTCACATTTCCCATTCCCTGTTTTGACTCTCAAGTGGTGGGTTCTTTGGTCTAGGCCTGCAAGTACAGTGGCCTTGTCCATGGAATACCCTCAGAAGTTGTTCCTCACCTGGACATGAATCCTCAGGTCCTTGCTTGTTTCCACCTGTGCTGTGTTTCAGACCAAATGTCAGTCCACACCACCAGTTCCCCAGAGTGTGCTGCCAGGTGGCCTGATAACTTTGCCTGGCACCACTGGTGCCAGGGCTGCCCAGGGCCTCCCCTCCTCTGGAGAGTCACATCGCCTGGCTGTCCGCATCTGTGCTGTCTAAAAAGCACCCAGGCCCACAATAAAGATAATGTATTGGTATAAAAGGTAGCTAAAGATACTGAGAATTTTGCTAGTTTAGCAGAAGCTTTTTTATTATGTGTCTAATCTGGGAGAAAATATTTGTCTTCTGGGCTTCCACTATCATAATCTGCTAAGGAAAGTTTATGATTAGTTATTTGAAAATGCCTAGCCAATTATAAAAAACTCTGTAAGGGTTATCCTCACTTTTTGAGACACTTCTGTTACTGTTCTGAGTCTGCAAAGACTCCCTATTTTTAAGAATATATGAATAGTCTGTCTCTGCCACTTGTCCTGCGCGTACTAAATATATAAGAAATAATCATTGTCATTTCTATTTCAGTGTATCATTTAGATAACCCTAGATGCATGTTATAAATTTATAATAAAATTATCACAGAGTTAAAATCCTATATGAATATACCTTTTTAAAAAGCTTTACTTTTGTATCTCTGTTGGAATTTTTAGAGCAAGAAGACTTGGCCGACTTAAAGCTTTCTATGGACCAGACTGTTACTCTTCAATTTGACTTTCACTTTGAGTCTCTTTCCATTATCCTTTACAACAATGATATCAACCAGGTATGTAATAAACTTCTGAAGTTAAAAACAAGCCTTTAGCTTGAGATATTCAGTTTTAAAACATTGACTTTTTTTGGTGATGTGACTATTCATTATAAAATTAGAATTCTGTTTGCCCTACAGAATATATGCTTGTTCTACCCTCTGTTGTTACTTTGCCAAGTGTTCCTAATATTGTTAAAATGGAGAAAAGCTCTTAAGATTTTATTTCTTCATAAGTGACATTGGAAATAAAATCTGTTATGATCCACTGCTAATACAGTTTTATATGAGAGATTGTACATAGAATTTTATTGCATATATATTTTATTTATATACATTTTATATAACTATTTGAAAAGGGTGACTTAGTTGTAGATTTAGAGCTAAATTTTAATAATTATTTTAAAATTCATGGTTGTCTGATATATAAACATTAATTGAGTTTTTACTGAGTAAATTTGATATGTAGTAGGATATCCGTTAGGTCTACAGATTAATGAATTAAAAAACTAACACCCAGCGTCACCATTATTTGAACTAAGTGATGTATTTTAGACATTTTCAATAAGGAGTCTTGCAGGTAATATTTTTGACTATTATGTTACTAATATTTAACACACATATATGTTAATGGCTATATCATGTCACAATATCCATACTTCATTGATTTTGTATCTTAAATCTGATGCTAATGTAGACACTAATTTAGAATTCATTTTGTTTTGTAAAATTTTCATACATTGCTATTATTGAATTTTGGATTATTAATCCTCATTTGTGTAATAAATTGCCTTCATGAAAAATTTGTGATGTTTAATGTTCAGGAAGACATCAGCAAATGATCTTGCAGAAAATGGACAGATAAAAGGACTCCCCATTTCATTTAATGTGCCAGTATCCTCTGGTTCCCCATTTTAGATACTTGTATTTCTCTTTATATCCCCGTTTGCTGACTCTGCATGTTTGAACACTGAGCACTGTTATTTTTTTTCCTGGAATCTAAAATTAGACAAACTGGGTGTTGTTGGTTTTTTTTTTTTCCTGGAATCTATGTTTAGACACTGAGTGTTGTCAGTTTTTTTTTTTCTTGAAATCTATGTATGTTCTGTCATTCCTTTAGCTTTGTTTGGAACTCTTTTAGGTGACGCTTGGAGTAGTCTGGTAACTTCTTTGTTGGTTACTCTTTTTCCTTTTATCTGTGCTAGATATTGATAAGCTGAGTTTCTTAAATGAAGTTTATGTGGTCATTTTCCACTTTCCATTTTGCTTAAAGAACATCTCATGTTATTTTGTGTAGAATTCTATTTATGGAGAAAAGTTCAGTGGCTGTAAATTGTGTACTGTGTAACTGTATTAGGAAACAGTGTGTTGTGATCAGTAGGTGTGTCACAGATAATTTCTATTAGTTAAAAATGGAAACGTGAATTATTTATTTTTTATAAAGTAAAGCCATTCAGTATATACCAGTAATAATGCATTCTGGTCCAGTTGTATGCCCTGTACTACATAGCATTAGAAGGTGATGTGGATTCTTTTAAAGTATTTATTTATTTATATTGGAAAGGCAAATTTACAGAGAGAAGGAGAGGCAGAGAGGAACATCTTCCATCTGCTGGTTCACTCTACAAATGGCCACAATAGCTAGAGCTAAGCTGATCCAAAGCCGGGAGCTTCCTCCAGGTCTTTCACATGAGTACTGGATCCCAAGGCTTAGGTCTGTCCTCCTGACTCTTGGCTTCAGATTGCCTCTGCACTGGCTGTCTTGGCCATTTGGGAAAGAGAACCAACAGATAAAAGCTCTGCCTTCTTATCTCCATAAATCTGCCTTTTGAGTAAAAATAATAAATATTTTCTTAACAAGGAGCCTAAATCTTTAGTTTGGCATTTGATACACTCCTAAATTTCTTTTGTTCTCATTCCTTACCATTCTTTCTTGGACTATTCATACCTTGTATCCCATGCCCTCCTAGCATCTTCTATTGCTTGCCTGTGGTTTCTTTCCCTGTTAATTGTGCTTTACCTTCTTAACTTCTGATCACAGTCATCCTCCAAGGCTCACCTTTTTGAGTTTTTCCAGGTAGCAATGATCCAGTTGTCTTCTTTGGGTCTGAATATTTTCTTAACCTAATTACCTAATAACCTTTTTGAATGTGGGAAAGTGTAAAGATGAATAAAGAAGTTGCTGTATGGCACAAGGCATTTGATCTTTTATAGTATCTCATTGTGATATTCCTGTCCATGTTTTTCTATTCATTTTTCTCAACTGGGATATAAACGCTTCAAGGTCACCACCAGACCATATGCTGGTTTTTCTTGCAGTGTTTTTTGTAGAGAGCTCTTCAGATAGTTAGAAGATTGATTAATTTGCAGAATGTTTCCTGAATATTGTTTGTATTAAACTGTAAATCAGACAAATTTTAATGTTTTAAAATGTCAATGTATTTAAACCTACCTGTTTTGAACTTTACCAACATGCATAAATGTATTCATCTGTAAGTCCTTTCCTGCTCATAAATGTACATTGTTCAGTTCCATTTATCTATTTTAGCATCTAAACTCTTAAAATGTGAGATTGGTTTGCCTTCCGGCTGAATTAAGGAATATATATATATGTATATAATAAGTGACATGATATTTAAAGATAATTGATTTCTTTTGCAGGAATCCAAACTTTCATTTCATAATGACAGTTTCCGCCTTGGTGAACTCAGACTACATCTCATGTCCTCCACTGGGCAGATGTTTAAGGATGGCTCACTGAACGTCAACGTTAAACTTCAGACATGCACACTTGATGATCTCAGAGAAGGCATTGAGAGAGCAACATCAAGGTTTGTCAGATCTGAACTTGATGTACATGGTTCCGGGTGGACCCTGGACCTGCCATTCCAGCAGGCACTTGCCAGACCTGGAATCACCAGGAGAGTCTGTCTGTCTTGTTTTATTTCCTGATTTGAAGTGCATTGAGAAGTATCACTACCATCACATTCTGATGAATAGATTAAGTGAAAGTTTATTAATGAAGTGCTGTCTTAAAAACGGAACCACAAGAATGTAGCAGCTGTAGTAGTTAACCATGTGAATTGATACAATGGGTAAAGTGGTTTTCCAGACTAGCTCCAGTATATAGAATCAGCTCACTTATACAGCTTTAGCATTTTAGATCTTTTCTTTGTCTTACTTTGTCTATTTCCTTTGTTCTTGAGAAACATTTGTTTTTGAGATAGCATTTTAAATTTACAGTCAAAGGCTTATTTGCTTTAAATAGAATGCAATAGATAAAAAGTTGAGAGAGTTTAAAATAGGCACAGAATCATTAATATTGTGATAGTAAATAATCCTCTATTAATTTGTTTGTCAAGTACTTGAAACAGTTTGGTAAAACACTGTATATTTATAGCAAAATTGATGGATTCTGGCATTTCTATTTGTTTTAAAACAAGCATGCAAAATTTCAAATTTTAGCAAAATAGAAGGTAGTATAATTATATTATCAACCCATTTTTGAAAAGCTAGCTTATATCTGCCTGTTTTGTAGTGACTAATGTATAATTTTAATGAGCCATGTTTTTATTACTCGCAAATAATAAGAAAATTTTTGTACACAATTTTTTTATTTTTTGAGAAAAGTAATGTTTATATTTAAGCTGGGATTCTATTGGATAAATAGGAAATACTTCTCAACAACTGTTTCTCAGAACAAATTAATGAACAGAATGCTATCAAGCAATCCTTTTTCCAGTTTGCAAATTTCATGTGTGCCAGTAGTTATTTCCAGTTCTCTGTGCCAGGATGACACATGGTCACCATCTGCTCAGTAGCCTGTTTTGCTGGCAACGTGAAGATGTGTAGAAACTGTCATTGCAGAGAATTGATAAATACTTGCTGATCTGAATTGCTGTGCATACTTCCAGAATCAAATTGTACGGGATGATATTCAGAGATGAATCCTTTCAGGGAGGTTTCATTTTGTAAAATTCTGTGAAGCGTTTGACATTTGGTGTACCCACATTGATATGTTTTGTTAATTGGCAAAATTCCTCTCTAGCAGTCATTGTTTTGTTTAGTACAATAATACACTGTGATTATAAAATATTGTATAATTGCTTAATACCCTAAGTCTTGATTTAGAAATTATGAGCCAATTTCTGGGTTGCTTATTAGATGATTGGATTCCAGGTAATAGTGTCCTGTTTTCTATTTGTATTAGAAACTGAAAAAAAGATACTGAAATATATCAAAGCTTTCATGTTTTGGATTATTTCAGCAGGCATAAAATAATGAATGTTACATATGTTTTCAGAATGATTGACAAAAAGAACGGCCAAGATAACAATAGTTCAATGATTGAAATAAGTTACCAACAAGACAAAAATGGCAATCAGATTGATGCTGTTCTTGACAAGCTGTACGTTTGTGCCAGTGTGGAGTTTCTGATGACCGTGGCAGATTTCTTTATCAAAGCTGTGCCTCAGAGTCCCGAAAATGCTGCAAGAGAAACACAGTTTCCTCGAAGACAGACTGCCATGGGAAAAGTCAAAATGGAAAAAGGTTAGCAGAATTTATCTATTGTAGACACCAGTGTACTTTACAGAAGTGCATACAGGAAAGAAGAGAACTAGTCTTTCAGATTTAGATGTGTTCTATTTGAAAACATGGGGTGGACAAACATTTTAAGCAGAAAAATATAGAAGTATTTAGAACTCATATTGGGAAACTGCTCTGGTTTCAGCTGTGAAAATATTTACTCGCTCAGTAGTGATATGTATCAGCGGCCAGCAGACTAAGGAGGATTTTTTTTTTTTAATGTAAGGAATGTGTCTTAAATTTTGGCACATTGAAGAGCATTTGAAAAGGAGAGAATGGGATGAGGGAGGACCCAGCATTAGTCCCCTGAACATCACTGTTCACTCTTTAAATGTGGTGGGACAATCACAAATGTCTGGTTTAGCTGTATGCTGGAGGGAGCTATTTTCAGCTCTATAATTCTGTTTTAGGATTATCGAGTAGATGGTCATTTTCTGCATTACGTTACAGTTATCTAAGGTCAGGTGTTTTTTCTTTTGTAAAACAACAATGGCAAACTGATATTTACTGACCAGGTCAAAAAATTTTTTTTCACTTACTAGTTTTTATGAACTATTTACTCACATAATATCTCTGTGTTCATGTACCTGATACATCGAACATATTTATACCATACATGACATGATACAACTGTGAACTTATGGGTGAAATTAGAATAAGCAAAACAGCAATGGTTTTTTTTTTTTTTTTTACTTTATCAGGCTCGGTTTTCCTCCTCTTTTATTTTTTAATGATATAATGATGCTTGAGAGTTTTATATTTATCACAAGTAATTTTTTTTTTAATTTGTTTGAAAGTTACAATTAGAGAGACAGGGAAACCTTCTACCTCCTGCTCATCCCCCAGACTGCCTGGCTGCATCAGGTCAAAGCCAGGAGTTTTGCCCCAGTCTCTTGTGAAGGTAAGGAGTACAAGTACCTGGGTCATCTTCAGCTACTTTGCCAGGCTTATTCACAGGGAGCTGGATCAGAACTAGAGCATCCAAGACACGAACCAGTGCTCACACAGAGTGCCAGCTTTTCATGTGTCAGCTTGATTTGCTGCACCACAGCACTGATCCCTGTTGCCTTATTGTTGTGTTTTCCTCTTCTGTTTTCTCTTTATTGCTCCTGCTTTTTAGCATAATATCCACATACGTCTTCATGTACATACCCTTTCTTTCTGCCAAGAAGAACTTTAAAACAATATCATTTTTCCAGATCAAAATGGAGATAATCTTTGGAAAGATAATGAAATTATGTTTTCTTGTACAGCAACATTGTTTAGTAGTAATCATTTACTCAGTAACTAGTAGATGACACATGGAGAAATGACTTGATTTTGGTTGAATAACACAATTTACATGACACTTGGATAAATGACTTGATTTTGGTTGAATAACATGATTTACATGAAAATGTTATCGTTGGCTGATTTGTTTCTTCAGAGGATGCTGTGAGACCCAACATGACTCTGAAGGCCACGGTCACTGATCCAGAAGTAGTGTTTGTTGCCAACCTGACCAAGGCTGATGCCCCTGCCCTGACAGCCTCATTCCAGTGTAACCTCTCTCTGTCCACATCAAGACTGGAACAGATGATGGAAGCTTCTGTGAGAGACCTGAAAGTGCTTGCTTGCCCTTTTCTCAGAGAAAAGAGAGGGAAGAGCATTACCACAGTAAGAATTCCTTTGTCTCCTAGTCTTGAAGAGTGACAGAAGTGGTTGGTTCATAGAATTCTAGACTGATAAGGCCTAAGAGATCATGTTCTGCACACATGGGGGTCTATAGGTAAGGATGTTGAGGTCAAACATGTTAAATTGCTCAGCTGTGGCTGCTGTGTGACAGTGTTGGGAACAATCTCACATTGGTTTTCTTTACATTATGCCCTCTTCTGTTGGCTGGTATTTGGGTTTTATTGCAAATCAGTGTTTGTTTTCCACTGTTGTATAATTAATGGGTAAATGAATATTTAAATCTAAAATGAAAAAGGCTCAGTGAAAATTATGGGATTAAAAGAGGTGATATTCTGCTGTTATTTATTAAGAATTAATTTTAGGGGCCTGGCAGCGTGGCCTAGCGGTTAAAGTCCTCACCTTGGAACACAACAGGATCCCATATGGGCACTGGTTCTAATCCCAGCAGCTCTACTTCCCATCCAGCTCCCTGCTTATGGCCTGGGGAAGCAGTCGAGGACAGCCCAAAGCCTTGGGACATTGCACCCGTGTGGGAGACCTGGAAGAGATTCCTGGCTCCTAGCTTCTGATTGGCACAGCACCGGCCATTGCGGTCACTTGGGGAGTGAATCGTTGGACAGAAGATCTTTCTCCCTGTCTCTCCTCCTCTCTGTATATCTGCCTTTGTAATAAAAATTAATTTTTTAAAAAAATAATTAATTTCAGGGGAAATGTTTAGCTTACTTATGACAATGCCTGCATCCTACATCAGAATAACTGAGTTGATTCCTGCCTCCAACTCCTGACTCCAGCCTTCTGTTACATCTGCTCTAGGAGGGAATAGTAATGATTGAGTTTCTGAAAGTGGGAGACCTGAATTGCGTTCCTGCCTTTCAGGTTTAACCCTGGCTCACAGTTGGCCATTGACTGAATTTGAGCAGTAATATAACAGATGGAAACTCTGTCTCAGCTAAATAAAGAGAAAAATAAAAATCTTTAAAAAGATGATTTTAGTTATTAATTTAATGCCAAACCCATTCATTTTTTAAAAGAGAATATCTATATTGTATGACTCATTTTAGATGTTATTTTAAATGTAAAACCTTGTGGTCTATGTGACTTGCATGGGATATGTGCTGTCATGAAATATCTTTTTTAATGAAATATCTTTTACCAGGATTATATTTTAACATAGTGCAGAAAGATTATGCCTATTTAAAACTCAGCCTAATTATTTTAAAATTGAGAGTTTTGTAATTCTGATCACTCCAGTCAGTTTGGAGGCATGGTTCTTTTATTTCTTTAACAATATATGAGAATATAGACTTCATATTTTAATATGTCATCAAGTGTAAATGTTTGCAATGTATATATTTTTTAAAGCCCACCCTCTCATGAGAACTTTTTAAAAAATATTTATTCATTTTCACTAGAAAGGCTGATTTACACAAAGCAGGAGAGACAGTGAGAAAGATCTTCCATCTGCTGGTTCACTTCCCATATAGCCACAGTGACTGAAGCTGAGCTGGTCTGAAGCCAAGAACCAGGAGCCAGGAGCTCCTTTTGGGTCTTTCATGTGGGTACAGGGCCAAAGGACTTGGGGCATCTTTTGCTGCTTTTCCAGGCCATAAACAGTGGGACGGATCAGAAATCGAGCGTCTGGAAAAGGAGTCAATGCTCAAATGGGATGCTGGTGCTTGAGGGTGGAGGATTATCCTGTTGAGTCATGGCATGGGCCCCTTGAAATGTATTGTGATAAGAACTTACATGATAATGAATATTGGGCTATGTAATCATCTAGAGACTTTTCATTTACCTTTCTTTTATCTTCAGTTCATTTTTAGCGATACCTCAACCATATATTTATGAGAGGCATCTTTTAAAACATGCCTAAGCAAGAGGAAACAGCAGTTAAACTTCTGCTGTTAAAATGCCCTCTCCTCTAAGGAGGTAGTGTAAAGAAATCCATCAGAGGTGCTTAGAGTGCTATACAGTATCCACAGATTTGTTGTAGTTCAGATCCTATGCTAGAGCTTCTTGGCTCAGTTGACCTGGGCTTTTGCTTTTAGTAGTAGACTGTAGTTAAAGGTCCCAAGTTAAATGTGAAGTGGCTCTTGTAAGTATGTATTATTGTATAATGAGTGTATCACTAAGGACATGTGAATTTCACTTATTTTTTACTAGGTCTTGCATCCCTGCTCTCTATTTATGGAAAAATGTGCATGGGTATCAGGAAAGCAAAATATAAATATTATGGTTAAAGAATTCATAATTAAGGTTAGTGCCTTTCATATTCTTTGGGTGAAAATTCTTATTTTTCTAATAATACTGCACAATTGATTTTACATATCACAATACCTATTATAACTTGGATAAGAAGTATAGACATATAGTCAGTAATAAGTGACATTAAAATATATTTTTAAATAAAAATGATTGTTCCTATTTTCTTTCCAAGAGCACTTTTAATATTTTCAACTGAATGAAGAGTTTTCTCTGTTAAATGTGTATATTTGTGTTGGAGAGGTTAAATTAGGGAGGAGAGCCAAACTGGGGTAGGAGGAAGGAAAAAGGCAGAAAAAGGGATTAAAAAGCAAAAGAAAGAAAAGATTAGAGAGTTGAGGCTGTCGTCATTTTATTATTTTAGAGTTTATTTGAAGTATAATTGAAGTTTCAGAACTATGTGATTTTTTTTTTTGGCTCATGAAATATTTGAAATAACAAATTTATGCTAGGAATAAATTAGAATTAAAAAATTCTTTGAAGTATTGAAACAAGAGTCTCTTCTTTCCAGAGACATTCAGATTACTTTAGTACAATTCTATAGCCATTTAAAAGATGAAAGACATCAGGATATTTTCTGAAATATGTTTCTGTCTAAAGGACACAGAAATGAGATATGTACTGCCAGTATGTGATAATAGATTTACTGGTATAAGTTTTCAACAAATAGTGACTGCACTGAAGCTCAAATTAATTTCAAGTTCCATGTTTATAACAATATAATTTTCTCCAATATTTAAAAATACAGTATAGCCTTATATATTGTTTTGTTAATGGGTTTATGATTTTCACGTATAATATTGTAAATAGGGGTGGGGTAAGCTCCTTGAATTTTCCATGTATTTTCTCTAAATGCTGAGTTAGTTTCATTTCTTTGTACATTCAACAAGCATTTTTGAGTTCCTGCCATGTATAAAAATTGTTGTGTTCAATGCATTAGAAATATGTGGTCTTTGGTTTCAGAAAGCTTAATGGCTTCTGTGAGTAAAAAGTACTTAGTGGTAACAGCTGATTGCACTTCTAATATTTGTCCATTGGCATAGCATTGTTTTACTCTGATCAGTTTAAATTTTTGACTTTCTGTATGTAACACTAATTCAAGGAAACTTGAACAGAGATCATTACGATACAATTGACACATTTTGTATTCTCTCTTGTGTTAAGTTACAAACGCAAACATCTTTAGTTTTTAACTTTTGCACCCTATATGTTAATTCCTCTCATGAGAGAGAATCTGTTCTGAACATTTTTTTCTGCTTTCTTTCAAGATTTCACCGATAATTCTTAATACTGTAATGACAATCATGGCTGCCATGTCTCCAAAACCAAAAGAAGATGATTCCAAAGATACAACTAAGGAAATGGACCTTTGGGGCATCAAGTCTGTTAATGATTATAATTCTTGGTTTCTTGGTGTTGACGTGGGAACAGAAATAACTGAAAATTTCAAAGATATTGATAATCCATTGATAGAAGAGAACTGTACTCTTGCTGTGGAGACAGTTCAGGTTACCCTAGAATGTGGCCTTGGACATCGAACTGTACCTTTACTACTGGCTGAGTCTAAGTTTTCAGGAAAAATTAAAAATTGGACTTCCCTAATGGCTGCTGCCGCTGACATGACACTACAGGTATGTCCTATCTGTTAGTTCTGAGCCAGCTTCTTGAAAGTTTATGCGTGGCCACATCAAATGCATATGTGGTTAGATAACATATGTTAAATTTTAATTTGTTGATGCTTAGTATTTTGGTAATTATTTCAAGAGTTTTTTTGTTAAATCATTTTTTATTGTATCATAATAAATGAAAAATGCATGCTCTTTTATTTTGTGTTTTTAAGTGAATTTTTAAAGTGGTTATTGATATATAATTTTAGTTCGTAAATATTTTTCCTACTGGTTACAGAAATATGCAACTAAAGTTGAGAAAATCATGTATTATAACTCTGTACCTTTCCAGGTTCATTATTACAATGAGACCCATGCTGTGTGGGAGCCACTGATCGAGAGAGTGGAGGGGAACAGACAGTGGAATTTAAATCTTGAAGTAAGGAAACTGTAAAAAATCTTTATGTAGAGTGAGATTATACGTCTCCATGGATGTATTTTTGTTCGTTCAATTCAAGATGTCTTCTAGAATCCTGAAAAGACTTTCAATGGAGTTATGAGGTCAAACCCTATTGTCGTAGCAAGACTCAGCCCTGTGTATCATTTTAAGGCATTCTCTTTTGAACCTCCAGTAGAGTTTTCACAGATGATGTTAATGTGAAGTTGAAACAGTTTGGGTCAGGAGTAAGAACTCACCTTTCTTTTTTTAAGATGACATTGAAGAGATTCATAAATGTCCCTCTTGTTGCTATTTACATATATATATATGAATTATATGCATTTACATGTATATTTACTTAAAATGCACTTTAAAATTTTTTCATTCTGTATTCATTCTGTGCTAGTTTAACCCAAATGCTCTTAATAGCTAAGCTGAAGTCAGGAGCCTGGAATTCAATATCATTCCCATATAGGAGGCAGAAAATCAACTTTTGGAGTTACGTGCTGCTGCATCCCAGGGTGCTTATTAGTTAAAAAGTTGGGTTGGAAGCCATGGAGATGGAAGTCAAGCTCAGACAAACTGATACAAGATGTGACCATCCTAAGAATTGCTAACCCCTCACTTTATTCTTCAAGTAGTTGCCTTGCGTTTAAAATCTCATTTACATTAATGTGTAATTTTTTTTTATTAAATTATTATCTAGTTTCTAACAAAACCCATGTAGGTGGAAATCACAGGAATGTTGCTCTTTGAGATTCCCAGTGGGTTTTAAGAATAAGACCAGTAAGTTCTGAGAATTCCTATTCTAGTTTATGAATTCTTTTGTATTATCTCTTTGTGGTATTTCTTAAGAATACTTTAGACTTGTCAGTACAAAGCAGGAGCACCCAGTTGAGCAGGAACGTGAATTGCATACTATTAACAAGTTGTCATAGCACATATTGTTAATAGTTAATGTGTAAAATTTATTTTTTTTATCTCCATAGATAAAGAAGAATCCAGTCCAGGATAAAAGTTTGGTGCCAGGAGATGATTTCATTCCTGAGCCACAAATGGCAGTTCATATTTCTTCAGCAGATACTATGAATATTACAATATCTAAAAGCTGTCTTAATGTTTTCAACAACCTTGCAAAAGTATGTTTTTCATTATTGATTAGGCAATAAGTAGAATTTTTATCTAAAACATATATAGATTATTTTTGGTCAAATCATTTTCTAAAAAATAAATACTGATTATTTTGAAAAATACTTTTTGCAAAAATTTTGTTGTGGTATGCTCTTTTTCAGGGTTTTTCTGAGGGCACTGCCTCTACTTTTGACTATTCTTTAAAAGACAGGGCTCCTTTTACAGTGAAAAACACCCTGGGTGTTCCCGTTAAGGTCCAGCCCAATCATAACCTCAGAGTAATGGGCTCTCCGGAGAAAAGTGATATTTACGATGTTGCTGCTGGTGAGACTTTGGAATTGGAGTACTCCGGCATGGAATCTTCATGTCCAGGAAAACTTTCCATCTTAAGCCGCCAGGAAAGCTCCTTCTTCACTCTGACTTTTGGTATGCCATGGTGTTTATCTGGCTTTTAAGGTCATCATAAGAACTATTGTTATAGTCTTATTTTTGATAAAATATAAAAAATATTTTACTGTACGTATATTGAAAGACAATTATTGATGAACTCTTTTTTGTTGCTTTCTTCTAAATATGAGCAAAGAAAACCTGACTAATTCAATAAGGCTCTTAGAAAACTAGATTGTTTCCATAGCCTTCAATAATAAAGCATGTGGTGTGCTGCAGATAGGATGGGAGTTCCTTGAAAACAGAAAGTAACTGTATTTGGAAGTCCAAAAATATTTCTGTTAGTGACTATCATTACTAATAAAGGAAGATTGTAGATTGTTACTTTATATTTGAGAGAACCCGAAATAACTTGCATTTGGCTTGTTTTAATATAATCACTCCCCGTATTTTAAGTTAGAAGTTTTGTATCAGTGACTTTCATGTGTGTATTAAAGCATGTTTTAGTAACCATTCCTACTCATAAAAAATATTCTTGTCATTATTTTGGGGTGTTAATAAGGATTATTATGTCAGAGAAATATTGATAAATTACTGTTTGAAATTCTTTTCACTTATGATGTGCCTTAGTACCTCATGGATACACAGAAGTTGCAAATATTCCTGTAGCCCGGCCTGGACGGCGATTGTATAATGTACGGAATCCCATTGCCAATCATTCTGACTCAGTCGTGGTACAGATTGATGCCACAGAAGGGAATAAAGTAATCACCCTTCGCTCCCCTCTACAGGTAACACTTTTGAGTGAACGACTGTCCCTTTCTATATGTCCAGAAATATTAAATCATTTAACTAAATGTTAAAATACAGTAAAGATTGTTTTGGTCAGTACTGATTATTTGAAATTGAATAGTAAACTAAAGTGATGCTTACCTTCTGTTGAACTTGTTTTTGCAATTTCTTTAATTGTTTATAAACAGGATTGTTCATTAAAAACCCAGTGTTGTCTGATGGTTTAGAATTACTGATATTTTTGTGTATTCCATTAATAATTCACAACTGAGGGCTATTATTATAATTACTGTTGATCATCAAGTTGGTCGACATCCTGTTTTCTTTGTGCATCAGTTGGGATTGTGTGTTTCAATTCTGTATGAAGAAACATTGAAATGATGATTGCCCCTTAATTAAGTGTTAGTGTCTTGATTTAGAACTAGTTTGTGCAAATATTTTATTTTTTACTTTAAAGAGTTTGTATTAGACATTTTTTGTGAATGTCTTTTTACAAATTCTAGTATATGATTAGCAAAAGAACGTTTCCTTCTACCTATCATTCCATAGCAGCCAAGAAAATGAACTTTTTCTCATGAATCTGTTATTTTCTTTGTAATGTACTGAGAAAAAGATTGCACTAGACAAAGTGTGTCTGAAATCTTAAAAGAACAATGCACATTTGATTGACTGTAATATTCAGTTATGTGGGTACCCACATAACTTTCAACTGAACTTTTGAACATCAGGTTTAATATAGATGGCAATGAAATGTAAAAATGTTCAATTACTGTTCAAAGCACCTCTGATATTGAGTTTGAAACATTTTAGATTTAGAGGTAAATTTGTACCTCTCATATTTGTTCTTTTCAACAGATACATGTTTTTCACAGCTTTTCTGCCTTTTTGTCTAACAGGTTAAAAATCATTTTTCTATTGCTTTTATCATTTATAAGTTTGTTAAAAATGTTAAATTATTGGAGCGCATTGGAATAGCCAGACCTGAAGAGGAGTTCGACATTCCTTTAGATTCATATAGGTAAATACTTTTAGAATTTTTTTCAGAATGATTACACTGTTTCATATTTAAAATTTTTTAAAAAATGTCTTAAATTTGTTCTTGCTTCAGAATTTTTTTCTCTTCAAAGTTCTTCCATGAGTTAGCTACATGACTTTGACAAAGTTTGCTTTGTTTTTAATATTTATTTTTATTTATTTGAAAGATACAGTTTGAGGCAGAGATGGCGATCTTCCATCTGATTATTCCCTCCCCAAATGGCCACAATGGCTGAGGCTATTCAAGACCAAACACTGGAGCCAGGAGCTTTTTCTGGATCTCCCATATGAATGCAGGGACCCATACTCCTGGGTAATCTCCTGCGTAGTGCTCTTACCCCACTATGTCACAATGCCACTCTGGGCAAGTTTCTTACTCTTTCTTAGCATGATTTTCTTGTATGGAAAACCAGAAATGCTAGTACCTTACTTTGCAGCATGGTCAAGATGACTTAATGAGTTTTTTTTTTTTTTTTTTTTTAAGTTCTTGGCTAAATTATTTTCCCTACCTCTTCCCCTGTTTATTTTTCTGAAGGTGTCAATTGTTTATCAAGCCTGCTGGGGTCTTAGAACACCAGTACAAAGAATCCACCACTTACATTTCCTGGAAGGAAGAACTGCACAGGAGCAGAGAGATCAGATGTGTGTTGCAGTGTCCCTCCACAGAAGTCAACTTCTTGCCTCTCATAGTTAATACAGTTGCTTTGCCTGATGAATTAAGCTACATCTGTCCACACGGAGAAGACTGGGACCCAGCTTACATTATTCATCTGTATCCTCCTCTCACTTTGCGGAATCTTCTCCCGTATTCTCTCAGATACTTACTTGAGGTAAATCTGTGGCATTTCATTAGATTTTTATTACTACTCAGAGTGAAATCTAATTTTGTTTTAAGGAATGTTTAGTTCCTATCCCTTTTTAATATAGCACACTTGCAGTGCTATAATAACCATTGCAACAGAAATTTACATAGCATCTTCTGTGCCTGGTGTTGTGCTCTGATCCTTGTGTGTGTGAACACTTTCAGTCCCTGGAAAGTCTCATAACACAGGTGCTGTTATTGCATTCATTTTACATACATAGAGACCAAGTCACAAAGAGATTACATGGCCTCTGATTCCTAGAGTGTTTGACTCCTTGATGCCTAACAGTCTTCCCTTCTGCATCTGACATAAATGAAGATTCATTTTAATCTCTCTCTAAGTTTTTGGTTTTAAGTCAGTGTTATGGTTGTTCAGTTTAAAGTTGTATTGAAAATAATCACTGTCTTTAGAAACTGTAAGGAAATATTTTCTCATAATGGATGGTACATATTTTAAAATCTCTAAATGCTGTCATATTTTGAAATATACAAACATTTGGAAAGAAATTAATTCTGTGTATATCTGACAATGAGCTAGTTGAGGAGGCAAAAACTGATTTTATTAATTAAATGGTACTAAATTACATTATATAGTTCAATGCAGTATAATATATAACTCAGTGAAAAAGAATGATTTTTATGTTGCTATTATTCACTTTTAAAATCACTTTGGAATCACTTTGGGTATTATATTCACAGGTGCCATTGGGCATGGTATGTGAGTAGAGGCTACAGTGAAGCCCAGCCAGATACTGGCCCATTTAGTGACATAGCTCACATGGACAACAGCCATGGGTCCTGAACCTGGCCTTTGCCTCTTGGTTTAGATTTGATTTTTTTTATGTTATTCCTCAAACTTAGTGCTTTTAAGTCTGCTGGTAGCTAGAAGTTTTGTCCTGTGGCTATGCTATGGTGGTTTCCTTTTAGGTCTTAGTGTTTACTGTTCATTCATAATATTTAAATGTGATCATTAAAGAATTAGCAGTTAATCTGCATCTAGTAGTCTTACTTAGCATTTGTGTATAATATATATTTTTCTGTTTAATAAATGAAAAAAATTCACTAAGCAACCTTGTTTGTTTTTAGGGAGCAGCAGAAACTCATGAGCTAGCGGAAGGCAGTACTGCTGATGTTCTACATTCCAGAATTGGTGGAGAAATAATGGAGTTAGTCCTGATGAAGTACCAGGGCAAGAACTGGAATGGACATTTCCGCATATGTGATACACTTCCCGAATTCTTTCTTGTGTGTTTTTCTGCTGACTCCACAGAAGCAGTGACCATTGATCTGTCGGTACATGTCAGGCGCATTGGCAGCCGAATGATACTTTCTGTCTTTAGTCCCTATTGGCTAATCAACAAAACTTCTCGGGTTCTCCAGTATCGTTCAGAAGATATTCATGTGAAACATCCAGCTGATTTTAGGGATATTATTTTATTCTCATTCAAGAAGAAGAATATTTTTAGTAAAAATAAGGTATGCTGTTATCAATTTGACAGGTTAAAATAGATAATTTCTAATCTTGAAACCGGGAATCATTTGTCTTCCCTGAACATAAACATGTATCTTTAATCGATCTGTTCAGTTGGAAGTTTTTGAAGATAGAAACTGTCCTACGTTCTTTCCTTTTCCTTTTCACAACACCTTTCATTTAGTATTTGAATAATGTTAATGATCTGAATTCACCTTGCCCTGAAACTTTAAGAATGTGTTATCTGTATATAAACCTAATACTGAAAAGTATAATTTTGAATCATGATTCTTTATAAACAGCCCGGAGTCTCATTAAGTTCACTGTACTCATTGCTCAGGTGAATAGGAATGTCACAGCTGTGCTTTTGTCAGACTGCCCCCTAGAGTTTTCTATAGTTCTGTAACCCAGTTGCAGTATGACTTTTTTTTTCTGTTTCCATGACAACAGATATTCCTAGTGGTCTTACACCTTGTATCAAATAAAATTAATAATTCCGTCAATTCTTACATGATGGTATATGTTCTTTGGTATAGGTACAGTTAAAAATTTCAACCAGTGCCTGGTCCAATGGGTTCTCACTGGATACGGTAGGAAGTTACGGATGTGTGAAGTGTCCTGCCAACAATATGGAATACCTGGTGAGAGTGCTTGCTTGTTTACCTTTGACCCCATTCATCTTGTGTCCAGCTCAGAAAATCAGCTGATTCCTCAAACTTTTAGAAATTTGAAGCCAAAGTTTTTTTTTTCAAGATTTATTTTTATGTGGGAGTTACCTATCCATTTCTGTGGCTACTGGTATAAAACCAAAACCTGAGTTTGTCAAAACTTGAGGCTTTGGATCAAATCCTTCCAAATGAGCAACTTGGTAAATATTCATGTTATATTAGAATTTTCATTCAAAACTATCATCTGCCAGGTGTTTCTTAAATTTTAAGTTTGAATACTAGGAAAGCTTGAATAAGTTGAGCTATTGCTGCTTTAGGATAACAGATAAGCAGTAAGACTTGAACTTCTACACTGATTATATGGCAATTTGTCTAGAATGTTAGCAAGGATACTAGGCAAATCTTACTGCAGGTAACTATTAATTAAATAATTGATTGCTACTTCTTAAATACATTTCTGATCCTGTCAAATGTGAGGAACCTTAATTTTTCTTCATTGTAAGAAAATATTCAGTAATGAAATATGGCTTGCAGTAGTTGCTTTGTTGAAACATTCTTTTAACAATAAGATGTCTGTGTATTGTATGTGAGTATGTGTATGTATTTCAAAGAAATTAAGTTCAAATAAGTTTGTTTACTTTCCACAGGTTGGTGTTAGCATCAAAATGAGCAGTTTTAATCTTTCACGAATAGTTACTCTTACTCCCTTTTGTACTATCACAAACAAGTCATCATTAGAACTAGAAGTTGGTGAAATTGCATCTGATGGCTCAATGCCAACCAATAAATGGAATTATATTGCTTCTTCAGAGGTAAAATTTACTTTAACTTCTTCATAAAGAAATAATACAAATACAATAACACAAATAAGTATAGACTTATTAAGAATTTTATTGCCTCTGTCATATTCCCTGCCTATTATATTTTTGTGTTAAAATATGACAGGCAACTTTGAAAGATTTTTCTTTTGTACTTTAAGTGTATTTTGAAAGAGGGAATTTTTTTTTGGTATTAGCCCACTCTAGCTGATTAACAGTCATTTTTAAAGTTCTTCCTGTATGTGTAGGAAGGTTTATAAACTGTGAGAAATATGTTATAAATTATTTGCTGTGTATTGTCTCAGTTGTTGAAATTATGTGTTTATGGTCAAGAAGCTATAATCTTGTTAGAGAAACCCAAGACCCATTCACGTATTTAAGAGGTGGAAAATTTTTAGCCTGTGATATGGCCTGTTGTTCGCTGTACTGCAGCAATAGACTTGGAGCAAGGAGCATAAGATTAACAAAATAATAATACACCTGGACTACCGATTGATGATCAATAGCCAAAGTTTATTAGTGGCATCAGACTTTTATAGACCGAGGGTGACATAGGATAAGGGAGGAGGTATTGAGCTTAGGTATGGAACCCACCAATTGTTTCTATAAGCTTGTTTGGGACTCTTCTGTTTTGTATAACCCACCAAGTGTTCTCATTCACATGCTGTCCATTCAGCTATTCTCGTACAAATGATATCCAATCAGTCACACGAATGGTATCCATCCAGTTTTTCTGATGCAAGTGTTATCCTATCAGTTGTAATCCTGTGCTCACTGACCTTCTAGGGTCACTGTGTCCTTCTACAGACTGTGAAATGGTTCGGTCTGGTCCTGCTAATGGAACTAAGAGTGGGACTCAAAGTTCAGTAAATCTATTGCAGGCTAATATTCAGGTTGATAATTCTATGTAGTACATCAGAGACGTTACAGATATTCAAATTGCCTTTGATGGAAAGAAAGGTTCCCACCCCTGCTGTAGATTAACTCTTGGAACTAAACATAGTACATGTTAACTTTTAGGGAACTGTAGAATTTCTAAATAGGTAAGCAGGAAGTTGCCTTGAAAATACAAATGTACTGCTCTTGATGAAATGGTAACTAATGATTGTGATTATGGTGATCTAGATGAAAATGAAAAATTGGGCCCAGCGCGGTGGAGCAAGTGGTTAAGGTCCTCGCCTTGAACGCCCGGGATCCCATATGGGCGCCGGTTCTAATCCTGGCAGCCCCACTTCCCTTCCAGCTCCCTGCCTGTGGCCTGGGAAAGCAGTCGAGGTCGGCCCAAAGCTTTGGGACCCTGCACCCACGTGGGAGACCCGGAAGAGGCTCCTGGCTTTGGATCGGCATAGCATCAGCTGTTGCACTCACTTGGGGAGTGAATCATCGGATGGAAGATCTTCCTCTCTGTCTCTCCTCTCTGTATATCCGCCTTTCCAATGAAAAAAAATAATAAAAATAAATCTTTTAAAAAAAAAAAGAAAATGAAAAATTACCTTGGAAAGGTAGGATTTGAGCTAACTTTGCTGGCTGCTTAGTATTTAAGGACGTGACATGAATGGAAGAGAAAGAAGGGGATAGGACAGGTGCAAAGAGAAGCCTGACTGCTTGGTTTTTGAGTTTCCAAGCAAGCCAATTGACTTTGAGTGTATTTGAAGGTCATTTTTTTATTCTTCATCCATCTTTAAAAGAAAATTTCTGGAATTATTTGTTTATTTATTTGATTGAAAGGCAGACTCTACAGAGAGAAAGAGAGACAGAGAGAGAAGTATCTTCTATTCGTTGATGCACTCCCCAAATGGCTGAAGTGGCTTGAGATCAGCTCATCTGAAGCCAGTAGCCTCTTTCGGGTCTTCATGTGGGTGTGGGAGCCCAACTACTTTGACCATCCTTCCCTGCTTTCCCCAGCCATAAACAGGGAGCTGGATGGAAGTGGAGCAGCTGGAACACAAGCTAGCATCCATATGAGATGCTGGCACTTGAAGGTGGATGATTAGCCTATGGAGCCATGGTGCCAGCCTCTTCCAAAATCTTTTTTAAAAGTACTTAGCAAATGGCTCAAAATGAAGGATTCTAGTTAGAATACAGATTTAAAGCTCTAAGAGGCAGGATCATTTAGAGTGATCTCTGGAGACAGACAAATGATTATAATGTTTTTATTCAGAAGTAAAATTTACCTTAGTATTCTATAAAACAAAGCCAACTTGTTTTATGAAACAAAACTCTAGTGTTAAAGCTAAGAAAACTCAATTTGAAATAAGTATGAGGATACTTGAAAAATTTTGCCAAATTGTATATTTTGGAAAAAGAAATTGCTGTTTAGCACAAAAATAAGTTTACCTTTAGATTCCATTTTTCTGCAAAAGTTTTAAACTCTCAGCATACAGTTTGATGAAGATAAGACATGAAGTGAGTAGTGTCAGTACTTAGCCAGGTTGATGTGTCAATTTTCTCCTCCTTCAGTGATCTTTCTAGTTTATCTAGAGTAAGATACTTGGTGAAAGAATTTATTACGCATTAATGAATTAAAATGGAGGTGTATATGAAAGCAAGTTGGGATTATAGTTTCTAAATATTCTACATGTATCTGATTGTTTTTAAACCAACAAGTTTTCTTCAGTTCCCTGTATTGTATCAAAACTATAGACACTTATAGACTAGTCTCTATTCTTTTGATGCAGTTGCATTGGTCGGTTTTATGGATAGTCACTATTTTGTCATTAATCAGACTGTGATATAGTAATAATATGATGCAGTCGTAATAATATGATAGAGAAAGAATTGAATTGAGGTCTGATTTAGACCTTGAAGTGAGAACTTAATTCACTGTTACAGTATTTGTTTTAACACTGATCCTAACCTGTTTTTCCAGTGCCTTCCTTTTTGGCCTGAAAGTTTGTCAGGCAAACTGTGTGTAAGAGTGGTAGGCTGTGAAGGATCTTCCAAACCATTCTTTTATAATCGACAGGATAATGGCACTTTATTGAGCTTGGAAGAACTGGTAAGTTTTTATATTTTGATAGAAAATATCTTTTTTTATACTGAATGTATTCAGTATATAATATAAAAATGTCTGTGACATAAATTTATAAGTGTATGTAACATAGATAAGTAATACAAACCTGACACATATAAATTTATATTAATAAAATGTATTGATATAGTTAGTATATTTAATATATATTAGATGTTTAAAACATTTAAAATTTGCTCTAAAATACTTAATTAAATTACAACATGATGTAGTTATATTGTAAAAATCAATGATGGCTTTTAGGTGATGCTGTAACCATCTGTAATGCCATATATATTTTTTATTTAATTTTTTGATGATCTTTACATAGTTGATTATGGTACAGAGGGTCAGGGGCTATAGGAAAGTGGGTAAGACCATTGTTTCCACATTCTGTTTTTTTGCTTTCTTTATTTGTGGGAAGGGGAGAGACAAAGGGAGAAGCCACACCCAGCCTCCCAACCATCCCAGGGTCCCCAGTGTAGAACTGCTGCAATAGCATTGCTCAAGTGGTTTCGATAGTTCAGCTCTTTAGCATTGCTGCCAGTCTCGCCATTCTAAATACAATTAGATCTCTTCAGAATCCACTGGCTGACATAGTCCACCTTAGATTCTCCACTTGCCCGGATTTTCACTGTCAACACTTGGCTGGGCTAGTTGATCATTTTTTTCTGGTCTCTGTTATGGTATCAGGTGTCCTCTTCAGGTTCCAATGTACTGCCATATCCTCCATGTGCACCTGGATATGCTGTCCACTGCTCTGTCTGAGCCACTGAGGAGGCTCAGCTTTGACACATGCATTCCACAGTCAGATCATGGAATCTGCAATTCTCTTTGTGATTGAGGTTCTGAGTACAGCAGTTTGATTGGGGGGGATCCCCAGAGAAACTTCGTCTGAAATGATTCCAGACCAGATTCTTGGGTGTGCTTGCTAGTACAGGGTATGGCACAGTCTGTCATCCATATCAGCCTATGCGTATGTTAGTGGTTGCAATTGCTGGGTCAATTCTGCCTCCAGCCCCATCTTCTACACAAACCAATGGGTGTTGGAGCCCATCTCAATCCTGTCCCCCATGTATCCAGTGGGAGCTGCAGCCTAGTAGGGGCGACTCCCAATAACCCTCACCAGACCCATGCCCTACTCTGGTTCCCATGCTTGCCAGTATATACAAGAGACTGATCCAGTCTGTCCCACATCCCATTCAACTCTCATACTTGTCAGTAGGCAGTAAGCCTAGTTTAGCCCAACCAGCCCCCCTATCCAGCCCACATACCTGCTGATTGGTGCCACTCTCTGTCTAGCCATGCCTGCCCAAGTCCTGGTTCTCATGCTCACCAGATGGAGTGGGCATCCCAGGAGGGAAGTGCCCACTGTTTCCCTCCTAGGCCTACTCCCACTCCCAGATCATGCAGTCTCCAGATGGTTCTACAGTTTGGCTTGACAGAATTAGCCCCGCTGTGCTAGCATCTGCTTGCTGATGCTGTAGCAGGGCCCAACCAACCCAACACCCACTCTGACCTATGCTTGCACAAGTATGAACAGTAAACCCAGCCTGGATTTTCCCTGGGCCAGCCCACATTTGGTCAGCAAGTGTTGTAGCTCTGCCAGTCTGGTCTGCCCCATCCCAATTCATGCTCTCCAGAATGTAAAAGCTTGGAGGCAAATTACTTTTTAGTTAGAACTTAAGAAAGCAAAGCTTTTGTTTTTAAGTGGTATTCCATATGTCAATTGCAGTTTAAACCAGTGCACTAAATATTGCATTTCTTTTTTCCCAATAGAATGGTGGTATCCTGGTAGATGTAAACACTGCGGAGCATTCAACTGTCATCACTTTTTCTGATTACCATGAAGGATCTGCACCTGCCCTGATCATGAACCACACACAGTGGGATGTTCTTCTGTATAAACAGAGGTATAAAAGGCCTAATGGAGAACTGGATTTGCTTTTAATGATCAGTGCTTCTTAGGGAACACTTGAGCTGCACATTGTAGGAAGGTAATATAATAATATGGAATGTATTGTCAATTACTGGCGCCCTACACATTTTGGGTTAGTATTCTGTAATCAAACACATTACTTTTCTGCAGCAAAACTTGGAAATGTTCATTTCAACTGGAATGCCTAATTATTTTTCACATTAAAGTTATTATTTAATGCTGTATCAGTTTTAAGCCATAAAATTACACTAATTTTATGTGCATAAAGAAAAGTTATGTATATGTAGATACCCAAATAAAATATATCAGATGCATACGTTTTTTGAACAGTTTTCTGTTCTTAACGTTTGTAGCTTGAGCCCAGTGAGATTTAAAAGCACAGTTTACAATTAAAACATAGGTAGATTACTGGAGACCCTTGTTAAAATGCAGATTATCATTGAGCAGATTTGGGGTGGAATTTAGAACTTTGCTTTTCCTTCACTTGCCTAAAAAATGCCAAGGCTACTACTATAGTCAAGGTCCATTGATTATAGAAGTAATAATGGTATACATCGTTTTTTTCTTTTACCATGAGACTAACAGTAGGTGCCACATACCACATTTGATCAATAAGTTTAAACTGAGTTATGGTGTAGTGAGTAAAGCCACAGCTTGTAACACCAGTTTCCCACATGCGGATTATGGTTCATGTACCAGCTGCTCCACTTTGGATTTAGCAGACTGCTAATGGCCTGGGAAAAGCAGCAGAAGATGGCTTATGTGTTTGGGATCCTGCTGCGTGTGTGGGAGATCCAGGTGATGCTCCTGATTCCTGGCTTCAGCCTGTCCGTGCCCTGGCCATTGAGGCCATCTGGACAGTGAACCAGAGGATTTCTCTCTCTCCTTCTCTCTTGTTGCTCCTATCTTTCAAATAACTAAATACATAGGTTTTTTTTAAAGCTTAAATTTAAGTACTGAATGAAGTCCTTCTGCTAATATTTGCTGTGTATCACTTTTTTCACAGATTGACCTTGTGTACCAGTCCATTACCTTAATGAATTCCATTTTTATGATTCCACCTAGTCCAGATTGTACCTGCAGTTTTAGAAAAGTCAGTATTCATTTTCCCAAAGCTTTAAAACTGAGAATTGATTGGGCATTTTAGGATGCTTATATTTGGGCAAAATTATGTTTTATTAGCTCAGGCAGTGTTGTAGTGGTTTTCTGCCAGTCTTTTCGTCAGTAAACTATGGATACAGGATTCTCAGGGCAAAGATCATCTCATCTTCCCTCTTTCCATTGTGTTTTAGTGGATCACAGGAAGAACTGGCACTGCTGCCAAGACAAACCCGACTCTTTGCCTGGGAAGATCCTACAGGCACGAGGAAGCTTACGTGGAGATATGCTGCAAATGTTGGGGAACAAGATCTATTAAAGGTATCATTTTATGTGAATGAATGCTATTTGAGCTCCTGATTGTGAGGGAAATGGACACCTGGACTTTGCCAAGCCCTTTTTGTACCTGCTGAACTAAGTAACTTACTTTTTGATTTTAAGTTACAGATTGTTCATAACAGCATTGTGTTGTAGGTCAATGGAAAGCATTTATTTACAATTTTAAAGTAAGTCTGTTTCTTTTGTTCAAGTAATGAGCTGTAAAACCCTTTTAATTTCTTTTTTGATGAGGAATTTTAAAACTAATTAAAAAATTAGTTTGATCGTATCTGTACCACTGTTGCATGTAAGGATTTTAGGCATGTTTTCTTCAGCAAAGAAATATGAAGGAGTCTTCAAAAATTTATGAGTGCATATAATGAAAAATTATGCATGGACTTCAAACTTTTTATGGCACCAAGATAAGTTTATTTTACTACTGTTTTTCTGTGAACTCTCTGAAGTAGCTTTGTTTATCTCATAGTGAAAGAACTCATATAGGGTCCTAGTCTCTTTTCTTTTAAAGATTTATTTACTTATTTGAAAGGAAGAGTTAAAGAAGCAATATTCTTCCTGCTGGGTCACTCATCAGGTGGTTGCAATGATCTAGTCCTGGCTGGGTCAAGCCAAACCCAGGAGCCAAGAACTCCATCCAGTCTTCCACATGGTTGCAGGGACCATCTTTCTCTGCTTTCCCAGGCATGTTATTGGTGGACTGGATTGGAAGTGGAGCAGCTGGTACCTGAACTGGTACTTCAGTATTAGATGTTAGCTCTATAAACCACAGCTTAACCAGCTGTCCCACTGTGCCAGCACCTGTACTGTTATATTCTGTTGTGTGATGGTTGTTTAAAAGGCTTTGGTTTTAAGTTAGTAATTGGACAGCAACAACTAAATTATCCTCTCCTATATTCCCACTAGGATATTATAAAAAAGGAAACACTTATATCTTTGAAAAATGAGACTGGGGCCCGGTGCGGTAGTGCAACAGTTAATGTCCTCACCTTGAATGTGCTGGGATCCCATGTGGGTGCTGCTTCTAGTTCCAGTGGTCCCGTTTCCCATTATGGCCTGGAAATGCAGTCGAGAATGGCCCAAAGCCTTAACCTTGCACCGGCGTGGGATACCCAGAAGCAGCTTCTGGCTCCTGGCTTCAGGTCAGCTCAGTTCTGGCCATTGCAGCCACTTGGGGAGTGAACCCGTGGATGGAAGATCTTCCTCTCTGTCTGTCCTCCTCTGTGTATGTCCACCTTTCCAATAAAAATAAATAAATCTTGGGGCCCGGCGCGGTGGCGCAAGTGGTTAAGTCCTTGCCTTGCACGCCCGGGATCCCATATGGGCGCCGGTTCTAATCCCGGCAGCCCCGCTTCCCTTCCAGCTCCCTGCCTGTGGCCTGGGAAAGCAGCAGAGGACGGCCCAAAGCTTTGGGAACCTGCACCCGCGTGGGAGACCCAGAAGAGGCTCCTGGCTTCGGATCGGCATAGTATCGGCCCGTTGCGGCTCACTTGGGGAGTGAATCATCGGACGGAGGATCTTCCTCTCTGTCTCTCCTCTCTGTATATCCGCCTTTCCAATAAAAAATAATAATAATAAAAAATAATAAATCTTTTAAAAATAAAAGAAAAACAAGACTGATAACTGGAGTGGGTTTTAGTTTTACAACAGAGAAATTCTAAAGTGTATCAGTTTCAGAAGGTGGCTTACATTCCCCAATACACTTTACTTGGAGTTCAGAGATATGGGAGCTCTCTCAGTACTGTCTCCTACCTGGTACCATTTCCTTTTTTCTCATGATTGCCAGCACCACAGAGTGGTTGTGACTTTATGGAAGAGGTTATCAAGGCCTGTATAGAAAGGCAGCTATAGGGAGAATGTTTGTAATTGTATGCAGATATTTCAAAAAGCTCCTGTATTTGCTGTGAAAGAATTAAATAGTCACAAAAATCAGTGTGTTAAGCGTGGGAAACTGAGCTGAAATGGAAGGTAGTAAAGGGTGACCCAAGTCCCTGGGACCCTGCACCTACGTGGGAGACCCTGGGAAGGCTCCTGGCTCCTGTCTTTGGATCGGCTTAGCTTCAGCTGCTTTGGTCATTTGAGAAGTGAAGCAGTGGACAGATTTTTTTTCTCTATATCTCATTCTCTCCATAAAGCCAATCTGCCTTTCCAATAGAGATAAAAATAATAATTTTAATATAAAAAGAACAGATTTCATGTATTTCATTGGTCCAATCTTAGAAGATAACTATTCTTCCATCCCTTCCCTTCTCCATCACCCAGTCCCCTCTTTCTGAAATTCTTTTTTCATTAATTTTCACATACATAATTTTAATTCACTCTAAAATCACAGTCTTAATTCACCATTAACCATAATATTTAGCAAGTAAATATTTAATAGCAGAATTGTATATTAGAGTACAACATGTGGATAAGTTGTTTTGACATGTAATATACTCCAAAAGTAATCTTAAGTTTTAATTAACAATAAAGAACTTATCATGTACCTATGTTAGTGTTCTGGAAAAATACAAAGTAAGTACTTGTACCTATTGAGAGGGACAGTTGTTGAGTCTGTAGTAAGCTCGGAGTGAAGAGTGATTTTATTTCTAACCGTGAAGTGAACACTTAAGCCTAGCAGACTATTCTAGTGGACTTAGTACAAACTGATCACCATAGTTTAACTATTTGGCACTATGATTAACATAGGTATTTTTATGTTGTCAATCATTAAAACATGAAGATTTTTAAAATGTTATTTTACTTTTATTGGAAAATCAGATTTACAGAGAGGAGATACAAAGAGAAAGGTCTTCTGACTGCTGGTTCACTCCCCAAGTAGCCACAATGGCCAGAGCTTAGCCAATCTGAAGCCAAGGGCCAGGAGCTTCTTCCAGGTTTCTACATGGGTATAGGGTCCTAAGGACTTGGACCATCCTCTGCTGCTTTCCTAGCCACAGGCAGGGAGCTGGAAGGGAAATGGAGTATCTGGAATATGAACCAATGCCCACATGGGATCCCTACGCATGCAAGATGAGGACTTTAGCCACTAGGCTACTATGCCAGGCCCAAAGCATAAAGTATTTTTGGGGATAACTTTCTCTTTTAAACAAATTCATTTATCTGTGTTTACTTATTTGAGAGACAAGCAGAACTTTGAGTTGCCAGTTCACTCCTCAAATAGCTGCAACAGGCTAAAGCCATGAGCTATGTCCAGATCTCCCAGGTGGGTCACAGGGACCCAACTACTTGAGCCATCATCTCCTTCCTCCCAGAGTACATCTTAGGAGGAAGTTGTAATCAGGAGTAGTGCAAGGACTGATATCAGATGTTGACATCCCAAGCTGTATCTTAACTGCTAGGTCAGATACCCACCCTGTGAGGACTGTGGAATCATTCTGTTCCCCACTGGAGAAAAGTCATCGTCTTACAGCACTGTTGCCACCTGCCAGTACTCATTCCTCCTCAAACCCCTCTGATACACTAAGGAAGCATCTCAACCTAATGTATCCAAAACACTAACTACTGTTAATCCTTGTCATTGTTTGAAAGAAAAAAAAATAAAGTTGTTACAACATAGATTAAATGTCAGTTTAATGGTAGGAATTTTTAATTTTTGTAGTCAGTCTTTTTAAACTTTCCTCATATTTCTTAATACTTAGTTTGATGAGAAGTCTTTCTTCTCCACAGGATGAATGTGGACAGTTTCCATATGATGCAAATATTCAGATACACTGGGTATCATTTCTCGATGGGCGCCAGCGGGTTCTGCTTTTCACCGATGATGTTGCCTTGGTTTCCAAAGCACTACAAGCGGAAGAAATGGAGCAGGCCGATCATGAGATAACCTTGTCTCTTCACAGCCTTGGGCTTTCTTTGGTCAACAATGAAATCAAGCAGGAAGTTTCCTATATTGGGATAACCAGGTATGCAAGAAAGAGGATGAGTCATCAGAAATCATTAAAAGTTATTGAGATCATAATACTAAACTTGATGAAAATAAATAGGTCATTCGTCCAAATGTGATATACTGTACATTTTCAAAAGACTTACTAAATAATTGAACTGAATTGCAGTTGAAAAACTTAAAGACAGAAAGATGATTAAAAATCTTGTCTTCACTATCATGATCTTTCCCCACAGTTGTTGGGGAAAACAGTAGTTCACCTCATTCTTTGTTTTTTACAGGGTTTATTTTTTGTGATTTTTCTTTGCTTGCTTGCTGGTTTTGTTTTTGTACAAACCATGAGATGTACTATAAAGAAATATGTGCATGTATGTTTTTTTTTTTTGGCCAGGGAAGTCACCAGAAATAAATTTGGAGAAAAAGTCACAGAAGAGGCAGTGGCTTGATTTGAATGAAATATATATTTTTAATTTAAACATTTGTTTATTTGAAAGGCAGAGAGGAAGAGAGAGAGGCAGAGAGAAATCTGTTGTTCTCTTGCCAGATGGCTGCAATGGCCATGCCTTTGGCCAGAACAAAGCCAGGAGCCTGGAACTCCATCTGGGTCTTCCATATGGTTGCAAAGATCCAAGTACTTGGGCCAAACTTCACAGTTTCCCCTGATGCATTAGCAGGGAGCTGGGTCAGAAGTGGAGCAGCTGCAACTTTGAACTGGTGCCTATATGGGCTGCTGGCATTTCATGGGATGGCTTGACTCAGTATACTACAACACCAGTTACTCTTTGAGTTTTAGAACTTTTTACAAATTTTGAATATCATCCTTTTATCATATTTGTTTTCTTTATATATGTTTTTACAATCTATGGCTTGCCTTTCATTCTTTTTTATCTATAAAGATTTATTTATTTATGTGAAAGGCAGAGTCACAAAGAGATCTTTCTACTGGTTTACTCTCCACATGGCTGCCACAGCCCAAGCTGGGCTAGTCCAAAGCCGGGAACCAGGAACTTTCTTTTGGTCTCCCAAGTGAGTACAGAGGTCCAAGAACCTAGGCCATTCTCTTCTGCCTTTCCGTGCATGTCAGCATGTAGCAGCATTGGAGTTGGAGCAGCCGAGACTTGGACCAGTGGTCGAGTGGGACACTAATGCAGCATGCAGTGACTGTCCATCCCACACCACAGCACAGGTCCTGGCTTTTCATTCTAACGGTGTGTTTCACACAGAATTTCTAAGTTTCCACAGAAACCAACACACAAAGTTTTTCTTTCATGGATTGCTGTTTTGATATTACATCTGGAAAGTCATTGCTAAAACCACAACCACTTAGCTTTCTTTCTGTTATCATAAAGGAATTTTGAAATTTTATGTCTTTATGTTGAAGTCTCTAAAGTGAGTTTATATTGGTAAAAGCTGTAAGCTTCATGTGTAGATTTATTTTTTGTTGTATACAAATGTCAATCTCTTCCTTTCTCCATTGAAGTACTTTTGCTTCTTTAAAAGCTCAAGTGACTGACTGGGTCTGTTTCTAGGTTTTCTGTGTTTATCTGTTTACACTTTCATCAGTACTACGCTGTCTTAAGTTTTGTAATTTTATAGTAAATGTTACAGTGGGATAGTGTCAGTCTTCTGATTCTGTCCTCTCAATATTGTATTGACTTTTTTGCTTTTCTGTATGAATTTTAGAATCAGTTTTTCAGTAGCCATGAAACAATTTCCTTTTTTTTTTTTTGAAGATTTATTTATTTTTATTGGAAAGTCAGCTATACAGAGAGGAGGAGAGATAGAGAGAAAGATCTTCCGTCCAATGATTCACTCCCCAAGTGAATGCAACGGCCGATGCTATGCAGATCCAAAGCCAGGATCCAGGAACTTCCTCCGGGTCTCCCGTGCGGGTGCAGGGACCCAAAGCTTTGGGCCATCCTCGACTGCTTTCCCAGGCCACAAACAGGGAGCTGGATGGGAAGTGGAGCTGCCGGGATTAGAACCGGCGCCCATATGGAATCCTGGTGCATTCAAGGTGAGGACTTTAGCTGCTAGGCCACGCCCCCAGGCCCAACAATTTTCTTTTGATTCAGGTTGGAAATGGCTGTAAAATCATGTTAGTAACTGACAGTACTGAGCTTTCATTATCTGTGTACATGGAATGTATCTATTTATGTAGAACTTTATTTTACTAGACTTTTTATAGTCTTCTTCACATAGATTATATACATATTTTATATGTTGTCTTTATGTAAGAATTTAATTTCTTCAGTGTTAAATTTTTATTATACTCTTTTTGGGAAAAATAGGGATGATTTTTTTCTGAACAAAAGGCTCCACCCTCAGTCACCATTATTGGATAATTAATTGTTTTGGAAATTAGTTGTAGCTGCAGAATTGATGATTCCTGGTGTTCTTTAAACTTAAAAGGTAGAACTATTTTTAAGTGATACCATGGTAAATTCATTTAGATGACAGAGATTTAAAAATTTGTTTTTTCCAAAAAATATATTGATGTCTTACTGAGTGTGAAACTAAAATTAGAAAATAAATAATAATTGTATGTGAAACAATACCAACGTAAACTAATTTTGATGAGTTAGTGTTTACATTACAAGCAGTGTCAGGTTGCTTTATATTCTTTGTGCTGTCCAAAATGACAACAAAATGTGTGATCTCTAATACCGTCCCTATTTAGAGATGCTATACTTTATGACCTGCAACTTGAGTTCCAGTAATCTCTGTTCTGACTTCAGTGCAAACAACCAGGAAATTTCCGTGTTTCAAAAGCACTTGGGTGGCATTGTGGGATGGAAGGCTAACGCAGTGCCAGCATCCCATATGGATACCAGTTTGAGTCACTGCTGCTCTGTTTCTGATCTAGAGCCTCTTAATGTATGTGGGAAAGCAACAGAAGGATGATACACAGTGCTTGGGCTTTTACACTCACGTGGGAGACCCAGAAGGAGCTCCTAGCTTTGGCCTCATTTGGGGAGTGAGCCAGTGGATGAAGATTACTTCCTTCTGTCTCCCTTTAAATGAATAAATCTTTTAAAAAAATGCATGAGCAATTGAGGAGTTTCCATGCAGCCTGCAAGTGAAAGTGATTGATCTGTACTATATTTTAGTATGTGCCAAAAGGCAAAAGTAATAGAATTTTATGAATGTCTCCCTTGTGTTGTAAATGCTAAATTAAAATAATATTCTTATAGATTGATATTGGTGTTTGATAGTACCTATCTCTGAAATTTTTGTTTTAAAAAGAATTGTTTGAGAGGCAGAGAGAGAGAGAAAGAGAAAGCAGCTTTTCCTGGTTCCTTCCCCAAATGGCTCCTTCAGCCAAGGGACCAACGTCAGAAACCAGGAAATCAGTGCAGGCTGCTTCTCTGGCTGACAGGGACGCAGTTACTGGAGCGTGGTGGGCACTGCCCATGAGGGTCTGCGTCAGCAGGAAGGCTGTTTGACGAGCTAGACATGGGGGTTAGTCTCACGCACTTTGATGTGCGATATAGACTTCCTAACTAAGAGCCCTGATTCCTGTGCCTGAAATCACATTTGAAAAGATGTTCATTCTGGGTCAGCATTAGTAAGTAACCATTTGAGATATACAGGGTAAAATGTGTCACTCCCACAAAGAAGTGTATTTTTCTTATTAATACATTTTGTGTTTTTAAAGATAATAACCAGTTGTTACTTTATAGTTTAAATTTCACTAATTAAGAAAGGTAAGTTAATCTTTGTCTCTTGTTATCTGAGTCCCTACAATAGGAACCTTGATTTTGCCTCAGCCCACAAAGCCTGAACTATTCACATTCTCTGGCTGTTTGCAGGAAATGCTTTCGAGTCAAGGGGCTGATGTCAGGTGTAACAGAAAAATACTTCCTTCTTTATGTACTTTTGTCACACACATGTATTTTGATATTTTAAGCAATCTATTGTTTTCCTAGAACATTAATGATTGTTGTAGTCTAGAATTGATTTAATACTTCCACAAACCTGAATGCTTTCTAATTTGATTTTGTTTGTGAATTGTTTTAGTTCTGGTGTTGTGTGGGAGATGAAACCAAAGCAGAAATGGAAGCCTTTTAATCAGAAGCAGATAATGTTACTGGAACAGTCCTATCAGAAACATCAAGTGTCAAAAGACCATGGCTGGATTAAGCTGGACAGCAATTTTGAGGTATTGCAGAATTCTTTACGCTTTTGTAGATAGTTTGTGGTGGCAATGATGACTTTAAGTAGAATGTAAGTGTCCAAGTTAAGACCCAGAGCTTTATTTATGTTCTATTATTTATTCATTAATAGCAGTGTATGTTGCTAATGACTGTAAAATTATGTTTCATTGATGAAAAACTTACCAAAACCCTGCTCAATTAAATTAATTCAGTGTTAATAATTGTTAGATCTGAGTGGTATCAGCAAATTAAGCTGTGCTCTTTTTGAGCCTTGGCAGAGTTAAGACTGCAGGTCATCGTGCTGGAAGGCTCCTGGAGCTCGGCTGCAGTTTCCAGCTTGCTTTTGCTTAGTCATGCAGTTTGGCTGTTTTAGTCTTAGCTGTGCCGTGCTGCATTTCCACTGACTGCCTGTTGTGTCTTACCTTCCGTGGCTCCCCAGTCTCTGTGATCCAGGCTTACATGAAAACAAAACATAAAATTAACATCAGATATAAACAAGTTATTAAGCAAAACAAGTGTGCTTAATGGTTGCCTGGAATTATGCCTTATTGAAGTTTTTATTCCATGCATCATCTTCTTAAATTGTAGCTTCTGTAATTTAACAAAGTTACACTGCTGTTATCTAGTTCTCTCAAGTTTATTAAAAAAAAAAGAAGATACTTGTACATTAAAGATTTCAGCCTAGATCATCTTGTGGTAGATCTTTTGAGGAAATAAATTATTTCTTCTATTTTCTGATAAAGAGACATTTAATAAAATTGGATAGGTCCTCTGCTAACACCAGCTCTTCATAAAAAGTGTGTGTTTTTTTCCCTGCTCAGGTCAATTTTGATAAAGTGCCAATGGAAATGCGCCTCCCTGTTCGGTGCCCTATTAAACGGGATTTTTTATCAGGAATTCAGGTTGAATTCAAGCAGTCTCCCCACCAAAGGAGTTTAAGGGCCAGGTTATACTGGCTTCAGGTAACATTGTCATTCTCAGATGGACATTTTTAATTACTTTGGAATGTTTTAAAAGTGATTTCTTTTGAGGAATATTGTAGTTTGTGCTGCAGTCGTGTCTTTCCTGCTTCTTCCACATGTGCTATAAAGTTAACACCTTCCTTACAATCTGAATTTTGTTTGTTAACCTTTAAGGGTGTTTGTACTGAGGTTGTGTCATTGGTAAATATTCCTTTGGTTTTCTGGGATTCCTCAAGCCAGATAGACCCTTGTCCTTATTGGCAAAAAATGGGGCTTTATTAGTGGGATGCTGTTGAGGACATGCTTGTTTACTCCCTCTGGCCTCCCTGTCTTCCTTCCTTTTTAATGTTATAAGGATCCCTTTCATATCCCTGCTTGTGGAATGGGATCGCCCAAGGCCTTGGGATCCTACTCCCACATGGTAGACCTGGAGGAAGCTCCTGGCTTCTGGCTTCAGATCGGCTCAGCTCTGGCTGTTACAGCCACTTGGAGAGTGAGCCGGTGAATGGAAGATCTTTCTGTCTCCTCCTCTTTGTAAATCTGACTTTCCAATAATAAAAAAAAATTCATATTTTTTTAAATTTCTATTTTCTTCATATATGGTTAGTTAGATTGTAGGAAGTTGTAATCTCACATGATCTGTAGGTACAAATATTTACATTAAGGAATACTGCCATGTAATGTTAATATACATGAGGATATTTGTATGTTCTTTTGCAAAAAGGCTTACCTTATGGAATTACATTTAAAGTTGTATGGATTTAGAGTAAAACTTCTAAGTATACCAAATATACTATATTCAGTTGTTTATGATGAAACTAAGGGCTTCTATAATATTATCTAAGAAACTTTAAAAAATTATTTTAAGTCGTATTGAGTTGGTCTTTTTTTTCTCTTTTAGGTTGACAATCAGTTGCCAGGTACAATGTTCCCTGTTGTTTTTCATCCTGTGGCTCCTCCAAAATCTATTGCTTTGGATTCAGGTAAAAACAAAAACAAAAATCAGGTTGAAATGATCATCTAAGTATGCTTTATGACTGAAGTGAAGTGGATATTCATTTGACCTGAAGCCAGCTTGATTTCCCTTTCTTTTTTGTTTCTTCCTTTTAGAACCCAAGCCTTTCATTGATGTGAGTGTTATCACAAGGTTTAATGAGTACAGTAAAGTCTTACAGTTCAAGTAAGTGAAGCTCTCCAATATTTTTCTAAAGGGATTTTAAATGAGCATCTACTTAAAGAAGAAATTTTATTCCTTTTGGAAGTGACTTCCAAGTTAGAAATTACTTTTTATTTTACATCAGCATGTAATCTACTTTGGGTCACATAACTTTGCAGGCTTAACCTTATGTTAATTTTTATAATCTGTCCAAATTTCCGTTATGGAATTTCTTCAGCTACCTTCTTTGTAACTATAATTAGAATGTAAAATAGGAACTAAAATGTAAATGTTACAGGTATTTGTGAGCTGTGTTATTGAAAACAATTGCTGTGCAGTTTAAAAATTGAATAGTTTATTCTGTGTCATTCAGTTGTATTTATCTCTGACGTGGTGACTATGGCCTTTTCAGCATAAAATGCTAATACGGCAACATTGCCTCCACTGGAGCTTTTCCTCCAATGCCGTGTCACTCTAAGTAGATTCAGATTTACTAATTTAGGGATTGAGAGGTGAAACAACAAGATCTTAATTGTGACTTTTGGTGAAAAGCAGTTTCAGTGTTAAAATTACGTGATTTTTAGAAATTGTTTCCGTTTTACAAATTCTTTTCCCATAGGTATTTCATGGTCCTCATTCAGGAAATGGCCTTGAAAGTTGATCAGGGGTTTCTTGGAGCTATTATGGCACTGTTTACCCCAGCAACTGACCCTGAAGCTGAAAGAAAACGGGTAACATTTTTTTTTTGTTGTTTTGGAAAGGATAAAAGTTAAAACAGTGCAGCTATTTGGGGGACTAAATATAATAGAGCAAACATTAAAACCAATTCTTGATTTCGTTTCTTTCAGACAAAGTTAATCCAACAAGATACTGATGCTCTAAATACAGAACTAATGGAGACTTCAATGACTGATATGTCAGTGCTTAGTTTCTTTGAACATTTTCATATTTCTCCTGTTAAGGTCTGTTATAATTATTTTGAAAACTTAAATGTAATAGGCTTAAAGCTTTCAGAACGTTTCTTGCACACATGTAGGTTTTAATTTTGTGCGTCACATACTTGGCAGGAAACTTGATTGATTGTTGGAAATAATTAAGACACTTCTCTGTGAGATATGTACAATCATAATTCCCACAGAGGAACCACCAGAGCATGTTCTCTAGTCTTGAATTAATAAGCCTTTTATTCCGTAAGAAGCTGATGAAAGCATTTGTTAATTAAGCATAGAAGTACTTACCAGCGTGTAATGTTTTGGTTGCACTTTGTAACGCCTATCACTGTATAAACAGAATGCTGTAATGGGTGCCGTAACCAGAACGGGAAAATGCTGAAGTAGGTATTAGGCTGCTTATGTCCTTCAAATGTTTGATTGTAACTAAAGGAGCGGAAAATTAGATACCTTTCACTTGCCTGATTTTGTACTTTATGAACCCATTTCCTTTCCCCTTCTGTTGTTCTTCTATAAGGGAAGGTGACTGTTTAGTAAATTGCACAAATGCTATCAACCATAATGCTCTAAACTTGTGTAATGGGCCAGATTTACAATTAGGAAACTCTTTAAATATTGGTGATCCATTACCTTCTCAAAAACTTTCCAGCACATTATTTTCAATTGCATTTGCCAGTCCATTCAATTAAATGAATGGCTTTGTAAAATTGAATTATTACTTAAAATTGACGTGGTAGTTTCCCAGTATCAGGCATGTCCATAGTGTCAAGATAAAAATTAATACAGTTTGTTGTGACAGATAATACATAGTTGTTTTCTCATTATTAAGAGAAAGTAAGTTATTTATGTGATGGAACAGTGTCTTCAACAGACTGTTTACTGGACAGGGTTACCGTGGAAGTATAAAGTGAGTTAATGAAGTGACTCCTTCCCCAGTACCCTCTCCTTGCCTGGGACTCACCTCTTTACAGGTCATAGGCAGCCAGGCAAAGGGAGAGGAACTCACTCTGTCTGAAAGTAGAAACATCCCTCTCCCATCTTTCCCCTCTGCCTACTCTAGCCCTACATATGGCCCATGTGTCTGTAATTGCCTCACCTTTTGAATAAACTTCACCAAAAAAAGCAAGTTCATAATCTAAGGAAGTTAGCATGCTTGGTAATTTATCAGTATAATGGAAGTTGTGTGGTGAGGTTGAATGGTAAAGATAATGAATCCCAGTTGTTCCCTTGTTTCATGGCCGTTGCCCTGGGAAAGGGCTGGCTCGCTCTGCGGCTGAGCTGCTTTTCCTCAACCCTAACACCTGGTAACTCTGCATGTAGGTAGGGAGGAGTCTGTGTTGAAGGAACAGCTTTCCAGGCCTTGCCCACGTGGTCTGCTTGATTTACATGTGCCCATCATCTTTGTCTTCTTCACACTAGGATATCAGGTGGTGCTGCAGCCCAAAGTAGGAAGTAAATGGCAGTGTAAATGCCGTGTTTTACTACTGAGTTTGGAGAGTATGTGGAAGCTGAGCACCTTGTTCCTTTTGAACATTCATTTGATGACATGCTAATTGTTACCATGGCTGTCATTCTTAATGATTATTGTGTCATGATTATAATGTAGTTGTTATTAATTTTCAAGATGAGTGATTTACCTTAATTGGATGAAAAGAAATTATTACTTATTATTTTGACCAGCTGATGATTTGTGTGCCAATTGGTGTTTTCTTAAAATGGTTTTGCTATTTTTGTAGAGTATTGTTCTCTTTTACGAACACATATTTTTATAGTTAGAATAACATTAGAGCTCTGGCTTTGGAACAGAATAACTTGTGTTTTATCAAAAAGCAAATAAGAGTCACATATATGATTAATAAAATAATAATAACTATAATAATTGTTATTTGTATAAAGAAAACTAATAACTTTCAGTGGGATTTTAGTAATTCCTGTATCTGCTATATGTAAATTTTTGGTTTTGTTTTTTGAGTTTTCATTCATTGAATGTTATTTTTGCTTTAGTTGCATTTGAGTCTGTCTTTGAGAAGCGATGAATCAGACAAACAGGAAATGATTGCGATTCATTCTGTCAACCTGCTGTTGAAAAGCATCGGTGCTACTCTGACTGATGTGGATGACCTTATATTCAAGTAAGACATGTGTTCAGCACTTTGGGAAGCATTTGCACTGAGAATCTTGTTTCTGGATATTACTTCTCTCCATTTATGCAATGTTAGTTTAGAAAACTAACAGCTATAGTATTTGTTCTGGATGAGTTTGATCCATGTCTGATTATACTCTTAAAAATGCTTTTTTTATTCTTGTTTATTATATAATATCTAGATTATATAATTACTCATTATTCCTGTGTTTTGATGCTCATGTCTGGCATGTAGAATTTTTAATAAAGATGTGGAGAAATATTTGTTTATAATATTAAAAATAAAGTGGTATATAAAAAGCTTTAAATATTTGCAACTGTATAGAAAAGTAAAGGAAAGTTTCAAAATGGGCAATGAGAAACAGAAACTTAAAGTTCTACTGGAAGCTAAACTTCTGATTGTTTAGAAACCTTTTTACTCTTTATGAAAAAACAATTGTACTGTTTTTGTAATGTTAGCACAAAAATTATCTTAAGGTATGATTAAGATAACAATCATAAATTTTATGTGAGTGTGTACCAATAGTGAAAGAACTAGTAGTAATTAGAATTAGTCATCACAGATACTTTAAGTCCCTCTTTTCAAAATACAGTCTTAAGATTTTTCAATCTTTCCTTTTCTTTTAGACTTGCTTATTACGAAGTTCGCTATCAGTTTTACAAGAGAGATCAGCTCATGTGGAGTGTTGTTAGGCATTATAGTGAACAGGTAATTTCCTACCACAGTAGCTCATATGCCATGTATTCATAATGTATGAAAACGAAATATTTTACATATGATACTACAGTGTGCAGTGATGTTTGCCTTAATTTACAATGGTTTGCTTGATTCTGTCTGCCTTTATATACCTTTGTAGAATTTTCCCCATGCCTTTTTCATTTCTGGTTATACCTTTATCACAAGGGAAAAAGTAGTGATTTTTGCATCACTGCATTTAAATTCTTCACTGACTGCAGTTTGTATGTGTAATCTGGTGAAATTGCAAGAGGTGTTCCAAACTGGCTTCTTGCCTGTGCATCAGGTACTTTGTAGTTTAAGTATGTTTTCACAGAAACAGCTGCAGGCTGCTGTGTAATGTGACATTTCTTTCTCTGTTGGAAAATCTTTTCTCCTATGGTGTGTATAGTCCAGGTTTTTACATCTTCAAAGAAGAATATAAACCATTCCCCATTTGGTTGCTAAGTATCTACCATCTATGTTAGTAGTAGTAGTGATGGTAAGTTGATAATAGATACAACTAGCAATTATTGAAGTATATGTTAATTTAGTAGTCATCCTCACCTATGTGAGGTGAGTGTAACTTTCCTTCTTGTGGATCAAAGTGTACAAAGACCAAAGTCTGCTAAATGGCAGACTGCCTCAAGCTTATTTTTGTTTAATTTGAAATCCCCACAGAAAATGCTGATGGATTACTAGATGTAGTGATGGTTGCTCTACACAGCCTCTTAGACACAAAGTTGATGTAATCAGTACCACCCTTTTTCTCATATTGCTGCACGATGTTGTCATAGTCAGAAGTCCACCTTTTCCCCTTTAGTTCTTGAAGCAGATGTATGTCCTCGTGCTGGGTTTGGATGTGCTTGGAAACCCGTTTGGACTGCTTAGAGGCCTGAGTGAAGGAGTTGAAGCATTCTTTTATGAACCTTTTCAGGTATTGATTTTCTAGTTATTTTAAGTGTGGGCATAAAAACATTACTATTCTTCATAGACAAACTACGTACACTTTAATTGTATCTGGAATTGAGTAATATTTAACAAAAAATATACCTTATATTTTTTTTTAAAAGCGCTTGAAATAACAATTTAACACTTATAGTTCTTAGCTGGTCAATAAATCATGCCCACATTTTCCAGAATTTAATGTTGTTTAAAGTATATTTAGAGTGCCAAGTAGATAGAAGAACATTTCAAGGCTGTTCTGTTGTGGAAAGGACTGTGGGGGCATTAAGGGCCAATTTTGTTTCATACTCGAGCTTTTATTAGGCCTGTTCACCCCATTTAAAGAAATCCAAGAATCCAATTTTGTGAGGATTATGGAAGGACAAATAAAAAACTGGAAGAACAAGAGAGCTAAAATTCTAGAACTCCCTGCCACCCCCCACTGCTTAGCACTGTGGTGGAGCTTGGTACTGGCTTGCCAGTCAGCTGCCATTTGTGGTTAAAGTTGATGATTTACACCTGTCCATTTTTTGTCTTAAAATTTTTTTGCTAACATTTTGTGGATTGAAAATGTCTTTAAACACAATTTTCGATCAGTACTTGGTGTATGAAATGAAGAGTGTCTGATCATGATCTTAATGGATCGTTTGAGATTTATAAAATCCCTGATGTATTTTATTAAAAGTTGTAGGATTATTTAATTCTTAAACTTTGTTTGGCCAGGGTGCTGTTCAAGGCCCTGAAGAATTTGCTGAAGGGTTGGTGATAGGAGTAAGAAGCCTCTTTGGACACACAGTAGGTATGTTTCACCTGTTTATGTGTTTTTATTTTTATTATAAATACAATGTTTTTGAAGGACATTTATATTAATAAAGGAGTGATCACTTTCCTAATAATTACCCTTTTTAAAAATTATTTCATGTGTCTGAAAGGCAGAGAGAGAATGAGGGACATCTTTCCTCTGGTTGCTCTTCAGATGGCTTCAGTAGCTAGGAGCTGTATTCACATGGAAATAGGGACCACAGAGCTTGAGGCATCCTCCATTGCCTTCCCAGAAGCATTAACATGGAGCAAAATGGGAAGTAGTGAGCCTGGCCACAGAGACGCTAGGGTGCACTTGACTTCTTTTCTTCGTTTCTTTCTTTCTCTTTCTTTCTTTCTTACTTTATTTATTTCTTTGTTTATTTGTTTCTTTCTCTCTCTCTCTTTCTCTTTCTGTTGTTTGCATAGTTGAGAGGGATGCACGCTCATGTGGGTCTAGATATTTCAATTTTTTTTTCTGTGTCCACAATGAGAGGGAAAAAGAAAGAGTATTGCTCCTTGCTGTCAAACCACATCAGCACCAAGGGATGGAGGGTGGTTATTTGATGACACCTTAGAGACCCTGATATGGAGACGAATGTTCCAAGGGTGTTACTTGAGTAGTTTTGATAGTTTTGAGACATTATCACCTTTGTTGCCCCAGGGTTAAGAAAAAAAATTTCCAAGGTCTCTTGGCTGACCCAATCCACAAATTCACAAATCTAGAGCCTCAGGAATGTGCTGCAGAAATTGGTCAGGAGAGTGGTCCAACCTGTTCTACTCTCTATCCTCTGAAGAGGCATGTCCTCTGCTGGCCTGGGCTGACTGCCATGTCCCCTCTGTGCATATGGGCAAGCTGTCCACTGCACAGGCATCAGCAACTGAAGAGGTGCAGAGCCAACACATGCACTCCAAGGTCAGACTGTGTACCTTGTCATTTTTCCTGTGGCTGGGGTCTGAGTCCAGCCATTCAATTGGGGAGTCCCCTAAGAAACCTCACCTGGGGTACCCCAGATTGCATTCTTGTGTCCCTTTTAAAAGATTTTTTAAAAAGAAAATAATAGTGGCTTTTAGTGTGTGTTTTTAGTGGTCAGTTTTTCTGATAGATGGGTAAAGTAGGTTTCCTTATTTTTGTCTGTTAGAATTTAAATTTAAGCCTGTGTTTATTTAAAGCTATCATAATTGTGTAGATGTGGTAATGCTCTGCACAGGAACAATGTGGTTTACTTCTCTTGGCTTGTGTTAGGTGGTGCTGCAGGAGTTGTGTCTCGTATCACTGGTTCTGTTGGGAAGGGTTTGGCAGCAATTACTATGGACAAGGAATTTCAGCAGAAAAGAAGAGAGGAGATGAGTCGACAGCCTAAAGATTTTGGAGACAGCCTGGCCAGAGGAGGAAAGGGCTTCCTGCGAGTAAGTCTTCTGTGGTGTCTTTAGGAAACCTTAAATCTATTCACATATGCTTCAACTGTGTACTCTGGCAGGTGGTTTGAACTTAGAATGCTTCTGTAAATCTAGCTGGTGAATACCAGAAGTGTTAACTTGTGGACTCCCCATTTGCCCTCTTCGTGTTTTCCCTGTTGTCTCCACACAAAGGTTTGCTTGTGTGCTGGGTGAAGCTACGGTGAAGGTAGGTAGATGCACACTGCTGTGGATGGTGAGGAAGTGAAGGAGTTCTTGAGGTCCTTGTCACCTACTGCCTCTGTAGAAGGAGTATGTGCTTACCTTGAGATAAGCCACAAAGTGCCTGTCACTGCCTTTTTAGTGCTCATGGAACTGTATCAGTAGCATGCAAGTACTGCTTAATTATACAGACATACTGCGAATATTGTCTTTGTAAATAAGGATGTCTAAGTTTTCTTTGATAACAAGTAACTAAGATATTCCAGGTAAGGCTCTCTTTTGTGTGTTTTATTTATCTATTTATTATTATTATTTTGAGTAGCAGAAGGAGACAGAGAAATCTTCCACTTGCTGCTTCATTCCACAAATGCCTGTAGCAGCTGAGGCTGTGTCAGGCTGGAGCCAGGATCCTAGAACTCTGTCCCAGTCTGTTCAGGGTGGCAGGCACTTAGGCACTTGCACCATCATCTGCGGCCTACCTGGGCAGGAAGATGGGTTGGAAACAGTGGCTTGAACTTCAAGTGCAATCTGGTATGAGATGTAGACAGGGGACGGGGAGAGGCAGTTCTTGAGGTGCCACAACAACTGCCCCTAGAAAACTCTTTGGTTGCCCCTAAGGTCTTTCTGGAAGTGTCTGATTTTTTTTTTCATCTTAATATTTATCATTTAGTTCTCTTTCTGTGTGTTTTTGGAATATCCAGTTACGTTAGTTACTAACATTACTTGATAATTATTAATAATGTATAAATATGCACATGTTTTATTTTGGAAGGAATTTTTAGGAAGCCAAAATTGCTGTTTGTGCCAGTGATCTTGAGTGTGTATCACATTCTCCGAAATGCTTTTGTCAAGCAGTTTGTTGTTCTAAGGAATTACCTGTATTTTAAGTTATGCATTTTCACACAGTTGCATGGTGATGTCCTTACATATTATGGCTAGATCTTACTGACGGTTGGTCTCAGCTTACTACCTGTACTGCTGTGGAAACTGAAACCTTCAAAATTGAATCAACGAACTGTGGTTATATAAGTTGCTAGTATTAGAGCCCAAGTTAGGATCTTGCGTGCTTCACTGCTGTTTGTTTGTAAAATTAGATATTTTAATGTGAAATTTATCACTTTCTGGCACTTGTGAAGCCATGTTTTACATGTAAAATGGATATATACAACATGAAAGTGCCCGCTTACATGAGTAGATTGTTCATTATTAAGGTCTCAATTCATAACTATTACATCCCAGTATGTCTGTAGAGACCTCTAGTGGTGGGTTTAAAGTCAAGCACTTTGCTTTCAGTGGAGACTTGATGATAATTTTCTGTTACAGGGAGTTTTTGGTGGAGTGACTGGAATAATAACACAACCCATGGAAGGTAGGTCCAAACTATTTCCTCTGTTTATAATGGTCAGGAGAATTGATATTTATTAATATAATAGATGTCTTTGCTATTACATACTTGACTAAGAGTGTTATTGAATTAAATTTATTTTGAAAAGTTAAATTATTCATCAATTATTTTGGTTATTCATTAGAACAGTTTGGTCTTTACTCAGTTTTTCCTTTCCCTTTAAGGTAAGTTAATGTTATTGTTATATCTTTTTTTAAAAAAGATTCACTTACTCTTATTGGAAAGGCAGACTCAGAGAGAAGGAGAGACAGAGAGGAAGATCTTCCCTCCATTGGTTCATTCCCCAAGGGGCCTCAGTGGCCAGAGCTGAATGATCAGATGCCAGGAGCCTGCTCTGAGCCTCCCCTGAGCCTCCCACACAGGTGCAGGGTCCCAAGGCTTTGGGTCATCCTCTACTGCTTTCCCAGGCCACGAGCAGGGAGCTTATGGCAAGTGGAGCAGCTAGGACATGAACCCATTTAGGATCCTGGAGTATGTGATGAGAAGACCCCAGCCACCAGGCTACCATGCTAGTTCCTATTGTCACATTTTTAAGAAATATATTTTTGTATTTCCATTTAATTTGAATGACAAGGAAAGAGAAAGAGACTGAAAAAGAAAGCAGAAGCAAGTGCTTCCTTACTTCACACCTCAAACATCCCCAGGAGTGAGGGCTAGACCAGAATAAAGCCGGACTGGCAAATCCATAGTGACACCAAGTATCTTTTTGTGTGGTTGTTTAGGTAGGAGTTAGGGGACAAAAGAGGAGGGAAAGTAAATTGGGCAGCAGTGGGTGCGTTGGGGTGTGTTGAGGGTTCGTGGACATGGGACTGATTGCTAATGAATGGGAGGTTTCTTTTTTGAGGTGATACAAAATTTGTTGAATTGATTGTGGTGATGGTTGTTTCTCTCTGATTTTACTGAATTAACCTTTAGTTTGTACACTTCACAGCAAGGGTGGGGTGGTCATGGACAGAATAAGGCCTGTGAAATTCTTTTGTCTGGCCCTGCCATTGCAACTGCACGCATGAATGGAAATTGAATAAATCAATAGCAGGCTAATTTTATCTTGATAATTTTGTGTGGCCTGGGAATGATGTTGTAAGTACCCCATGGACCATGTCAGAAAAAGATTTCCCATTGTGCTTCACAGGGTGGGTCTTATAGTTAAGTAAAATTTATATTTTGTATTTCTCAAAGTGTGACACTTAATACGTCTTCTGATGGTTGTCGTTAAAAAAAGAAAACTGATGTTTTCTGGTCACAATTAGTTGTACCCAGTATACTCCTAACTTAGAAGTTCACAAACTTGAACATGGAGTGTGAATCAGAACACAAGTTGCTGTCTGCAGATTTCTTCGATCCATTAGATTGGGTGTGAAGCCCAAGGGTTTCCATTTCTAACACACCTTGAGAGCTTTTATTATCACTTGGATAACACACCTTGAGAGCTTTTATTATCACTTAAAACTGAGTTTAGTTTATTTAGAAAAACAAACATTGCTTCTTGTGTAAAGCAGTTCCGTGTTTCAGGTGTTCAGCTTCAGCTGGCTTATTTCAAATCTTTGTATGTTATCTTTGATTTTCTGAAGGTGCCAAAAAGGAGGGAGCTGCTGGATTCTTTAAAGGAATCGGGAAAGGGCTTGTGGGTGCTGTGGCCCGTCCAACTGGTGGAATCATAGATATGGCCAGCAGTACCTTCCAAGGCATTCAAAGGTAATTAATTGCATGAGTAACATGTGTAAGGTGTCTAGGAGCTCGTCGTTGCTACAATACATAAATAGCTAGGTAGCTTGACTGCTCTTAAAAATCTTAAAATAATAAAAGCCTATAACAGCTTTAAAGACAAGTATCACCAGAAAAAGAGAGAGAGAGAAAGACATCTTTTATGACTCAGTTTCTCTTTTATTCAACAAGTGTTTTTTGGTACCCGTCCTATGCCAAACACTGTGCACACCAGGAAACAGAGAAGACATAATGCTGGCGTTTGTTATGGTGACGTCTCCTTCCCTGAAAGAGTGGAGTGGGGGAGACAGACTTGATTTGTTACATGCATTAGTGTCGTACCGTATTTGGGGCAAGTTATTTAAAATGATCAGTTTTTTTCAAAAGTCCTGTTTACATGTTTAAACTGCATGTATGTTTTCTTGCTCCATGCAGGGCAGCAGAGTCGGCTGAGGAAGTGTGCAGCCTGCGCCCCCCTCGTCTGATCCACGAAGACGGCATCATTCGTCCCTACGACAGGCGGGAGTCTGAGGGCTGTGACTTATTTGAGGTAAATCCTGTTCTTCATGGTCTTCAGTGAAACTTTGATTTCCATGATTTCAAGGACCAGAATTTCACGGGTGATTCTTAAAGGTCCTAACTCAGGAGTTTATTTCAAAGGTTGCATGTGGTGTGTAGGGTGGATTTTGATCTTTGGTTTTCATTTTAGCGTAGTCTGTGATATGGAAATAACTGGTTATTTTTCCCTTGCATGGGAGCAAAGCTCTTTTTGTGCAGTAAAGATAGTGTTAAGAGAAGCCTGAGGTAACTCCACTATTTGCATAGTAGCTCATTGTAGTTAACGTTAATGTTAGTTTCCAGCTTTGTAGCTAGTTACTGGGATTTGTTGCTTTTTTTCTCCCAACCAACTTAATTTATTTACATTATTGTGCAAATCTGGATTTTTTTCAGGTGAATAAAACTGGTGGCGAGAAAAAAAGATGATATGTAATTAGTCCTGTTACTCTTCAGAAAAGAATTAAAGTTCTTGGGATTTTATTTTAGTTTAAACATTGGTGTGTCTTAACAGTACATATTGTATAAATTGCTATTTTCCCAGGACTGACTTATTCACAAAGATATTTGTTAATGTTTTTAAACCTTCAATATAAAATAAAATGACCCTTAATTGTTCTTAGCCTTTGCTTTTTATTGTATATGTTTACATTTTATCTTTCTGCATGCTTCTAATTTTATTTTCTTTCTTTTTCTGCCTGCACAGCAAGAACTGGAAATACAGGAGTAAATGTTTCCTATACTACTACTTGATTTCATCCTTAAAATTTAAAACAAACTATGGTATTAGCTGCGTATAAATGAGTTTGAGTGTTGATTTTAATGAAAATTTTTTGACACTTCTCACCTCGATCTGAACTTTTCACATCAGTAGCTTGACTACACATAAAAATGGTGATGCCCCTGGAAAACATAATCAATATTATGTTGAATAGTATATGTTAACAGGAAAGCATAGTATTAAATATTGAAGGGTGTGGGAATCAGATCGCTTCTTCACCTAATGGGCAAAAGAACTTTTTGGGTTCAAAAGCAGACACTTGCCCTGACATTTGAAAATATTGTCTTATAGTATGTGTGTAAACTTTTTTTTTAATGCAATTACTACACCTGTTCTAGGGAATGTGTAGTTTATGTTGGTGAGTCCTCAGTGTGGAATTATACTGCTAATTTTCGTATACTTTTTATGTTTTGAAAAAACTAGGCTGGGTATTTTAAGAAAGGAAGTTTATTTGCTCAGTTTTGGAGGCTGTCTGTTTGACTTCTGGGACGGACCCCCTTGTGGATGTGTCACAACATGGTGAGAAATGCAAAGGAAACAGGCAAAATGGGAAGAGGTCAGATGCACGGTGTGGCCTTGATTTAAGACATCCCCTTCTTGGGACATACATTCCAAGTCTAAGGCCAGCAGTAATCTTCCCAAGGTGGTGCTCCTGAGAATCCATCACCTTCTCGAAGGTTCCATACCTCTCAGCCGTGTCCATTTGACCAGTTTCTTATAAGACACCTGACAAGCTCATATCAGAATAACGTCAGAACCTATTGGGGCACACCCAAACCAAATACAAACCATAGCAGTGGTTTTCCATTTTACAAGTAAATGGAACATATATTTTAGTAATTGAAGTGTTAGTTGCTGTGAGTTTAACCTTTGATCTCAAATGAGAGTTTGCATATAAATTTTGAGAATATGTTCCTTTAATCTATTTTTCTCCTTTTTTCACCTACCTGTTTTGTTCATGAGTAAATGCCATTTTATTTCATATGTATTTTCAGCCATTAGAAGTTATACCTGTCAAAAATGGAATTTATTTAATGGTTATGCTAATTTCAAGTTATTAGTTTTAATGAATGTAAATAGAAGTTGAACTGTAACTAGAAAGTTTACTTATGTGGCACTTGAATACTCATATAGATGCCTTTACTTTCAAGTACAGATTCTTTGTTTTTCCATTTCTTAGAGCCTATTTGTTACCTTAATGACAAAAATGATAAGTTCTTTTGGAATTAGATCCCTCATAGTTAATTGTCAAAATAAGTTATTTACAATTATTTTTTTCAAAAATAAGTGAGGTATTTGATTTGATTCAGTATTGTTTTATACAGTAACTTTCATGCTTCCTCCAAATTGGAAACAAAATATGAACTTAAATTTAATATGCTGTATATTTGGAGAGAATGAAGCTATTAATGTACAATTGTTCAGTTTGATTATATGTGTTTAAAAATTATAATTATCAAAATAATCTGAATGTTTCCTATTTAAAATAAGTACTTTAAAGAAAAAAGAATGACATCTAAGGACTACCTTGTACTGGACGTACAAGATGACTCCCAATCTTAAGGGGTCATATGTAGCAGAACATGTAAATATTAAAAGGAGCTCACAAACTTTTCTTGTGCCTAGATAATTGAGGGTTGACAAAAATGTCACTGCATGTACACTTTTGTTTGAGAATCGAGCACAATGACTAATTCAAGAGGCTGTCTTAAATCATCACTAATAATTACCCTTTAGGTAAAAGTAATAATTTTTGATTTTTCTAGATATATTGCAGTTTTAATGAGAACTTTTGTGAAGTTACCTAACCTGCAATTATTTTCTTTTTATTTAATTTATTATCTTATTATCCTTTTCTTTGTGGTTACCTATTTTACAGCTGTATGTTAATAAGCACAAAACTTTAAGATATTGTTTGTATTTAAGCTATTATAGTTAGGTTGAGTGTCCCTTAACCAAAATACATGGCACTGAATGTGGTTTGCTTTGTTTTAAAATTTTTGAGTATTTCCCCATACATCTTGGCTATGGGCCCACTTCTAAAAATTGATTTATTTTTTATCCGTACCTTATCTACATAGTCTGAAGGCAATTTCAAACGTGTTTATAGTGTGCCTGTGTTTTGGCTGCAACTATAATATAAGGTTGTGTGTGAAATTTTCCACCTATGGTATTATGTCAGCAGTTCAAAAATTTTCAGATTGTAAAGCATTTTGATTTTTAAGCTTAGAGATGTCCAACCTGTAGTGTTACATCTTTTTATTCATTTTTGTTAGGGTATTAGGCAGCTGTGTAGCCTTTAATATATCATTACAGTTACTGGGTGAAATAGAATGCATTAACAAGTAGACAGCTTCTTTCCATGGGAAGCAAATATAAACATGGATAATTGAGAAATTAGTCGATTTCATCCCTTGCTCATCTTGCACTGTTAAGTTTATTGGGTAAAAAGTATTTATTACTTAGACTGTTGGATATACAAAACAAGTAAGACTTGTGTCCTTAATGGACCAAGTATAACAAAAGTAAATATGAAAGAATCCTGGAGCCTTTATGGCCACATTCTAAATCACTAATTTGCGTACCTTTTGATCCTCATTTTCTTTTTCTCCTGATTTCTTTGTTTCTTTGTGTTTGTTAGTACTCAGGTTTGGGAGTTACTAAATCATGCACTGTAAATCCTCTGTTCTCCTCGGGAAATTTATGCTGTGTGTGTGTGTGTGTGTGTGTGTGTGTGTGTGTGTGTGTGTGTGTAGTAAAGAAAGACACCTGTATGTATATGCAGCTAGTTTTTAATTTAATATTCATTTTGGTTTACATATTTACAATCATGCAATACTTAAAATGAGGTTTATTTCTTGTAAAAAATATGTTTCTGTATATCTTGAGAAATGCTTCATTAACATTCTTAATTCTTACATTATTACCTCTTGAGGTGGTCTTACATTGTGTATTTGACTATTAATTCTTAAAATGTGAATTGTTTCTTGTTTTTTACTAACAGTAAGAATGCTGTTATAAGCATCACTAAATACTATATTATATTATAGCTATCTTGGGTTAGTTTGTTGGAATTTGTTTAAAAACCCGAACATTTGATTTAAGGAATTGTGCAAAATGTTACCAAATTCCTAATGTGTTTTGGGAAGGGGCAATAACTGTTTTTTGTTTTTCAGGCCTTTTTGATCTCATACTGTCATTAGTTACTGAATACCTAATCTAAATCTCAAGAGAATTGTGGGTTTTAGTAGTACTGAACACCAGGTTCTATGTTATTGTAATAAATTATGCTGTAAGCTTTTAATGATTTGAAGCACAATAGCTTGTTAACTAATGAAAATGCATATAAGGTTGAAAGTATTTCTTGTATTTGCATCTCAAATCAAAGTATTTTACTATAATAAAAATCTAAAACTGAAGATAAATGTGCTAGATTATTATATTCATTTCCCATTTTCACTTTGAAGAAATGTTAACAGGTTTTAACTAATTCACACTGGAAAAATTACACTCCTGAGACTCATTTTGAAGATGATACCCCAGTTCTTTGGGGATTCATCTTTCTTGTTCATTGCTTTTTGTAAAAGTCAGGGATTGACTGGGGAGCAACCATGTTTTAAAAATGTGCATGTTAGCATTGAAATAGTAGCATGAAGGTTTTTTGCTCTGCTTTTGATTATATTTAATGTATAATAATATTAATGTATTCTTGACTATAAAAATCATTGTTTTATCTGTTCAATATATGCATACCCTATATATTCAATTATCATCTGATCTTCAGTGTAGTATAGATCATGTCAGTAGTAACATTTTATTAGAATTCACTATTAATGATTATTTTGTTAGTTTTTAATTTGTTGACAAATGAAAGAGCCAGTAGTTTTAGGAAAACTAGGAAAATAAAAGTAATATAATATGCTGCTATTTATACTTGAATTATTTATACTTGAATTATTTTATTTTTAGAAATAAATGTGTGAGCTATTTTGAATTCCTAGTAATTTTTATATTTGTGTTACTATTATGAGTATATTTTTATTATATGTATGATTGGTATGTAAATACAATGCATATTTAACCTATAAGATTCAATTTTTAAAAACATTAAGTATCAGAATATAACATATAATTTATATGAATTATCTACCACTTCCAAAATTTATATATATTACGTATCCAGAGCTTATATATTATACACCTCTCTGTAATAAATTAGTGGTTTTTAAGCTTTGAGATGGTTCACAGACCCTTTTAAAATTATCTGATAGATTTACAGACCATCGTTTGATGAAAGTTGTAGGACTACAATTTCTATTGTGTCAGGCAGTTCAAAGCCTCACTCCCAAGTCCCATTATAGGCCCCTGTTTAAGAAGCCCTCTGTTAATATAGTGGTTTGGTATCAGAATATGTCTTTATATTCTTAATTTAAATATGTAATTATTTCTGCTGGCTATTTTAAATTTTCTAAGCTACTACAGAACAAAATATTATTTTGCCAGAAGATAACTTGGTAAGCATTTCATACATCTTTCTCTTTAAGACAGTGGTAGGAACTAAAAACATGTTTTAATCATATTTTTCTAGCTTTATTGGCCAATACAAAGAATTATGTTTTGTCCTAATAATTTTTCCCTTAACACTTGTGTTATAATTAGCTATACTATTTGAATGCATATGCTTTCCAAATCTCATGTCATCTTTATTTTTCAGAATCACATTAAAAAGCTGGAGGATGAGAAGTACCGATTCCACTGTGCTGTTCCTGGGAGCAGGAAGACCGTCCTTCTGGTCACCAGCAGGTACTGAGTTCCTCATGACCAGAGGAATGGCGCTTTGCTCATGACCAGAACAGTGCAGGCTCACGCAGCAGAGCATTCAGAGAGCTCCACTTGAGGGGCAGATGCTCATTTTTGTAGAATCATGAAACACGCATGTGTAGGTAGATAAGTCCTTAGAACTTGTCTTTTCTCCAGCCTTCAGGTTAGATTCCGCATGGTTTATGCAAGAGTGATGACTAGAGGGAACGGAGTCTGGGAAAGACTTCACACCTGCAGTGCCCTGGTGCTGTTGGTTACACGTGAACTACAGTCCCTGTTTGGAGGCTTGACTCAGGATCACTTCTTCCTAGCTTTGATTCAGCAGGTGCCTTTTAAAGGATGACATTATCTTTATTTTTCCCCCAGTTTTTCCTACTTTTTTTTTTAAGTGGTAGATACTATTTCTAAATAAAAGAACACAGCTAAGTTAGTTTTCCTGTGATTTCTCTGGATAATAAACATAGACCCAAATTACAGTTACAAATCAGTGATTTGAAGACTCTAGGAGACGTATGTCCTAAGGATTAAGATGCAGTACTTATGGTAGGCAAAATCTGCATCCTTACTACTGTATGTTTTTAAATACATTTGGATAGGAAAGAGGAAAAGAAAATGGGATGATAAGATTCAGACTTCTAAACCTGTAAGTTTTTTCATCAGCCGTATGCAATACTTAGTCATATGGATTGTCCATTGTTGTTTCTGTTTAAAGATTTGTTTTATTTTTATTTGAAAGGCAGAGTTATAGAGAGAAGGTGAAATAGAGATCTTCCATTCTCTGGTTCACTTCCCAAATGGTTGTTTTTTTTAAGATTTATTTATTTTTATGGCAAAGTCAGATATACAGAGAGGAGGAAAGACAGAGAGGAAGATCTTCCATCTGATGATTCTCTCCCTAAGTGATCGCAATGGCCGGTGCTGCACCAATCAGAAGCTAGGAGTCAGGAGCCTCCTCCAGGTCTCCCACATGGGTGCAGGGTCCCAAAGCTTTGGCCCGTCCTCGACTGCTTCCCCAGGCCACAGGCAGGGAGCTGGATGGGAAGTCGAGGAGTTGGGACAGGAAGCAGTGCTCACATGGAATGCTGCCGTCTGAGGTGGAGATGTAGCTCACTAAACCATGGCACCAGAACGATCTAAAAAGCAGCTTTCAGATTTGACAAGTAATCCACTTTTTTGTAACGCCTATCATTTGTTTTGTTGCCATTCCATTTATTTGTGGTATGGATTGTACTTAACTAACGTGTTAGTTAGATTTAAACTTATATACCTTTTTTTAAGAATTTTTTTTTAATTTTTATTTTTATTGGAAAGGCAGATTTATAGAGAGAATCAGAGACAGAGAAAGATCTTCCACAACTGCTAGTTTACTACCCAAGTAGCTGCAAAGTCCAGAACTGAGTCAATCTGAAGCCGGCAGTCAAGAGCTTCTTCTTTCCGGGTCTCCCACATGGGTGCAGGGTCTCAAGGCCTTGGGCCATCCTCGACTGCTTTCCCAGGCCACAAGCTGGGAGCTAGAAGGGAAGTAGAGCTGCCGGGACATGAACCAGTGCCCATATGAAATCCTGGCATATGCAAGGTGAGGATTTAGCCACTAGGTCATTGTGACTGGCCCTAAACTTACACACTTTCATGTAGCTAAATACTTGATAGTAGGAATTAATTATCTTTTTGGTAATATTCATTAGCACTTGTCTAACTTAAAAGTCATTCTATGGGAATTTTACAATTACTATACATATGTGCATTTATGTTTTTTTCTTCCAGTAAACCAGGAGATGCTGGTAATTTAAAATCTAGTCACTTCAGGATATTTTTAGGAGACTGTAAAATAATATTCCTGACCAATACAATGACAACCTCCTTGTGAGGCTTAGTAGACTCTTTCCAACAGAAATCTTTTTGATCGAGCCAGTTATCTTTATACTGATTTGTTTGGCCGTTAATGAGCATATTACATTAAGAGTTCTTCCAAATTCATTTTCATTCTTGAAAATACTTCATTTTTAACATTTTGTGTTATGCTCACTCATTATCAGTGATCAACGAGCTTTCTTCTAATGAATTAGATAATATACGTGTAGACTTTGAGGGCCATGTTTGTGTCTCAACTTTTTAACCTCGCCCTTGCCCTAAGAAAACAGCTTTGAACACTGAAGTATGTACATGGTGTGTTCAGTAGCTAGACTTGACTTGAAGGCTGTAGATTGCCAGCCTCAAAATAGATAATCAGAAAGATAAGAATAGCTAAAGCTGCCATGCATTCATGTCTGCCTGAAATAGGCTGGTTTGTCCCAATATAATTACTAATAGCTGTTTCTTGTGTCTGCTTCTTAAAAATGTCCTGGATTTTTAGATGTCCTGGTATGAGTGTTACAACACTGCACAACATTCTTTTGCAGTGACCTGAACATTCAGACATGACCAGTATTAATTGGTGTATCCAATTGTTGTAATACGTGTATTAATAACACATAATTTGAGCTACAAAGTGCCAATTTTATTAAATTGAGTTGTTTTAGTGTAATTTTACACTATGATCATCGCCTGTACTATTAAGTATTCTTAATAATGTCATTATTGTAATTATATAATATTTTAGTGGGCATTTTTTAATTTAAATTATTGCTTTCTGATGCTCAGTTTTTTGCATTCCTAACATTTTGTGGTTAATGTGTTAAAATTTATTTGTTCACTTACTTGCTTTATTTGAGAGGAAGAGAGACTAAGATATATCTTGTATATCTCATATAATATGTAATATATATGTTATATAATACAACATATAATATAAATGATATCTTAGATATATGTGTGTGTGTGTGTGTGTGTGTGTGTGTGTGTGTGTGTAGACACACAGCTATGATTGGAACAGGCCAAACTCGGGATCTTGTAACTCTGCTTCCCCTGTATTTGTGGAAGGGACCAGTTATTTTAAATGTCCTCTGCTACCTCCCGGAGTATTCAGTGGCAGGAAGCTGGCATTGAGGTTGGACCTGGACTTGAACTTGGACACCGTGCTATGGGATGTCCCAAAAGGTGTCTTAATCACCAGGACAAATAACTCCCCATGGTTAATTACCTTTTATCTATTATTTAGAAAACATTCTGGAAGGTTGGATTGCCAGCTTTAAAAATTTTTAGCAAACATATATATTGCCAAGTTAATTTTCAGAAAGACTATACCTATTCTTTACATTTCTATATAAAATAGATTTTCTCTTGTGCTTTGCTAAGACTGGGAGGTATTGTGTAAACTTCAAATTTTGCTGACTTACTAGTGGAAAATATCTTGTTTTAATTAGCAGTTCTTTGATTATAGGAGAATGAACATTTTAATATACCAAAATCCGTTGTGATTTGTGTATGTCCTTTGCTCACTTCTCATTCATGTATTTGTTTTTTTCTTACAGCATTGAGAGTATTTTATAAGTGGATGTTGTTAGACCTTTTTACTTAATCTCTTCTTGATGCTTTCTAGGGATTTTCAGCACATATGGCTTTTAATTTTTTCATATTGAGATTCATCCAAAATATAGATCCAATATTTCTTTTAAAGTATTTATTTTTGTTTTCCATCTACTTGAAAGATGGAGAATTAGATGAGAGGAAACAAGTGATCCTATACACGTAGGCTTCCATCTACTGGTTCGTGGCCTCAATTCCAGCAACTCCCAGGGCTGGGCCAGGCTGAAGCCAAGAGCTAGGAACTCGATTCAGGTCTCTCACTTGGGTGGCAGGTGGCCATGCATCTGAGTCATCATCTGCTGCCTCCTAGGAAGCAATCACAAGGAACTGGGATAAGCAGCACAGTGGCTGGGATGCAGACTGGCCCCTGATGCAGGTGTCACAAGTGGCGGCTACACCTGCTGTGTCACCACTTCTGCTCCATGTTTTCTTATCAGATTTTGTTTTCATTTTTTAAATTTTATTTAAATGTAGAATATTAGTCAAATGGTTAAAATGTTGGTAATGAAATTTTTGTGACCTAAATGTATTAAGCTATGATAGTTCTAAATGATAACTTACTTTTGTATTCTTTATTAGAATATCGATGATTGGGCAGACATTTTTAAAAACTCATTAATATTTTACAGATACAGAGACACAGTAAACAAAGTTACGTCTCTGTCATTTCTCCACTTTCAGGGGACCTACAGATTACATTGATATCGCAAGGTGATGGATACTAAGAAAACGTGATATTCAGAAATGTGAGGGACATGGGAAAAACTATTGGGAACCAGTCATGGGGAACAGAGACTTTCTAGGTGGGGAA